ATGAATGAAAGTGAAGTACGTATTATGGGTATTACTGGCGCGTTAGAGAGCATATTATTAATGAAAGAAATCGAAGAATTTCATGTTACTTATATTAAAAATATACACACATGACAGCCGCTGAAATAACAATGTATCCGCGGTTTCTATTCGGATGATAGGCGTTTTAATCTCTATAGCCGTTTCCTCTCGCCTACTTGCTTAGAGATAATACAAATATCAGTAAGGCCGACATTATTTTTTAGTACAAAAACGAACAATGTACAAGGAATAATCCGAGAGTTTGCAATGGTTAATGCGTCATCCGGTCAGTTAACTCGTGTATATAATATACCGACAAGACCGTTCGCTTTGTATATGTTCTATATATAAGTATTGGAAATTGCGTAATGTGCACTTATAATTTCTTACGAAAAATCTTTGCGCGCAAAGCTTTGCCTTTGGCTGAAATTCACATACGCGGTTTCAAAACCCACGCAATAGGCCATGAGTATCAGCTGGGTCAGCCATGCACATAGTCATAGAGTCAGTCAATAGACCTGCCGTTCTGTATATATATAAATATGTATATATATCTTTGTGTAAATCAGTATATGAACCTGCCCATTTCGACATTATATGTGTACGACATATACGATAATAACACCTCGCCGTCAACTACAAATGTATACAGCAAAGATAAACATAGATGCTTTAGATGCTTTGATATTTACTCGCACTTATCTTTAAGTCTGTAAGTCAATATTTGAAATGTAAATAATGTAAGCTACAATATAATTATAGAGTAATTGCCTTTATGTTTGATCATTGCATAGACCATAACACAGTTGACTTACCTACTCAGAGTCACAAGCAGATCTCTCAAACAGTATACTCCTTTATCGCCGCAATCTAAGCTTTCTTACACGTTTGTCTGCTCAGACTGCGATCATATTCGCGGTAGTGTGTATCGTTAACGCGGTAACAAGTACGATGGCAGAGTAATGCACACGCACGGTATGTACTATTTATAATCTTCTTCTGCATGTAGACGAGATCCCGGCGGGTCGTGGGAGGACTATTGAAAAGAGGATTAATCGTTGTCCACCACACGTATAGTTATAAATAGGATTCGCCGCGCGAACTATAAGATCCACACTCAGAAATAACTGGAATCATGCAAGAATGCAATCGATCAAATGCCTGGCAACGTGATGTAAAGATATTTCATGACTGCATATAGCCATGGGCAGGCTGTATGTGTATACATACGATAAGAGATATAACTGTTTGCCAGAAAGGTTAAATAAATAGTCGAGAAGGTGCATGTCGCGATGTCGCAGCTGTATCATCATAACAAATTGTTTTATCAGTTGCGAACAGAAAGGACGTATATTATATAACAAATACCGAGGAATATTTCAAAACGATAACATAACCGACAACAAAACGCTTTTATCAAAGACACTCAAGTAGGTTTAAGAGGGTGTTTTACATATACTATGCCACATGACTCAGGCAAGATGGTATACTGAGATTTTCTATCGTCTCAACACTAAACATGACCACGGTGATGCATTTGTTTACAAAAGCAAGTAACAACAGTGCCGTAATGAGAAAATGTTTGCTTAAAACAAGCGGATTATAAACATTGTTTCGTTTTTCATTGAAGAAAAAGGTTTTTTCAGTCCAGGCATATTTATCATATTTCATTATTGTTGGTTGCGGCTAACGAAGGGTATACGCGCATATCAAATTGACACTCTAAGCCAAACAATATACATGCAACCTTCGACTTCAGAAAGGTATATGAACACACTCGTCAATAATATGGTAGCGTATGAAGTCGGCGCAGAGGCGGCTTATTCATTTATCGTTGTATTCCCAATAAGTTTGATGCTATATAGCAACGTATAATTTTTCAACATCCAGTTCAAAGTGAAAGTCATCAGAAGAGATGAAGTTAGCATGCTAGTCGTCGACAGCTCCTCCGTACAAAAATGCGGATTGGAATTTGTGGAGATATATTTGAGGAGACTTTTCCCTATCAAAGGCATGAGAATTAATGCTTACCTCGTATTTAGTTCACAGTCCACGCGTCGGTGGCGATCAAAATTAACTATCTGTAGTGTGAATTTGAAAGATTCTTTGATGACAGTTTATGAGCTGCGGTTCCTATGTACCAATATATAGAGTCAAATTCCAAATCCACTTCTGATGTAAATGACCTGAAGTTACAGTTACGACTGACGTTCCTAGTCCAGCATTCACATTACCGTCATTAATACATTATTTATTCACGAAAATGAGATGATGGTATTAAAAGAACGAAAGCTGCGAGGCCTTGTGGCACTTATCTAATCTTTTAACCCAATTAGAGTTGTTGTCGTTGTTTGAAACCGGAAATACACTTATGAAAGTCTCCGTTGCAAAGCGCGAACCGATTCCGTTAATGCTGCCATTTTTAGTCCTCGTTTCCATAGGGCAGATTATACAAACGTTGCCATGATGGTAAGATCATATTTTAAGTGCTATACCCTGTTATAGTAATGATTTCATTAAAAACCTTTTTTTTTCTCACGCGTTAAGCGATTGCCGTAATAGTTTTTGCCCTGGTGCCAAATCGTTGTAATACGATTCCAATTTAAGAATGTGGCCAATTACGTAAAAATGTAGAATGTAGTGGCTCAAGTGATCTGTAATTGCGGAAAGAAGGTTAAAAAGAAAGTGATTAAACTCCCCGTTGGTACGATAGCATAGCATGATAGATTGTCATTCAATAAGGGAGTTAAGTTGCCGAATATCCCCGCTGTAATATAACAAACACCTTCTAGAACTCGATCGCGACTTGTTTTTGCTTCGTTTAAGGAGTCGTCATATCTCACATACTTGATATTTTACTTTTACACTAGTGAGAGTTGGTTTATTATGGTCATTATGAACCTGTCAAGTAGAATTCACACGCCGCGTGTGCATTTTTTCATTAATTTCTGATATGGCCCTTCGTTAAGAGCCACAAAACACACTTCTCGCTCATTCTTGCTCTCAAGTCATGAACCCGAACTATTGAAAAAAAACTGCAATAGTAACTTCAAGTCTCCACTTCATCGATGTTATGCTGATGACGCATTTTACTTAAAGCCCCATTTAAACTGCGCACAAAAATGGTAGGGACACCGAAAAAATGGTATAGGCATAAAATTTTAAACTGATAGTAAACAAATAGTCAGTCAAATTTCACCCATACCAATTCTATCCGTTTACACTATGTTTAATTCCAGTTTTTGTACGGATGAAATTGGGAATAATGAAATTTGGACTTCCTAAATAGGTGGTCCAAATTACATCCGTATACCAAACCTAAATCACTTCAGTGAATCAGAAGATATTTTATTTATCGGACAGTCTAATTTGCAGACTGCATGATAACACTCAAATCATCAAATCTACAAGATCTGCATGTATGTTTCACTTATCAGAAGTCTTCGATTTTAAATGGGAAATATCGCACACCCGGCTGTCCATATATATTGATAAATCTAAATTAGTTATGAAAGGGTTAAAGGGATGAACTGATATTTTTCCTGTGTTTGTTGTATGTTTTAAACATCTCAATCTCTTCTGCTGATAAAGAATAAGTAGCGCAGTAAAATAGCTATATAGTGAGATATATAAAGGCCCGTTTACACTTGCAATTTTTGCTACGATTTTATGTGCGATTTTCTTCTTTTGATAGATGTGAACGAGTGAATTAGTTACTGATGTTCAAACGAGAACTCTCATCAATCAGAACATTTGAGACTAATTACTCGTTTACATCTATCAAAAGAAGAAAATCGCACATAAAATCGCAGCAAAAATCGCAAGTGTAAACGGGCCTTAAGTAATAAGTTATATTTACTTCCTATTATTCATTTACATCCTTTACATCCTATTATTCATTTTGCGGTGAAAGCATCCTAACCTAAGTAACCTTGCACTATATACTCTCAAATACTAACTCTCCTGACGAAAGCCCTCAGGTCGAAACGTCGAGAAGTGTTTTGTCTATTTTAGGCAGTTGTTATACCACATTTGATGATAAGTTGTTTGAATTAAGACGCTCGGCCACGCTGCTCCCTGGTTATATTGGAATTACTCTACATCTCCTATGGATCGGCCCATTTTTAACTTCTGCCGGTGAGTTTACTGACTTAACTCTCGCAGGTTCTCTCATTACACAATACGAGTGTTTTTCAATAACTTTTCTTTGTCGTGGTTTCCTTTGCATTTGCTCTAATTACGAGAGCTTTCGTGCTCAGCTGTGAACATGCATTTAGAAAAGTCACCAGTGATAAATTAGCAATCCTGAGATAAAGTTTCGGATATTAAATTCGTGATAGACATCTCTGCATGTTCACCTTCTTTTTCTTGTACGCGAATGTCAAATTTGCGATTGAAGTGTTTATCACCTATGACCCTTACGTCAAGGAGAAAATTCCAAAACCCAGATTTTGTGTTATGCCGTATCATCTAATTATTTTCAGTGTCTGCGGGTGCTTTCTCCCGTCATACGTGGTCTAAACGATCACCGCCGGAAACAGGAATGTCTACGCACCTTGTATTTCTTTTCGTTTCAAGTTTGGAGCTAACACTGCATTTTCACCTCAACTCTTTTTTGTATTTTTTCTATTAAATATCATAGAAATGAAACATTATTTTACTGACAGAAATGGCCAAACAAATTTTACAGAAAAGCACCATTCAGTTCTATTCAGTATTATACTATGTTACCTCAATGTTCCATAGATTCATTATAGCTCGTTACATGAGTCAAAAGTTTAACATTTTTTTATCTTGATAATAGGTCTAAAAGACAAGTCCTCGGACTCCCCAAAAAGTACTTTCCACCCAAACCTGTGCTAAATAAATTTTAATTTTTTAAAGGTCATTGGTTATAACAGGATTCAAATATAAGCAAATATGTGAGCAAATATGAAAAGTCAGCAAATATGAAAGATTTAATTTTTTTTAGAGTCTGGAATTTGTTAATAAAGAAATTAATCAACAGTTATAGATGTTGTCTCTTCAACGTATCATTGGCATTTGGTACAATGATGTTTTGCTTCGATTGTTTTCCAGGAATGCACGCTAGACATGCACTGATCCAAATACGCTTTGAAGGATCAAGGATCATAGGTATAAAGGACTGTCCGCTTAGCTCATATCGCCAATGAAAGCACTCCACACATAATAGCAATAATTAATTGCATAATTGCGAAATTGCACTTGTTCAAAAATGACAGACTTTGAGTAGCGTGGCGTGATTATAGATATAGTCATTCCTATTCAATTAGTAATTCTGTAATTCAAGCCACTACCGCACTTGTTAAATTTTGTTCTTTGCACCCTTGCATGTTCTTCCGTATCTCATTGAAAATATAATGAACTTATGGAACTATCGTTTATGGATTGTTAACAAGAACATCTTTTGTTCAACGAATGTTGCGATGCACTTCCTCCACCAAGCAAGATTTTCTCTTTCCAGGTTTTCTCGATCGTGTGATACGGTCGCAAGTAAGGTTGTTCTGGAAATAATATCATTTGGAGCAATTCGTTAATGTTTGCGCCAGTCTTTGCGCTTGTTTCGATAAAACTAATGTTCATCATTTCAGCTTTGGTAAGAGCTTCTTCATATTCAACCTATAAAATAGTTAAAACCATTCGGCTAGCAATAAAAATTTACTTCAATTTTCTTTCGAAGTGACATTCACTCAGTATATTGTAAAATCCTTCATCGGATTTGCATAACGATATATAACGAAATATATTGATAAGATATTCCACTTCTTTTAAGGAAAATCATTGCTGCGTCTTATACATATCAATCACAGAATATAAAGATATTGACCACTTTCAGGATCTTTTAGGACCTATAATGAAGCCAAATTCGACTTCAAATGATTTTCAATTGCAACAATGCATATATATATATATAGGCTATGGAAAATGATATTAATGATTAATATTTTCCGAAGTTTTAAAAATGTTCCCGGTTATGATGTAATTTAATTAGAATAACGAGCTATAAGATAAAATGGCGTCTCACTAATTCCAGTCAAGATATTTTAAGAAATTTACCTAAGCAGGATATGCAAAATCGGAAATAAAGATTATATATAGTTTTAGAAGTTTTTTTTAGAGACAAACTAATTCTTAATGCCAATCCTGTCAGTATATAATGGTGTAATAATTGTATAGGTAATTCAAATCGCTATTCCATCATTTCCATGCTTCACCGTACGTTATCGTAGCTCAACTTTCTTTGACCACCATTTCAAAAGAGAAATCAATCTCTTTTACACGTGAAACGTATACTGTACATGCACCATAATAGCACCTAACTGCTATTATCTATTCCCGAAAAATGAAATGCGGAGAGCTGGTTTTCATTTGTCATTTGTCGTATTTTATCGTAAGTCGTAATCTGTCATAATAATTCTGTTTTGAAATGTCAGTTTGCATATTGTAACGAATTATGCCAAGTTATTACACGTGAATGACGACTTATACGATATGAACCCATGCAGTGTTAAAATTCGAATATTCGAATATAGTTCATTGAGTGAGCTCATGCTCAAGAGCAGAACTGAGTCGCCGCCCTTTTAAACAATTACCTGTCTATTCGCATGTGCGTCACTTTTATTGCCTATCAATATAATGACAACGTTATTCCCCCTTTCTGATCGGATCTTCAACATCCAGTTGCTCACATCTGTAAAGCCGAGGAGAATATATGGTTGTTACAAGTCCAAATGTCGGGTGGCTAGCATTTTCCATAAGGTCAGGATTGTCTGAACACTGAATGTACGTAAATTAAATGTTTGCATGGAGCGAGGAACTACCTAACAGTGAATTGGGACGGTAAACAAATCTAAGCGAGGGTTTACGAAATGCATAGACCAAGTCGAGACTGGAAAGTGGAAAACGCTAAAATCACTGCAGTGTTCAAAAAAGGGATTATTAAAAAACCGGAATTCTCCTGGTAATCCACTTTGTTCTCAAAGCACAAGATTCTAAATCCCTGGGAATTTGAAATAGCTTCTAATGGTATTAAAGGGGTATAACTGTCGAATTTACTATAAACACTCAAGTGCATCAAGCAGAAACAACTGCTTTTAGAATACAATTAAAATTCCCAAGAAACTGAACACAATTAAAAATGAATACGATTCCGAGGGTTGCACTCCGTACAAAGTTGGAGCTAATGGTTGAATTATCTATTTGTGGTGAAAACTCTTCACCCAAAATGCATATTTGTATAACGTGTTTCCAAAGAATGTGCTGGCAATATTTGGAAGTAAAATATCTTGAGCTATTTTAACGTTCTCCAGAGTTTGCCACTAATCTGTAATGTTTTTAAGGCCAGTCTTATAGCGTGAGAAAGGCTCATGATCGCTAAGCATTCATGGCCGAGGCTATTATTAAATTAAACCTGCGCTATAGTAACTAATATAACTCACCATCGAAACTTGCTTTTTTAGTGATGTCATAAACAATCAATGCGATGGTAGAGTCCCGGAGGTAGGCAGGTAAAAGACAATGAAATCGTTCTTGTCCTGCGGTATCCCACATTTTAAATCTTATAGGACGATCTTCTGTGAATTTTAATCACAACACGTTATATTAAACAAGGTTCCGGTCAGCGGATAAAAGGGTGGCAATAAACCCACAGGCGTACGGGCCTAATAATTTGGGGTTCAAAATTTAAATTCAGTGCCAGTCATACAGTGCGATAAGGAATGTACGTACTAATGTAATTTTTTTCATAGGTAATGTGATTTCGGAATTCGAACACAAAAAAATTAGCAAAATGCAAATAGTGAGGCTTCTGGCAGGGACATGTCCCAGCTCTCGGAAGCTTTCGTCCAATTGAATAATGCTTTTCTATGCTTAGAGAACGAAGCTATGCTATTGGTTGAAACGGAAATGTATTGTAAAGTTCGGCAAATGAAAATCATTCTTGCCAGGAGCTGCGACACTACCCTTCTGGTTTATAGGGACCAGGGAAATGAAGACAGTAGTAACTTCCGCGTCGTAGATTTGGTGAATCTTGAACTCACTAATGTTTATTCTGTGGCGCCACAGTGCTTGCGTGTGTTCGTAGTCGTTGGGCTTTTGAGTACGAAATTTAGCACGCATTTTCTACCATTATCCCATTCATTATCCGCAAGAATTTACCCGCGTTTTCTACCATTATCCGCAAGAATTTACCCGCGTTTTCTACCATTACCCGCACGAATCTGTCCGCATCCGCCTTATCCGCACCCGCGTTTTCTACCATACTAAAAACTCGTACTCAAAAGCTTGGCGACTACGAGTTTTGGCTGATGGCGTAAGCAAACAACACGCGAGAATGACGAATTCAATGTCGTACTCGTAGTCACTGCTAATAAGGTTTACATTTGACTAAGGCTCCCGCCACCGCTACGAGATTCGTCACATTGACATGATTCGTTATACTTCGTATACTGACGCAATAGACTCTACGCTCTCTTGTCTGTAAATCTAAAGCTCTCTATTCTCGAATCCATTCTGTGACGGTTTCAATTCTTACTCACGCCATCCTGGTGTTTGCAGGAACTTTTTGATAGGAGTAGAGTTCCTGCATACACCAGGATGGCGTAGAAATGACATATGCTCTTCTGAAAAATTTCGGACACAAAAACATTAGCCAAGTACAAAGAGTGAGACTTCTGCTATGTCTATTCTGTGGCCAGTATTGCGTGATTGCTTTCGTGGGCTTGCGTAAGGTGGCGTAACACAAAAATTTGGTTAGCAATCGCGAACGTTTCTAATAGTCTCTTCAATAAATTAAGTTGAAAGTGAAAGATTTACAATGGTCCAAAATGGAAAAAACGTCTATTGTCTTATCAAGCATGCGTGCGGGGGATAAGAAAGTGGTTTTAGTCATAAATAAACCTAAAATGCTGTGAAAAAGTTACATCAACAAAATCTTTTTGGACGAATTAACCCTATTGCAGAAATGATATAATTGAAATTTTCTGTTCAACAGCTTTTATACCTAAGAAAATAGTTTTGGTGAAGAAATCCATCCCAATGGTTGAAGTATTAATATCTTCAAAAACATCATAAACTAATCTTGTTACCAGTGCCGTTTTACCAACTCCTTGATTTCCAAGGACTATTAATTTGTGTTCTACATTTTCAGCTTCCATTGAACTTCTCATGCTAGAGTCGTGTGGAGTTGCGCGTAATAGGGGTTTGTGACGTCACCTTCTATCAAAGTTGAATGACGTAATACAGTAGCCTGAAAGTGGCGCAAGCTCAGCGATCTTGGTTGAACGGTGAACGCTTTTCGTAATTTCCGATTGTTAATATACAAATTATTAAGTTCTGATTTTAAAGTTTAAACATACTAATTAATCAACTTAGGTTTTTAGATTCTGTATCCCAAAACAAAAAAATAAAAAACAAACAACTCCAATAAAAGCATATGAAAACCTTTGAAAACCACGACGCGTGTAATTTGTTGTATTGGTGCAATTTGACAGCACCTTGTCGTGACGATGTCGTTCTCCCAGGTCTTGCCATTAATGCGGCCGCGCGCCATTGTCGCATTAAGCTGTTATTCACGGCTAACAGCGAATGGAAATTTACGCCTCCAGGTGACTCACAGTGGGTGACTTAACCACGAAAAATTCATACAGGCTTTAGAAAATCGTGCACATCTGAAAATTTGTCTCCCCGCAAACAAAAATTGTGTTAGATTCAAATTGTTTTAAACGCGTACTCAATGTTTAATGAATCACATTGACATGGTTTTCGATTTCCAGAGACCGCTAACAAGCTTTTCAAAGAAAAAAACAAAAACACCTTTACTGATGTTTACTTTTAGTATATTAAGATTTACTTAATGTTTTATATATCGGTTATATAATAACCTAAATACTACATATGCGGTCAATAAATTATACACAATTGTTATTTTACAGTTCAAGCAATAACTTAAACATTACATTAATAATTGCTAAGCAAAAATCAAAGCTTCTCTATTCGAATAGGCATACGCGAAACTCGAAAATAGTTGAAAGGGTTGGTACATTTTTTCGTAAAGGTATACTATATATCTTAAAAAATCTTTTGCTTCTATTCAGAAATCTCAAAAATTGAGTTTAAATTTTAATCAGGCAAGTAATGTATCTATTTTCGAATTGCGCAATATAAAGTATTTACATATCGTCAATGTGAACGAACGAAAGTGCTTGCGGTACATAAGAAATTGTACGTACTTAGCTCGCGCTTATCGAAATGGTCGTCAAACCAGCGACATACTGACAAAACACGGGAAGAAACTCAGAGTCTGACACTGATTGTTTGGTTGAACGGAACGCCTCCAGCAGAATGGTGTCGTGTTGTGATACCAGAAATCTCAGCTCCTACGAACAAAAACGCTGTCTGTCAATCTACAGTGTCAGTGGTCAATTACAATACGATTTAAGGATTTCTCACCTTATTTTGGGAGTCACTGATACGCCCATCAATGTGCAGTTGCGCAATGGCTTCCGAAATTTCCTTCCACTCTGTCGAAAAGCAAAAAAAAAGTTCACAGCCGTTGATTTTGCTCAGCATACCGTATGGTTACAAGACCTGGTTTTTTATTAGACTAAACAATAATATCAGTCGACATATCAGCAACCACAAGAAATTCTCGTTTATTGTACACACCTTTGCTCAAGGCATCAATACCCATATCAAGAACATGCGTAGATTCGGGAGACATTTGAGCAATCTCACGAAGTATTTCCGAAAGTTCGAGTGTCTCTTCGAAGACATCGAGTGACATTGTGCCATCCTTCGCTTCTGATGGCTTACCAAGAGGTACGTATGTGAACGATGCCGAATCGCTACTGGTGTAATTGTTTGAGAGGTCCCCACTAATTTCAACGTTGACAGTTAGAGGACTGGTTATGGGGTCTTTGAGAGGGGGTGACTTCACCACACAAGCACCCTAGAAAATGTACAGAAAACACCACACAGGTTGCAATTAAATGCTCACTCTTAAGCTTGAATTATTATATAAATAATAAATTATGTTTGTAAATAATATATATTCTTTATTACGAAGCCTTTTTAAAAATATTTTCTATATGTTGTTTCTAACCGTGTTTGTTTTGCTCCTATCAATCTCCCCATAAGCTTGCCACATCTCACCTAAAACGCAAAAAGACAATGTTCGGTTTGATTCCCGCTAAAGTAAACACACAACAAGGGAGCACCCTTTGGTTGACATATGGGCCTATACGAAAGCGCCGGTCGCTTAGCGACAAAAATTGAAAATAAATGTATTAAATACGTAAATAAAAATAAATACGGAAGCAATTCTCAAGCGATATTTCCGAAAATGTATCCCTGCAATTATCCATCCCCTCCAAGTATTTTAGCGTATACTTGAGAATTACTAGAAACACAAACCATACAACAGATAACGAACACATACATACGTACAAATCAATTACTTAAAACATTAAAACATCTGTCATTCAATCGGGACATGGCCCTAAATGGGTGTTTAACGTGTCAAAATAAACACAAAATTAGGGAAATATCATTGTGCGATTTTCTGTCACATGCAAGCGTGAAACAAGTTTTGTAACATTTAAAAAATAAATTGTACAACAGATGTTCAAAGTTTACGTAATTGAACACCAAGGAACAAACACTTTCAACAACTAACAATAAAACGTTTGCAACTGTTTTTCCCCTGTCCCGCCCTAATCGAAACAAACACAGAGTGGAAAACAGTTGAAAACGCTTGGATGTTTCACCACAACGAAAGAGTGGGAAACAAAAAACGGCATACCCATTCCCCCCGGTGCGCGCGCGAGATTCCTCAAACATCCCCCACGTTTAAATCCTTCCTGGGACACCACCCCCACACACGTTTTTCCACGACAACTAACGTTAAATTTTTTTTGGATTTAGTTCTTACTGTTCCTCTCTTTGAGAATATTTTGTCTTAAAGATCACAATGACTAGCACGAATGCCGCCCAAACTATCACTGTAATCAAAGAGAAAATTTCTCAGGGGACACATTCTACGAATCCAGGCGCCATAATCTGGAACCAAATAGAAGTAAAACACAATAAGCGAAAACAAACAGAAACTGTCGAAATGGTAGAAGTACGTTGGTCAACCAATGTGCGATAGAATTACACACATACATTTGTGAAGACAGCTTTATGTAGCAATATACATGGCTACCATTTTCTGACAAATATTTCCATCAAAATATTGAAACGGATATTTGTTAATGCAACCAGTTCTAGGGGGATTGACCAACGTTTTGTTGTAACACACTTTTTTGTTATCAAACACGTTAACACGCCGCAGTCTTCCAAAAATCGAATGAACCATTTTCTGAAGACAATCATGTATAATTATTTGAAATTTCTCAGGGGATCTCAGGGTAATTATAGTAAATCATGTTAAAGGTCAAGAAAAGGGTTAGTCAACTCGATAAGCAACGTGCACCATAATTGCATGTATCTTGTCACAAACCAAACTTTTGATTAGTAAAAATTCACTTTAACAATCGACTCAATAGTTCTGTAAGCATGCAGCGCATGCGCATAAAGGTTTTTTGGATGCGTCAAAAAAAGTAGCAACAGAAAACGCAACGTGTTAACGTGCTTTAGCTTCTCAAACTCGTTCTGCGTATCAAGGAAAAAGTCGCAGTTCATTGGGAAAATAAGACGGGGGATTTTTACGTAAGACCGCACCAAAATCTGCCACTATTCAAAAAATGGGGACGTTTTTATGAAGTATAGTATTTCATGGTGTATCTAACAACAAACTCGCACAAACGACCTCATTTTTTTATAGCCTCTGATAATGATGCGCTCCTGCGAATTTGGACAAACTCTAAAAAACGCTAGAGGTCTATCGGCGTAATCAAGCATTTAGTTTCGATTTTGCTCAGAGAATGAGAAGCAAACTCTAAACATAGCTGTTCGTGTCGCAACGATTTAAATCTTTCCGCTGCCTCGCAGTGAACAATTTTTTAACAATAGTGTGTCACAACAATATCAGAGATAAAATTTCCTTCACCATTTCTGTAAGTTTCTGTTTTACAACAATACCATTATTTACAATAATATGCTGTTTCTGGGATTTTTAGTTCCCAATATTCGAACAATTTTCCTATGTACACGTGTCTTCTTAGGGGCTGTTTACATGAGCCCGGTTACCCGAGATTCAACGAAGCGTGAGAGGACTTTGAGGTATTGAAATGAGCAGATAACATGATCCTGGCAGTCGTATAATCACCACAACAATAGAATGCGCTTGTTTGGTGTCATAAAGACTTATTTCAATACCTCAAAGTCCTCTCACGCTTCGTTGAATCTCGGGTAACCGGGCTCATGTAAACAGCCCCTTAAAGTGCTATTCCTGTTGAAGGAGACTCGCCTCGTCGAGACTGTTGGAGAACAGTTAGAACTCTTATAAGTTGTATTTAAATAATCGCTTTCGTGAAATAAATTAAGAAAATATTATGGTTGTGTATTTTACAATTAGAGGCTAACAGGTGAAACGTTTTTTACCTCTTTGGTAAGTCTATACCCCATTTTATGGTATATATATTGGTTTATTTGTCAATTATATTAGGGTATTATATAATTTATTCTTTCAAGAATAGTTTAGACTTGTTGATATTAAATATTTTTTATAGATACTCCAATTATTCTTTAGTTCAGTGATTGCATAGCGCGTAATATGCACCGAAGGCTCCGCAAATTTATAAAATTAGCCCAAGCATTGCCATGTCTTAATTTAAATATTATATATTCATTTGTTATTTAATTCGACTATTTACATATGTAATCTTATGTCTTACTTTCTTTTAATTGTGCCTACAAGAAAATTTTAGAGCATTTCATTGGTTTATACGCGGGCATAATTTACAGATTTGGGTGTAAATTTTAATTCGCCTATACTTCTCCCTTGCAAATAGCTTAAAACAACATAGGAATTGTTGCTCGAAACAAAAAAGTAACGTCAGGCTGATCGGTTTGAAAATGAGTATCTTGCTCATTAATTATAGTCGAAATGAAACAGTCGAACTCGCTACCACGTCAATCGAAATTTATTCTTGAAATAGCACTTTTATCATGCTATATCTCAAAAATCGGAAGTTGGATTAGGTGAACCAATTACACAATAGAATGTTATTACAAGGAATTTGAACAAAACCTTGACTTTTTAATCCAGTTTGTCTTCAGCGCTGGCAGGCACTGCACATAGTAAAAGATATAGCCAAGATAAAGGCTTAAGGCAATAAAATTAACAGCTAAAAATATACAAGTACTACACAAGACAATTACGATTACAATAAACATAGAGCAGACAAAATTACCCAACCAAACCGCTGGCATGTGAATAGAAAAGACTTGTTGGTTTTTGCAAAAGATATTCTTAATCACACTTCCATCCTGCCAGTTTATTTTTAAACTTAGTAAAGAAAAATACAGCCATTTTTTATATTATCATTTTTCATTTTTTACAGAAACTAGTATTGTTTTAGAATTTGGAAGGTTTCATAAAAATATCACATGCAAACGTAAGTGTTTTTGTTGAGTGTTTGTGTAATTTCTGAAAAATGAGCTGAGGTGCAAAAATGCTGCAAATGAATCGTGCAATATTCGAGATGTTTTTGAGAAAACCAATGAGTAATGAAGTCATGAATGTGCATAAGCAAGTGCATTGTGAACACATACAGAAAGACAAGCAGAAATTAGAATGAGATGAACGGAAATAATAAATACAACAAGCATGTAACACAAATAACATTTCAAAAAACCTTTTGCTGACATAAAGCAAACAAAGTTGCTCTGTACATTTTAAACAGAGCCAAAACCAAAATATTAGTTTTAATCCTGAAGTCTGAAGCACATGAAATAGTAGCACTTTAACACTATTCTTTAATAGAACATATAACCCTTAAAATGAACTCCCAATTACTTCCTTAGTTGTTACATCTGTTTTCAAAAAATGCTAAAAGCCAGAGAATCCTACATTTCAAATTCAAGTTTTGTCAAGTCACATATACCTATTTCCTATCAAGATGCATTTCCAAACCACAATTTCAATTTTTCACCACTTGTATTTTATATAGATATATAAAACATATGGTGTTTAAAATGAAGATTTAAATTTTTTAAGTTTAAATTTAAATATTGCAATTTTGAAAACAGGTGTTAGGCTATTGAGCAGATTTGTCACTCGATTGTTATTAAAAAACGACAGGAAACAAATAATCTTTGACTTTGGATCACTTTAGTTTCAGCAAAAAGTTTCAAAAAGAAATAAAGACAAAATTTACATACCATTTGGTAATTCTCCATAAAATCTCACTTGGAACCCTGCAAGAAAGAGAAAACTATTGTTGAGAAAAACAATAAGGAAGTTATGCAAAAACCCAACTTAAACACAGCAAATGCACAATAAGAAACGTTTAACAACAAACCTTTTAGGAATTTCTTCCCAATAATGCCAATTTCCTCACCACCTGTCACATAACCTTGAACTGGTCTCATCCACCAGATTTCAGGATTTCCTGGGGGAGCAGCTGTATCAATAGGTTCAATATTAGTTATACACAGACTGATTTAAAAGCATATTTTTACATCAATTTTTGATACAACCTTAGGCTAAGTCAGGGACAATTCTGATTGATAGCGTATAGGGCTATTAATACTTACTACACTGAAAAACTTTTGACTTGCAAGTAATAGTCTGACTGGGATAACCAGGTATTTCTGCAGTCATAACAAAACAGGCTTCTTTCCTTTCTGATTTCCAGTCAACAGGATTTAAACCTCTTCTTCGTAATTCTTTGTCCGCCTCAAAATTCCGCCGTCTCTTCAAACTGATGCAATCTAAGCTGAAAAATAAATATGCACTGCAAATGTGAGTATTTTCAAAGGAAGATCACCTAGAATGTGTCATATCTATCAAGTTCTATTACTATGAATTTTAACAAGACTTTAAATTTTTACTTACACAGCAGTCATTTCAGTTTCTGGTCCTACCAGCACTTGAATAGCACCAACACCATCTAGTAGGGTTGTATTTTGGCAAGGCAATTTAGTGGACCCAGGACCACACAACAGATGGAAATGGGGTGTTCCATTACTTGTTGCAAGATATACAGTGACCCACAATGGTTCATTGTATCCTTTTACCTGATATAAAATACAATTCAAGGGGAATTTAATTATGAAACAAATAAGTGTGTCCATTTCCAAAATGTGCATTTAATGGCACAAGTGAAACAAACTGCAATAGGTTACACAATAATGGAACAAGTGAGTATAAAGAATATTACCTGAAATGTAGGGAATGTCAGCTCAGATGAACCATGAACAGGCCCACGACATCCTTCACTCTCGTACCTGGCTCTGTAGTTCTAAAATATTTAAACAACATTAATATTTTGAGGAATCAAGTGAACATTCACACAAACATTACTATTTTTAACATTACTTTTCTCATTCAACATTGTTTTCACTATTCAGAACATAGATTAAATTCAGTGCATAGAGAATCGGACATGTTTTTTACCTTTACAACTCCATTTGCCCTACAGCATATTGTAATTGTTTTTCTACTGTTTCTATATTTTTAAACCATGTACAGTTTCGGTTACTACAGTCTTCAGCCATTCATTTTTAGAGACAACAAGAATCAATCAGCCTTGTAACATTTGTTGTTGATAATCTACACTTTATATACCATAAATATTACAGTGTATATCAATGAACTACTACAATAGGTAGGTCAACCTACCCAAAAAATAGTCATACAGAGTACACTTAAATGGTTCCAAACTTCAAACAACTCAATGAAGCAAGTGAAATGTTTATTCTTTATTACAGTATTGTAATATTAAATATGGTTAGATTTTTTGTATTGCATAAGATAAAATTTACAGGTATGCATAAAAATTTAAATACACAACACATGGACAAATACTTATGAAATAGAAATGTAAACTTTTATTTAGTATGTACAAACATCTAAATGATACTGTGGATTATAAGCTATTGTTACTTAACACAAACCTGCTCAGGCTGTTCAACCATGACTATAGAAGGCTTAACAGGATCAACCGTTTTCATTACTTTGCAAGGAACTTCATTACTATATGGACTGGATGGTCTTTTTTTCCCCAGAGTAAGCAAAGAAAGTTCATGTTTATTCTTCTTAACATTACCAGGTAAAGTTGAAGGAGTTTCATCTTTCTTTAGCGAATTTGTGACAAGAGTGGTCAAAAGATTGGATAGCAAAGAACGCTCATCTGTCGTCTTGGCAGCAACCAGTAGCTCCAGTAATTTCTTAACAGTCTTCTCAGTAAATCGAGGGGTTTGTGGCTTATCCTGGAGTAATTTGCCATTTTTGACATTACTAGGATGTCTATCATCTTCACTTTCTGTCAAAGGTGCAATGTTTTGGAACTCCTCTTCAGGTATATTTGGTAAATTAGGTGAAGATGGAGAGCTAGGACTTGATGAATCACAAGAAAAAGGTGACCTAGCCATACCAGAATCAACACTAGATGGGCTATCAATGTATGGTAAACCAAACAAGTTTTCACACATGTCAACTAAAACAGAAATAGAAACCTATCAGCATAGGAAGCCCCACTTTACCACCATCAGCAATAATGACATTATGTAGTATAATACATTTTGTAGGATTTAGTGTATGCACTGTTTTGCTGCAGCCCTTGAAATTCCACAACATAGAAACAGGAAACAAATTTCTTCAGGTCTGCCATCAGGACATTGGGACAAAAAATGACAAATCTTCTATTCAACAGGTTTTAACACTTGCTTGGAAGTGGTATAATAGTAAATAAATTGAAATTTAATGTATATATTTTATTTCTCTATGACTTATTTGCATGAAGTGACTAAAGATATGGAACCTCATATCTGTTGTTTATAGATTGTTTATACATTTCAAGTCTGTTGCTTATACATTGACAAAGAATATGGAAATAACCAACAACAATATATTGCAATATAGCAATAACTATGTAAATTAGTAAAACACAGTGTTTCAAAGTAACATTTGAATAGTTTGTTACATTTTTACAATCAGCATTTGCAATGTATTTAAACTTTCCATCTGGGTCCAGTTGTATAAAAGACTAGTTAACTTTAACTGTAGTTAAGGACAGAATTTAACTATGCAAGATGTAGTTTTATACAACCAGCCCCTAAAGGCAAACAAATCCTCCAAAAAAATAATTAGATTTAAAAAAGTCAAAATAGGCAACTTTAACATAGTAAAACACTGTATTGTAATAATTTGAATAACTATACTTAAAAGGTATTAGTTATAAAATATGTACAACCCATGTTAAACTATGGTATTGTTATCATGAATCCAAAGCAATCCCAAAAATAGCTGAATTCATAAAAATTTCTAAAAACATTTCAGTTATCCCAAGTTAAAATTCACGATGACAACCATATAGGCTTAGACTTCACATCCGCCATAACAATTCTCAAAGCAGCATTTTCACGATAAAAAAGCAAAAGTTGACTGGACATGTAGTCTTACTTGCTACTCAATGCAAATTACAAACATGTTGCAGTTGCAACAAATCCATAACAAATAGGTGAAAATCCTTACATTAATCTTTCTGCTGAATGTAAAAGAAGTCAAGACACACACAATGCTTATAATTAGATAAATATATTCAGAGCGAAACCTTACCAATTGTAGTCTACATAACTTCAAAAATAAATTGCTCACGAATAAATTGTATGCCGGGATGACTTTAAAACATAGGATGAAGCGTCGAATTAAATAACTCTACTTAAAAATTAACACATGAATGTTGGAAATTTTATAAAACATGTATTTACTATTCCACTAGGGCAGACTACTATATCCTATATAATTTGTTGTTAACCAGATCATTCCCCAAGAATGTTGCAATTTTAAATATGATTTCCTAACATGATTTTATTTAGGCAACATGTTTTAATCCCTGGTTACTGTTTTTTATACTGAACCAAAGGTGAATTTTCATCTCTATGGTATGCAAGGTATGGAAACATCAATTTTGAGGCAAGCTGGACTAGTAAAGCTCTGAAGAAATATTATGATAGGATTATTAAATACTAATAATGATTTTTAATATATATGGTTAAAATAAATTTTAAATTGTTATAAAATTATACAGTTCCTATGTTATTAATTATCAATAAAACTTATAGCTAAGGATGTATTGTAATTTAAAAAATAGCATCTGAATCCAAATTCTAGGTATTCACATTTTACACATTACATACAGTAAAGTTTTAGCACAAGAGCAAGACAGGATGGAAGACAGATGCATCATGTAAACACAGAGTAGCACATCACATACATATGATGAGCAAACCAATTAATACTTTGAATAATACCACCACAACCTTATATGGCCGGCAACAAAGCCTGGAAATAAATTTCAAGGATTGTCCCTTAAAATTAAATGAAACTCACATGGTTTTGTATCAACATAAAAACCAAAAAATGCAGGTCTGATCGACGCCAGACGTATATCTATGACACTTCTAACAATCAAATGCACCTCAAACATAAACCATATTTTGTCAAAATATAGATACGCTTTTTTGAACAAATTTGCGAGTTTTCCCGCAATTTTGTCCGCGAGGTGTTATTTCCATGCCATTGAGTAGCATTTTAGCAATCGTTTCCATTTGATTGTTTTTAAAATACCATATATAAACGAGCACCAAGTGTTAACTATGACCGGGCCTTGTTTCGACAAATATTTCAGGAATTTCTATTTTTCAGCATAAACAACAATTTTAGACGGGGACATATGAAATGCTACTGCCTTTCTAGAGGGTTTTCACAGGTAAATAATTTAAAAATATCACAAAAGGACACGAGATTCTAAAGCGAAATCTGCCATGCATTTAAACATGCACTACACATACCTTCGTTTTGTGTGCTAAAAGACTCACCAAAACCGGCTTGTTCACTCATATTATGCAGAAACGTTTCTTAAATAGCTTAGATGCAACTTTCTTAATACGCTTTCGAAAAATTATGACAAATAAATTTTCAAAATTGTACAAACACGAACATACAAAACCAAACTCCAACTAAAAATGATGTCAATCCACCTACTAGTGCCAGTTTTTTTGCTCGGTTAGAGCCTAAATTCGCGCCAAAAACTGGGGCCGATTGTCCAAATATGGAAATTTTCCCATCGTTCATAGTACGCTTGCACTGACCTATGAGACTATGAGACTATGACAATTTACAAATGAATCATGTTACAAAAAACTTTGAGAAATTAAATAGCGTAGGCACTAGGCAGTAGCAACAGAACTAAGCGGAACGTTTATATTTCAAAATAGGAGGCGTTATTTTTCTACCTCATAAATAAAAAGAGGAGACCATACAAAGGTGCAACCCGAGATGGACTGAGTAGTAACATTAGTCAACAATCATTCATTATCGAATATTAAATCTGTTCTCATATATTTGTCGTTTACTGTTGGATTTATTTGAAAAAGTGCCATGCATCCTCGAAATTTTTAGAAAAAAACTCCTTTTGTGTTCTTATGATTCTCTTCACAAAGGCATCTAAGCTGTTAAATTTTATCACAAGGCGGAAATAACGTCCAAGCCATTTAGCTTCCTTTTGTCAGTTTTGCGTCATCTACAAAGGGGTTCTTTCCTCGTTCTTTTCAGTGTCACGTTTCTGGTATGCGTAGGCGCACGTACGCGTACAAAGACGAAATTTAGGCCAAAACTTTTTTTTAAATGTAATAGTATGGGTTCGAGTGCATGGCTTCGAGTTTTAAGACTGCAAAAAATACATTATATATAGATGCAAAAAATATAGGCGAGAGGGTATTTCCGCAACTTTAAAACAGGATGTTAAGTGTTTATAATCCAAAAGGCAAATCAAGTCTTAATCAAATTTAGGTTTAAAAGAGAAAGAACACTGGATTGTTTTTAGCTTAAGATACCCTTTTATAATAAGACGAACGGTTAATCTTATTTCCAACAATCACTTGGCAGCTCTTAACTTTTTTTCCCGGAAATTTCCGGGGAAATTACATGAGTCATGATGACCAGTAAACTGTAATAAAACCTGGAACGCTAACTTGGCCGCCATCTTTGTGGAAACGTAGAGAGTAATTATCTGGGAATATCTAGAACTACGTAAAATACAAGGCATTTGCTAAATTTTAAAAAATTGAACGATTTTTGGCTTCAACCTGGTCATGACTTACATGGGGCGAGTTATCCCAGCTAAACGAGGAGAAAGCTTAAGTCTCTGATGTAATAGACTTTTTACCTCGCCTGGCCGGGATAACTCGCTCCATGTAAACAGACCCTTACTGGCTGCTTCGATGTCATTGACTCGCTGTTTTCAACCGTTCTTATAATGACGTTGAAAGCGGAATGTCTGATGCTAAAGTTTGATTGGCTCCACAAAACTATCGAGCCAATCAAACTCCGTGATACATCGGACTTTCCGCGTTTGACTTATGAAAAAGGTTTATTGGACACTGTTGTTCAGTGCATGGCGTAACGGACGAGGTGGGACCCTTGCGTATATTCGGTATTGTTGGAATCCTGCATGCTTGTCAGCAATTATTTTTTACTCATCCCATATTGTTGCTTTATCTATCCTGGTGTAGATTACATTAATGGGGACACTAGTCTCTAGGGCTCCCAGCGGCCGGGAACGCTTCGATTCTCGGCCTAAGCTAATTATATAACCATATGGCCAACCTAACTGGCAAATTTTGCATTACTGCACTCGGAAGTAAACCAACATAGCCTGCACGCAGAGTTAAGCCCTTCGAGTTAAACCCCTCGAGTAAAAGCCTTTTTCGAGTTCAGCCCCGATCATGCCCTTTTCGTGGAAGCCTTAACTCGAAGTACGAAACACGATTTTATCATTCGAATTAAGCCGCGGGTCTTAATTCGTAGTACGAAACATGGCGTTTGTTTACTAAGATTAGTGTTTCTCGAGTTATGCCTGGCCGACTTTTAAAATATGTGAACAAATTAATACGCCTGGAAATACCAGATAATTGGATCATTATGTACGGGGAAAAGTTGTTACGTTATACCAAAATGTAGTAAATGTTTTTGCACAAGCGTTAATTAAGGTATTGCGAATCTGCGATTCATTTATATTACACTTTTTGAATTATTATACAATGTGCCCAAATTTTAATTTTTTCCGGATTTGTAACAATAAACTTCATTTTATTTTCCGGTTTAACAAAGATTACCAGAAAGAATGTGTTGACCTTTGGCAAGAAAACTGGTTTCAAAAACTCTGGCTATGTATCTCTTTTTCAGTAAGCCTGAATTTTCCGGCTGAACGTTGCCCAAATTTCTTGATTCTCGAGATTTCGAATCTGGTCAGTGAATTCCCGAAGGCGGCGGAGAAATGTATATGGATCGTTTTGAATTGGATAAACTTAGACCAAGGAGTTCAAACTCAAACTAGATGTAGCTCGTGAAAGACAAAAATATCTATATTTATTGACATGTGCTCGTGCAAAAATATCACGCCGGGAAGAAATTGAGACGTTTGGTATTTTACTCAAACGTAACAACTTTTCCACGAATAATGATCCAATTATCCCGCATTTTCAGGTGTATTTATAATTTGTTCATATATTTCAAAAGGCGGGGCATAACTCGAGAAACACCATTAATTCTTAGTCCAATAAGTCCTATTTCGTACAACGAGTTATCATTTTTGGTGTACTCTTTATAGGGGATACCGTTTTTGGCCACCCTCATATTAATCAACATTTTGAAAATCGGAGATTGTTCACAGAATGACGTCATTACCGTTCTTATGGTAACAACAATTTTACTGATATCTCGTGAAATTAGTCTTGGGTATCCCTGACTCAAACTTGGTGGGTATGGATGTATCCCCACATGCAGCGGTCATGAATTGTTAACAAGCTACATAGGGCCACTTCTCTGTGTAACGCAATCGCCTAGATGTTCTAATTGGCTGGAAAATGCAATTGACTGGCTGTGAATAGGGTATTTATGGTAATGTACTAATGCTTTGCGTAGTAAGATTGCGATTATTCCCAATTCTGTGCGGTATGCCTCGATTTTCATGCAAACAATGTACACAGGGTCGCTACAAAATTAAACGGTTTAATGAAAAGTTTCGTTTTACATTCACTTCTAACATGAATAACATCACATGCATGATGGACATCGTGCACTATTGTGGTCTATCGCATCCAATATCGCATCTACCCGCAAATATTGTGCCTAATCCTATCGCATATAACCATATATATATTTGATATCCGACATATTGATGCTGTTGCATTTATCCGCCAGTAACGCTAGAAGTAGTGGAATATTGTCTCGGCTTTTAAACATTACTAGGATATTTTCATTTTGGCAATATACGAATATCGACAGTGCACATGCATGCATGTACATGATCACGCATCATGCTACTTACAGCAATTACAAAAACATGGAAGGTTTGGCAATCTCTCTGCTTTTACCATGACTCCTGGGCCAGGCCTTTGCAACGTCATGTGAAACTCTTCCAGTCCTGACACATTAGGAAGTTGAGTCATGATGATTATGTTATTATTAAAATATTTTGGTGCGTTTTATATCCAAAATCACCAGCCAAAAATAATTATATGATATAATTCAAAGTATGCAGTATGATTTCATTTCAGGGAAACTACCAGATGTTTGAGGGTCGTGGGAGTACAACGTCATATCACCATCGATGAAAATTGTTTTAGAGCAATCAGTTTTTGAGTGACTAGAGAATCAGCATGGAAAATATTCAAAATATTTCAATTTCGTTTAGGGAATGTCACTAAGCGATGTGATTTTAAACCAGAGACAGACACATTTCCAATGCCACGTGAGTTACAAAATCCAAAAAAAGACTGAAATTTTAGCGTCGACTTTATATGAATAGGGATCTTTACAATGCCACAAGATTTGACCGCAATTTCGTGTCAAAGAGAATGTGGGAAGTCCCTACAATCCATCATCAGACACTTACTGCCGGAATTACTGCCATTATTGCAATTGGCATGGTGACAATTAATTCCTGCATCGGAAAATTCCGAACTTTGATACAAAGTTACTGATATACGACTACGAGACAGTAAGAGACGAGCATTAACATTGTCATGTATGAAAGACACTTTCAGTTTTTATAGAAAAATATATTACAAGATCCTTAGTTAGATTGCATGTTGTTGTTAAGCCAATTATACAGGAATTTCGAGACAGCAGGTAAGTTAGTAAAAAATTCATATACTTTTGTTGAAAAATTTGGTCGCCATCTCAATTCTACCATTGGAATTTTAAGCTTTGCTCAAAAAAGGAAGAGGCAAGTGTATAGTCATGTACAGTAAACACGCGGTATTATCTCGACAACTCATAAAAATATTACAACCTAGTCATTTTCTATCGACGATGACTCAGCGATATAGGCTATAGATGATTACTCAGCAATACAGGTTGAGAAAAAAACCCCTGACACATTTGAAATTCATATTAGCTGCGAATTTATGGCTGGAATATGACAATTCCCATGTACAATCAACAAAAACGATTTGATAAAACTGTTCTTTTGTATTTACAGAGCTTAGAATGCATTTTAACTCCCAATGGGAACAAACTTTATGCTTCAGGTTAATTGATATGATATGCTTCGTATACCTATGAAATATTCAACTTCTGCCACATTACAGCCGCTATGCGACTAATTTGAATTTCAAAGGTGTCAGTTTTTTTACTCACCCTGTATATCATCGTGATCAGCCCGCTCTCAGCCGTGATCTAAGAATATACTTGTATATATCAGGATTATCAGGAGCGTAATCGCTCCCATAGAAATGATCTTTCACAAAATCCCCTCCACATTCCACTGGTATACCCACAAAAGAAGTATGGGAATTCCCTACTGAAAACTGAGTTATTCTATATTTTTAGATCACGAAATCATACACTATATTGTCTGGACTGAATCATGCATGATGATATGTCATATATTGATTATCTTCTGAATGAATAACTGAAGCCATCAAGTCAGAACCCCAGGCCCAGCTTGTGTATTTGTTATATATCGGAAGGGCTTTCTTCGGTCCGGACCTTCATCAGTGAATTATGGGAAATTCATACATTTTTGTACAAAAATATTTTGAAATATCAATTTGTAAAAAAATCCGATCTATTTAATATAGCACGAAGGAATTTTTTGTGTAGTTTTAGAATGAATTTCAAATTTCAAGTTTAGAATGAATTTCAAACGATTGAGGTAAGTCAAAACTAATCATCACATGCCTATGGCTATGCCGTTTTCGCGATTTAGGCCATTTAGAATATATTATACATACATTTCATTTTTCGAGAGACGAGAGTACATCTAAAAATGACTTGTAACGTTTTACGAACGTCATTTACATCCGAATTTTACATAGGCGAAAATAAATCATTTACAACAAAATGGAAACTAGTTAACCAGGCATCACATGTAGCCTACGCCGTTTTCGAACGCCGTGCTTCTCATATGACAAACGCATTAACACAAGAGAGTCTAAACTCGTACCCAGGGGTTCATAATAAATATCTAACATGCCAGGCCGATAGATGGTACAGATTGTGCTATACTTCTGGTGCCAGTTGTTCAAAAGCCGGTTAGCAGCTAGCTTAACCCTGGGTTAACTCAAATTTTTACGTCAGTAATTTTAATCGCTCGGTTATGCGGTTGAACCTGTTTTCCCATAGATATTTTGTGGATAAATAGAAGTCTTATTTTGCAAGGTCTTGAAACAAACAGCAGTGCAGAACCATATAAACCAAAACAGCTGGGTAAAATTTAACCCAGGGTTGGCGCTAAACTAGCTTTGAACAACCGGCCCCTGGTGTCATGTTGTTTAGTTGTCAGTATATAACAGGGCTGTTATTATTAGTTTATTAGTAATTAGAATATATGATTTGAAATTTGTCACAATAAGGTATTTTTGTGCTCTTTTTGCGGTCATAGGAATTAACGATACCCATCATCATCATGACATCATCATCCGTCGGTTCCGAATGTCAAATAACGTCAAAGCCTTTATTAACAGGAGGAACCGAGGTAGGAGAAATTTAAAGAAATATGCCAATACAGAGATTACTTTTTATCGTGTAAAATATTGATGTCAAATGTCTTGGCCAATGGCCAGTCGTCTTGGCTAGCATTAGTAGCATATTTTTCATCTTTATAAACAATCCCAGAATGTAACGTGGTTCTTGAGAGTTGAGATGGCAATCAAAATTCAATAGTTCTTACATGACGTTTTGCAAATAGATCGACTTACGTGGCATTAGAGAGTGTACAGGAAAAAACACAAATTGATTTAAATTTTTAAATAAATTTTAGACTTATGTGCCACAAAACGTTTGAATATACCATGGATCCTATATAGAATAAAAAATACACACATCACGTTGTCATCACTCGTCACTCGATTAAACTTCTGTTCAGTCATACATGTGTTCAATGGTGGCAATTAGGAATAGCGACCCTAAAATTACTGTTGTTTAACCTATCTAGAGGTTTCTCACGTAACAATAAATTCAAGGAACGGTAGATAAAATCAAATTTGTGAACAGTTACGGCTACGCCTGGCTGTATCTATATTTTTATTTATTTAATTATTTTTATGTGTAAAAATGTCAGCGAGGCAAACCGCGGGCTCAATATATTGCACTGTCATCAATAGTCACATTTGTAAAAATCTCGGCAAGGAAAAATTAGGAAAAATGATGTGTTATTAGAGTTAAAGGTCGTGTCTTCTGAAAGCCTGAAAGAACTGAAGGACTTCGTATTTACAGAAAAGATAATGTTATCGTCCAGTAGCGTCAGTTTTCTCATTTACGCAATCATGCTATGCAATGTAAACACAGTGCTTTGCGAAGATCATAGCTTAACTAGTACAGACTACTCCAAGACGGTACAGGTAAGAAAAAAGACTTGAATGCCCCACTTCAGTGAAAAGTACCATGAATTTTAGCAAACAATGACTAGACTGCCAACCAATTGAGATGATTTATGTTTGTTGTCAAAAATACTACAAAGGTCATAATGATAACACTTGGTCAAAACACATGTCACTGATCTCAAATGCCTCCTCCCTGATCAAATATATACCCAGCCAATTTACTTGTGTAGCATTTGTAACAATTTAAATCCTCGTCCTCATTCAAATGCCCTATGCTACAATTTTAAAAACACAAGTGACTAGGTAGCAAGATGCTAGTGATATTGTCACCCGGAGCTTTCGACATAATAGCACATCACTATCAGTTTTCCAGCCTATGAACAGACCAAATAAATTTAACAAACCAAAAAAGGGTTATGAGTCTAGGCTATGGTTTGTGTGCTGGAAGGTTGCTCGTCATATTTTGTTGAATGTTTTTGGTGGATGTTAATGAAAGGCATTTATTACAATTACAAAGAAATAATACCAAGAAAATAATAATTATTTAAATAATACAGATAAGTGTAATAATATGGCATACTACCGTATATTAACATTGGTAGGTGAGAAGAACATTGTGTTTGTTTGAGAATACAAGTGAAATACACTATGAGGTAAATTGTAAAAAACATAAATATTTTAGAATATGATTTTATAAACTGACAAATTCTCTATAAAGTTAAAGAATAAATGGATAATGCTAACTTTAAAATCAACATAATTTAATATGATTAAACATTAACACATTTAACAGACAACTTTATCTAACCACATGAGGCACAAGAGATGTCGACCATTTTGTAAATTTAGAAACAAAAGAGAATAAACCAAATGCATCTTGGCCACATGTATATTGGCTAGATTCTGTACAGGCACCTCCCTTTTTCTGGATTGACACTCTGAATCATGTCCCTAATTGGAAGTGCCTGCCCCACCACTTTTGGCATACTTGATCCACAGCCTCATGTTCACCTCTTACAACTATTGGTTTCAGCAGTATTCTTCTCTTGCAGACAAGTGATGAGGTGAAATCTAAAGGCAGCCATCCTTTGGGAAAATTTTATGGCTTTGTGCACGGATTTGTTGCGTCGGTGTCCGTTATTATAGTCTCAGAACTCGGTGATAAAACCTTCTTCATTGCAGCCATTATGGCGATGAAGTATCCGCGAATGACGGTGTTTACTGGTGCTCTGGGGGCACTAGGATTTATGACTGTCCTCTCGGCAGCATTAGGCTATGCGACTACCATCATTCCGAGGAAATTCACGTTCTATGTGTCCACCGCACTTTTTGTATATTTTGGTTTGAAAATGTTACACGAGGGTTACAAAATGGATCCAAATGAAGGACAAGAAGAATACGAAGAAGTTCAAGCCGAACTTAAGAAAAAAGAAGAGGAGGTATTCAGAATGATTCATGAAATTGATAGTGCGGTAGCACCCGGAGTTTGAGACTACATATGTCATATACTCGTCTCCAGAGCCTCCTCTTAAGGTCTAAAATCTTTTGTGGAGACTTTAACTTGGAGTATAGACAATCTAGATGACAATATCTTTTAGATAGTCTATGCCAGAAAGTAAATGGTTAAATGCTGTAGTGGCACTATGTTTTTTACAGCTACAAGAAACGTCAAGAACGTCTGTGGTCGAAGATCCTGAATCTGGTATCATCAAAGTGACCAAACAACCGGGCCATTGTTTCGGTTTAGTCTCACCCGTATTTCTGCAATCTTTCACTTTAACGTTCTTAGCGGAATGGGGTGATCGATCTCAGTTAGCAACAATTATTTTGGCCACAAGAGAGGTAATAATTTTAGCGCTCACGAAATATTCTTCTAGATTCAATGAACTCAAATATGGGGGATTGAAGCCGATGTCTTTTAGTGGAAATACTTCACACTAAGATTCAGGCAAAAAGGGATATATAAAAACTATAAGTCTATATGATTAAATATACCACCAGGCAACAATAAGTTGCGCCATCCAATCTGTGCTGATCATACATGCATCGAGATACATACACAAAATTATTATACCACTGAAATAGGAGTAGAGATTCATGATCCTCGTTCTCGCATACCCTCCAGAAACTATATTTGTATATTCTAGGATGTTCTGGGCGTTACTTTGGGTGGCACGTTGGGTCACGCTTTGTGTACGGGATTAGCAGTCATTGGTGGTAGGCTTATTGCACAGAAGATATCTGTAAAAACAGGTACGCAAATTTTTTAAAGCTGCTTCACACGGCTTCGTTTTTCGCTGTACGAAAGTTGAAATCCGTAAACATTTTGAACCTGTACCAATGCCAAATGTCTACCAGGATAAATGGCAGTTTTCTGCTTGTCAATTGTATTTGTACGTTTGCTTATATTGTTTTATATTTCCACGGCCCTTGATATTACGTTAAAAATATGGAGAATATACCATGCGTTTTGCTGTACTTTCACTTCCATTTAATAACAATTTTACTTTTTTTCTTTTCAGTTACCCTCATTGGTGGCGTTGTATTTTTACTGTTCGCAGTTTCATCATTGATAATAGGACCATGATATCGAATTTTAGTCCTGACTATATTTGATTGCCGAACCACATGCATGGATGCTCAGTATATACCACAATATTGGTGTATAAATGATATGTTAATAATTGGAGATTAATAAATGCCAGCATGTTTAAAACTTTTAGCCCCTCGTACACTTTTCAGAACATCACAAATCAGGCCCTCTTAAATTCTCAATGTTCCATGTTTCCTTAAGTTTCCAATTAAGGTACGACTTTTGAATACTTTACCTTTTGTCCCTTTGTCTGATCGATCAATCGGAAAATCTCAATGTTGGCATTCAAATCTTAATAAAAATTATTGAATAAAGGCTATAGCAGCCAATGTAATGGAATTATATTTTAGAAAAGGAATAAAATATAACAGAATAATTCGATGGTCCATGTATTTTAGCTGTATTTAGGCCAAGAACTTAGCTATAGTCGCGCATTTGCCTACTAAATTCAGAGAGGTGGTATTATGGCATTTATGTCTATGATTAAAAGAAAGATAAGTTGGCCCTTAGACTTTCGTATTACTTTTTTGGGCTTGCCCCCTCTTGTGTGTCCGTTGGTAAGACAAGGGCCATCTGGACACCCTGGAGGCCAGTCTCAATTAATAAGGTCAATCCGAGTCAGCATGAAAGATTCTGAGCAGTATGGACAAGAAATGTAGCTGGCGACGAAGACTTGGTAACACTGTTTTTCCTGCATCGATCGCCAGTGTTGTTCAGCTTAAGTGATTCTGTTGACTTCATGGGACTTTGCACCAACGCGAACAGCTGCACGCCATTCAGGCTCGACCAAGGGGTACACGAATACGTGGTGACTTTGGGTCAGATATATATCCAAACATAGCTGGAAATATATACCCAATGATTTATCATACCATAGTGTATGCGACACCTAGCATCCAGAATTGTAGCATAAACATACAGTATATATGAATATCAGAAAGTCGACGTCGAGAACAATTATGTTATGATAGATAATCATAGCTCTTATTCCAAAGGGTAAAACAGCCGGACCACACTTCCTTTTTGCAGTGTTCTGCACTAATGTACTTTTTTCTTAGTCCAACGTTAAATCCTCACAAAATTTCTGTATTGCTGCGACTTCATTTAATTGCTTGTCCTTTTCTTCCTCGTCATTTTCATTCGTCAAAAAATTAATGACTTCGTACTTGTTAGAAGATGTATCTGACAAACCAGCCCTTTTCTTTTCGCTACTACTCCCAACCCTGTTTTTAGCTCGCCACTTTGGCATTCCTGTATCAAGTTGTCTTTTTTCTTTGAAAGAATTGTCAACTCTTTTTCTCCCCATTTTTAATATTGCTTCAGTCATAGCGTCATCGACCTCTTGCCGTTTCTTGTCTTTCTTTTTCACTTTGATTTCTTGTATCTTTTGTGCCTTCCATGTTTCGAAAGTGATCGACTTTTTATAAGGCTTTTTCACGCATTCAGAGTCACCGTGCGACGCCGGTGCAGTTATGGGTCTTTTCCATTTCCGTTCTTTTCGCTTTTGCATGACCCACGCTTCTTGGGTTGCCTCTTTTATCTCTGCATTGCTTGTTGGTCTTCCAGCCGAAGTAGTGGGTCTTTTGAAGCTTTCTTTTTCAAGCCATTTCTCTGGCGTACCCTTTTTTGATAACTTACTACCCATACCGCTTATTGAAAGCAATCTACTGTTAGCTGTTGCAGGTCTTTTATCATAGATCTCACTACTGCCTCTATCCAGGTAGGCCTGATCCACTGAAAGATTTCCCACCACATTACCAATAGAAGGCGGCCCTTGATCATCGGTTTTCGATTGTGCTTCCAGTGATGTACTTGGCTCGGTAATATTGTCATGATATTTATCGGCACCGGTTAAGGTCAGTTTATTATTATTTGTGTTGTTCTTACTCGTATTGGCACTTCTTTTTCCACAACTAAGCGAAACCTCCTCTCCTACAACCCAAGCCTGACTACCTTTAAAAGTGGGTACAACTGTATAGTCTGGAGGTGGATCATTATCCTTTCCAACTGCACAATTTTGTACAATGTCCTCAATTTTCCTAATGCGTTTTTCTCTGCGTGCACGTCTCGCTTCTTTCTTTTTAGCAGTCAACCACTGTGCGAATCGCTTTTCGCTTTCTTCGATACGCTTCTGTTTTTTTTCAGCTTCATCATACGCATTCCGCCTCTTCTCCTTTCTTTCTTTCTTCTTATTCCTTTGCTTTTCGCGTTCTTCAAAATTCTTCAATCTCAACCAAGCTAGCACACTAGGATTTGACGAATGTACGAGGTGATGGTCGCTGTTCGTGTTTCGATTGGTATTCTCGAAACTCACGGGTGAAGCTGTGTTTTTACCTTTCCTGGAGTTTTCGCCCTGTTTGAACGTGCTTCTGTATCTTTTATTTTTTTCATTATTCTCATACCGGGATTTCAAGGTTTCCTCTCCTTCCTTCGACTTATTAGACGTAACGGAAAAACGCAATGACTGGCCATTTTCCCCCAGGTGTTCTTCGTCAAAAGATAATCGCATACTCGTGTCTTGAAACGCACCATCCTCTGGATAATCGGGTACAATGAATATTCTGAATGACGATTTCTTACTTTTACTGCTAGGCCTATTGGAGATATGCTCGCCTATCGCTGGACTGGAGGGCGAAGAATTGTCAGTGCTTCTATTAGTTTGAGTGCTAACATCGCAGTTAACGCCCTCAATAATTGCCTGCAACACAGACATATCCTTCTTTCCTGGTGGACAATTTTCCAACTTTGCATCTCCTTTCAGTTTAGTGTCATCCATGGTTCTTACATCAAAACTATTTCAGAATAGAAATGAAAGAATATATAAGTAGAGTTAATTGTAGAAATATACAAGTCATGATCGATGCATGCCATTTGTAAGTAGATTTCACATTGTTGATAAATACATGTAGCTGCTGTAGCTAAAAATACATTTTCTAGCCCTTCAAATTTGCTAATAAAAAGTGCTAAAATATTTAGGTGTTAAGCAATACTAATCTGACTGACTCACTGCTTTTGATTACTCAGATATCATGGCTTGAAAACTTGCATGAAATAAATGTTATAGCAGTATAAATACTACTTAGCATTAAATGTGGTATAGCAACGGCCTAAAATAGACAAAATACTTCTTGATGTTTCGACCTGAAGGTCTTCATCAGGAGAGTTAGTTAGTAGTATAAACTATATATATAATATACTATATGGAATTAACACATGTAATCCTTGCATGGTTACAAGGCTTTAGAAGCAAGCATTTTCTGTTAAATACTGAGAAAGGGGTGTGAAACTATTTTAGTTGCAATAGAATTCTCATATTTTCATACCAAAATGAAGAATTTAAAACATTACATCAACATTTCGACAATACCAAGTCTAGGGCTGACTCAACCAGATGACATGTCAAAAGTATTAAAGGACAGAATCTCTTCAAGCATAGTTATCAGTATTGACTAACTCAAGGTATCACCAGCACTATTAATATTGTCAGGGCCAGATTAACCATATGGCAGAAGCGGCATTTGCCACTGGCCCCACGGTTTTAGGGGCCCCACGCTTTACTCATTTAAATTTTTTTTTGGTGCGTGGAAGACGGAAAAAGGGCCACAAAGCCGCATAGCCACAAAATAGAATAAAGTGAAAAACCTACAAGAATAAAATTAAACTGCATGTTGTTGGAAATATATAGTCCTCTTTCAGAAAACGTCTTAGGCTATTTCTAGTTTAGGCAATGCAATATTATACCCAATTTTGCAGAAATCTCACCCCCAAAACGCAGGAAATCGCATTTGCTGCGCTCTAAAACACAAAATTTTCTTGGGGGAGGATGCCTCCCCAAGCCCTCCCGACACTGCTATAGCCCCCTTACACCTCTCAATGTTCTGGTCATGCATTATCGCGCTACAGTAGAACAATTTTACCCCGAGCCCCAAAAATTCTGTGGCCGGTGAGTAAAGGCTTTGATGCTTTACGGGATTGAAGGGCCCCGCGCTGAAAAAAAAATCCGGCCCTGAATAATGTATTCATCTCTTGACCCAGATGAGATTCCAATATTGAATATTCCACCCCACTCAAGAAACATGTTACAAAAATAGAAAAACTGTAAACTCACTTCAGTCATGTACAATATATGAGATGAAAAAAGTAAATTCTGGATCAATATGGGAAAAGCAAATGCATTTATCTCTATCCCACATTGTAACACATAAACCCCAAATGTAAAGACCACTATTGCTTTAATATTGCCTCAAATTTATTCATACGACCGTGCTGAGCTGGAGCGTAATTAAAGAATAATATAAAAAATTACCGATCATTTATATTGTGACCATTCCATATCCCGTCGAGTTCTATTGCAGTTTGTTTCGCTAGTTTACTCCACTTGTTTTTAAAGTTTAAATTTAAACAAAATCAACAAGACTAGTAACCATGGCGACTATTAGTCATGCGCGCGGCGGGAACACGGGGACATTGGACGGGAACACTGAGCTATATATATACTAAGCTCAGTGGGCGGGAATTTCTGCCACTGATTTCTGCCCATTGCCTGCGAACAGGATAGGAATCACAGGAATATTATTATTATAGTTCACTGGGATAGAGTCTAGACTACGTTTCTTTGGGTTCGACCCTTACGGTATGTTCAGAGACTGTCAGCAGCGACTTTGACTTAGTATAAAAACTATTTCACACGTTGGTGATGTATTGGCCTGAAGTAGCAACCACAGACAATTTTCACAGCTAGGCCTAGGGCGCAGGAACCCGGACACTTTTCAAAACGCTAGTTCTCCTTTGCACAAGACTTTTAGTGCAAGACTGCAAGATGCACTCTCGGAAAACATCAATTGTACAACTTTGTATCCCTAACTACATAAACTAATCAAGCCAAATCACATACAATCATTTCCGCATTGTCCTACTGAGGACATTCCAATTTCATCCTTCTTTTTTAAACCTTCCTTTTCTAAAACTTCCTTAGTTAAACTGTCAAGCTGCTCTCTCAATGAAGCGTTTTCCACTTCCAGCTCCTTTATTCTGCTTTCAATCCACTCAAAGCGCGCTTTTCTTCCATTACGCGATTTTTTAGCTGCTTCATTATTGCTATTTCGTCGTTTCCGGTATCTCTCATCTTTTCCCTCTTTACTCTTATTTCTAGATTCGCCTCGAGATTCGGAACTCACGTTTCCGACCTCAGCACTGGACTCACTACTACGATGGGCGCAGTCTTTGCCTAGAATGCTATTTGTATTATTCTCAAAGTTTAGAGGTATCATACTGGATTTCTCTGGATCTAGCGTGCTTTTAAGCTTTTTAACAACTTCGCTCTCGTCAAGCGATGTTGCAATAAGAACTAAGTTTACATTTTTATTACACAATTTCTCTAATAGAGGATCCAAGTTTGGATCCACGTTATGCTTGCGAATTTGCTCCATGCCATTGATTGTACCAGAAATACACGCCTCCATGCCTAATTGAGATGAATCCACTTGCTGGTGAGACTGGTGAGAACTTTGGGCGTCGTTACAGTCAGTATGTTGCCTCAAAATACTGTCAAAGTATTCCAGTTCTTCGCCCATATTGCAATCGTTTCCTTTGCCAAATATATCCTGGTTCATAGCTACTGTCGAGGTGGACGATAGAACTTTTCAAACAGTTTTCTAAATTTAAATTGATTAAAGAAATTGCATGATTGTATAGTCCTTCTATCGTAGCATGCATGCATGTTCACTAGCTGACTTATTCATCATTGTAACTATTAAGACAAATTGTTTTCTTGCAATATCAACGTACTATATCACAGGGAAGCATTGTCCGCGTGTAACTTGGTCAAACTGTTTTGCTATTGGTGGAAAAAACAATAAAGTATCAAATTTAAGTAAATTCACCAAATATGCAGCAAGTATACTGGACTATTTTAGAATTTATGGGGAAGCCATACCAAAAATAGGCTGTTTCCAAAGATCTAGAGACTTCTAGTCAAATGTCAACCAACCTATGTTGTTTATGTCACTGGGACCTAATAAGGCTATATGAAAATAAATAGAAATCGGTCAATATCACACTACATCCCCCCTTATTTAGATTGCTGACTCATACGTTGCCGTGATGTGAACGCTTCGACTATGTGGACAAAATGCTTTAAACAAAAAAAATCTATGCAATAAGCGGGGTAGCTTCCGCTGGTTGAAGTAGTATCTATATCAAATACTAATACCATAAACACTGTTGTGTAAATAGTCTAGTAGTACTGTATGACTACGGGATACTTCAAGGCTCAATTCTAGGCCCATTACTATTCCTTACTTACACTGAGCAATTATAACGATTTAACCAAATCCATTTACCCACTCTGATTTACAAATATTCACTACAAAAGATTACATTCACGACCGACACTCTAGTCATCAGGGGTGATCGTTGCCAAGTGTCAGTGATCTTATATATGAAGGCAATGAAGCCATTCACAAGAGTGCAGAAACGTGGGTCGTGAATGCATATAATTTTTTGTATGGTGATTATTTTCCTTATTTTTTTTTATTCGCCCATTTATTGATTACGAATTTTACTTATTATAAATACATGTTTATACCTAGGGCTAGGGGCCTACTAGAAACCATCAAAAGGCTTTTGACTAAAGTTTTTTGGTATAATATTGAGAGTAAGTAGTATGATTCTAATATTTATTAATATACATGTATAGATTATAGATGGTAAAGATAGTATTTTTGATTGATAAAAAAATTTTCCAGATATTTGTGTAATAATTTTTCAATTTTTTTTTGAAAGTATAGTAGATACAATATTTTTTTTAATTTGGGTCAAGATTATTCCAGATATCAACTTCCTTGCTAGCGAGTGAGTGTTTAACATAGTTTGTTCTTTGATAAGACTTATGAAGTTTCACATAATTTCTCGTGTTATGTTTATATATGAATTTCCCTATTTGAGGTATAGTAGTTTGCAAAAAGTAAGTTCTTTAAGTGATGATACCTGAACGTAAACAAACTGGTAAGATAATCATTAAGTTTGTTTAAGTTCAATATATTCAGGTGCTGAAATATGTTTTCAGTGTGATCCAAGTGAGTGCTAAATATCATTAAACGTACAATCTTCTTTTGAATATTTATAAGTTTTTGAATTTGTTTTTTGTATGTATTTCCCCAAAGCAAGTTACCATATATTAGATATGGATAGACCAATGCATAGTAGATTAATTTTAAGGTATTTTGGTTTGTATAATTGCGCAGTTTTGATATTATTCCGCATGACTTCATATTTTTTCAGTTTGGTTATTATATCTATATGATCCTTCCAGGTTAAACACTCATCAATGACTACACCTAAAAATGCAGTGCTTCTGACTTGAAAAATAGTTCGATCATTAATGGAGGTACTTAGAATTCGTGTTTTTTTTATTTGAAGATTTAAATACAATTAATTTTGTTTTTGTTGTATTGATAGACAATTTCTTTAAACTCAGCCATTCAGCAATTTTATTCATTTCGATTTAAAGTGTTTCTTGGAGTGTTTTAATGTTGGAATGACTATGAAGTACACTTGTATCATCCGCAAATAAAAGAATTGAAACAACTTTGCTGCAATTTTTAATATCATTTACATATAAAATGAAAAGTAGTGGTCCAAGTATTGAACCCTGTGTACACCTGTCAGTAAACATTTTTCTGAAGATTGAATTGAATTTAACTACTTGATTCCTCTTTTGCTACACCTCGGATCCCATAATATTCAAGTTTTTCAATCAAAATCCTGTGATCGATAGATCAAGGACCAAAGATGCAATAAGAGCGATCAGCGATGGGTTTATGAGCTTACAATATTCAATTTGACTTATCAAAATGTTTAAAAGTGGGGTAAAACCTGATGATAATTGGTTCAAAGAAAAGGCTTAGTTAAATCATTAGTGATCCATGCATATACCATCAACTTTAATAACCAGGAATCTGTATTAGGAAAGTTCGGGCCACAAAATCACTAGGCTTAATGATAGACAAAGTCTCGGGTATGCACAAATTGCACTTTATTGACAGAAAGTTACCTCATGCACGCCTAGCTATTCAGAGACAACATAGAGATAGATTGGATATACGATTATCGTGCTCAAGTGTTTTGTTGTCTTGAAAAAAGATTGCCAGCAAAAGACATAACAAACGAGCTTTCGGTAATAGTCAATATCAGGTAAAATTTTTAGTTTAAAACAAAATGGATTAAAAATTAAAAACACATATAGTATGATAATGAATGGATTATAGTTCTAGTTTTGAAATATGCTTTGTGAATAATACATTCCTTATTGCTATTCTGTGTTTTTATATTCAGTGCAGATCAGGGGCCTGTTTTATCAAGCCCGCGTTTAGCTCAAAATTCAAAGTTCAAATTTGAAAGTAGGTCTATCGTTTTACTCAACAAACAAACTAAATGTTTTTAACCTTAATACAACGATACTGTTTACAACTACATATCAGTCAGTGCATAATATTCAGGTTCACTCAAACAAGAGAGATGCAAGAATGTTATTTAATTTTGAGTTATCCATCGTTTAACCCAACGACCTTCATACAGATGAGCATTTTGGGGTTAATTAAATACATTGAGCTGAAACTCATTATCAGAGGAGAAGGTAGCATTTCAAGATGTTGGGACAAACAAACTTAAGCCTCCAGGGGCACCTTTTGATAATAAAAAAGGCAGCAAAAATGTGTCATAAGGGTGGTTTGATTGTCAAAGCTGCAGGTTGCCAGTGCAGTTTGTGCTTGTTCTCCAGAAATGTGGGGACAAACAAACTTAAGCCTCCAGGGGAACCTTTTGATAATAAAAAAGGCAGCAAAAATGTGTCATGAGGGTGGTTTGATTGTCAAAGCTGCAGGTTGCCAGTGCAGTTTGTGCTTGTTCTCCAAAAATGTGGGGGCAAACAAACTTAAGCCTCCAGGGGCACCTTCGGATAATAAAAAAAGTAGCAAAAATGTGCCATAAGGGTGGTTTGATTGTCAAAGCTGCAGGTTGCCAGTGCAGTTTGGCCAGTGCATGCGCAGTTTGTGCATGTTCTCCAGAAGACCTCATTCAGAAATTATTCAGAAATTCAGAGTACAGAAATGCAATCTCTTACGCCTTTGATTTTCTAACTCCAGTGAAGACGGACACTTTTTATCCCACGAAAGGCACTTTTGATCCCCTAGTTACCTACGCCCCTGCATATTTATGATCTTTTAGGGAGATCGTTTTTATTTTTGCAACACTTTAAGCGCATGCACTGGCAATGACATTTGAATGATGAGATATTCCAGAGGCTTTCTGATATATTGCCACTTGTACGCGAAAAATTGCATGCTGGTCCAGGGGTGGCGTCAGAAATTCCCCGACACAAGGGGGCTGGGAGGCTGAACTTTTAGTTGTTGTTTAACGTGTAATTGTAGGACTCACACTCGGTTTATTGCTACAGTCTCATGCCTTAGATTTGGAGCCTATGCCGAGAAAATTTTTAAAAAATGATTGCTCTAAATCTTTGGAAATTAATATTTTAGAGTCTTATCACGAACTTTTTATTAAAATCTTTATGCACACAAACCATGTACAATGTAAAATACTATAATGTGAAGTTAAATTTTGAAGAAGTTTATCTGTTTTACTTGGGATAACTAAAAACAATAGAGGGCGACTATATCTCCCGTTCATTCCCCGACGAATTGTAAAATTTTCCCCGACAGGGGGGCTAGAGTTCCCTGACGCCACCCCTTGTTTTAGTCGAAATAGTTTCGAAATTATCAGTACAATCTTAAAAAATTATGAACGGGCTCTTGTGCATTCCGGCCTATTTTCAGCATTTATTAATCGTAATTCATATTTCATAACATTTGTTGCGGTGCGTATTAGAAAGCGGGAATGTTTTTTTTTCTTGGATGAATCGGTAATATAGACTTTCTATATCTGGAATTTGTCAAGCCGTAATCTAGTTTGCTTTGCCCAATGTAGTCTGTTTGGTGACTATTGGTCGCATTAGCCTTTTGCCCTTTTCCTAAGACCAGGGTTAATAATCACAATGCGGTTCCGTAGAATAGTTTAGAGAAGCGGAAAATACGATGCCAGGCGTAAAATACTGTGTGAATAGTTTGGAAAATGAAAAAGTTACTAGTAATGGGGAGGAAATTTAGTAAAGCCAAAGGTAGTAAATCGCACAATCCCGAATCAAGTTCGTGCTTACGAAAATCATTTGAAAACTACCAGTCCAATAACCGGGTAATGCATTGATCGGGTGATATAAATTAGGGATAGTCGTATATTTTGGGCTAATAATGGCGCCTTAAAGGAATACCCCAACACTCTTCAAACATTTTTATTCTGGTTTCAGGAATGGAAGATGTGTTTTGATTTTTGGATGTTTTTTGCTTTGCTTTTGAATATCTAAATGGCCGTCTTTTAGCTTTGAAAAAAATTGTCGAACTTAAGTATTCTTCCTATAATTCTATATAGACATAAATAGGAATGCCGATAAAGCTATAATTTTTTTTGCAATCGAAAACCTTGGGCCATACCTATAGCTTAAAGAAGCTTGGTCACATTATATAATTCACAATTTGTTTTTTGTTAACTTGGTGGTGTAACAGCCTGCATAGCCGCATAAGATATACCACAACTGTCACGTAATGTGAGAAGTAAACGGAGCATATCAGAGGAATAAATAGTGATCAGCTACTCGTGCGTTACTTCAGGTACAGTTCTAATAAACTTAATCAGTAAGTATGTAAAAATTATTAAAAACGTAATTTGTCTTTATCATATTTCTATACCCTTGGTCTTGGAGTTTCATAATCAATATCACTGAACAGTCCATACGGTAGGCATCAACCTGATTCAAACTCTGCGTACCCGTAGACACTATGGTATCCAGTAGACCGGCAGACCTTCCAAGTCCAATGGTATCCAAGAAGTAAAATACGAGACCGAGTAACGGCTAGCCGGCTACAGCGTAAATGATACAAGGATTTAGACAAGAGCTGAATTCAGCTGTTTCAATACATCCTGACAATTCCTTGTTTTCGTCTTGCACGTGGTTTGTACCCATGACTTGTAATAATTCAGGCAAACTCACGTGGCACGGACACGTGTAAAAGTCCCGTTGCAATATAAACTATAAAGAAGGCGATAAAAGCGACCTCATAGGATGCAGTTGCAATATCACGCAATTCTTTTACAAAAAATCTAAAATGGCAGAGTGGATAATAGATGAATGTCCTGTTGAACAATAATAAATTATCACTACGTCAAAAAAACGAAATATTTACAGGACAATGCACGGAATTCGTTGTCTCGAGATTTGTTAAAAACGTTTCTTTACCAATTTAGCTATAGTTTAGCTACATTTCAGTGTTGTTAACAAGGAAGTCGTCTTTGTTTAAGGTGGCTATTACTTGCGGGATTCCTTGGAGGAGTTGGAGGCAATTTTTATCGTGTGATAAGAAAATAGGAGTCGATATTTCTGCTAACTGCTTGGTAATGGTACCCATGCGACTAGAAATTAAAAAATCCTAATTTTTATTACAGCATCGGTCACAATATTTTTATGATAGTTTGGTAAGTTTGTGATGGAATAGTATGGCGATGTTTTAACGGGGATTGAAGAGCAAAACGATTTGTTATAATATGTGTTGTATATATACCAGATCAACATTGCTAACACTAATACTGAGTAAACATATTAGAACAACAAATTTATGAAACGAGATGCGTGCAAAATGTGGAATTTCGTACCTTCTTACATAAGCAGGTACTTTAATATTCTCACGCTTGAATGGGCCAATAATAGCAACGGACGAATTTACGTAAGATGCTCACCAGACCGTGGCGCCTGATCACACTGGCGATTTTTAACTCAAGTTATTCCGCACCGTACATATAGAGATTTTATTCCAAATTTGTTTCTTCAATATATCTTAATCACGAGCACTGAAGACATCTGTGAAATTAGTCAAATTACACATGAAGATCTGGAGTGAAAATGTCACAGCAAGCGTGCTACAGGGGTCAAATATCCTCTCGTTTTATTTACTTCTTGCAAATTGTTTACCCAATTTTCTTATTTATCTGGATCAAGATTTGCGAAAGCTGATAGAGATTTGCGAAATGCGGGCAGAAAGCGCAGTTTTTTTTAATGACAAACCAAGCCCAAATTTTAAGCCTGACGAAACGTGGAGCTTCTGGTTACGAGACTGAACATGGGCCTGTTTTCATCTTCTTCGGCTTCCCAGAGGCGTAGCTAGGATTTTAGGGAGGGAGGCCAGCAAAAACCTAGGTGGGGCCAGGCCGCCATTGCGACTCGAGACATTCTGGGCAGGATTTTGTGACATTAATGATGGGCAAGTTAACATACAAACGTTTTGTGGCATTGACAGCATAAAAAGGATTCACTTCATTTTCTCAGGAGGGGCCCAAAATTTCACCAGGGGGGGCGACACTCTAACCCCTGCCCTAGCTACGCCTCTTCAAGAATTTTCTTCAGTGTAAACACAGTGTATAATATCAAATCATCAATCATACGAGTTTTTGTCGAATAGCTAGATAATATAAAATTTAAAACACCTAAAATATCATCAAACGTAAATAAAATTGCCGAAAAGTAGAATCCTCTGTGTTCGCCAGGGGGGGATTGACTCATGTCTGTGCTCATGTAGTCATTAAGATTTACAAATTACAAACACGAATTAATAAAACTCTGATTAAAATTGAAACACGTAGTTCATGTAGTCTGACAACATTTACAGGCGAATTCAAGGTAAGATCATGTTATAGTTTTATTTAAGAACGTGACATACAAAATAGCACATCCCTTTATTTTAACGTACGGTTCGTGTGCAATCATTGCAAATATATTACACATAAAAGAAGCCTCAATCAGTATATACCTCAATCAGGATTTTGCGTTGTGCCTTTGCGCTTTGTGGAGGTTTTCCCTGGATTTTATGGTACAATTTAATATATTCTAAGATTTACTTTTTACTGTTGTTGATAATAGACCAATCAATATGGTAATATATACTTAAAATTCCCACACAGGCTTCATTTTTATACAAACACCCCACTCAAGCAATGATAGCCTGGATCCACCTTTATATGCTACAAAATAATAAATATACCACATCTTGTATGCAAATTCAATCAAATATATAATTTTTTTTGTGTTACTCAAGTTGTGTTACAACAGTCATTGCTCTGATTTCAAAGTCATGAGAACCATTCTATCCTACCTGAGGCCATAGTTTACTTATTATTATTATTGTTTTGTCTGGTGATGGAATTCTTTCCAATTTTAAAAGCAGAACCTTATGTACCTATATGAGTAAATCATTATTCCGACGATTCCTAGCTGTTTCTAGGCATTTGAATGGCCATGGATATCTGTATATTTTATCAATAATTTCTTAGCTGGGGAACAATCAGACAAACCACTGTTCTTAGAAGATCAATTTTGTTCAGTTGTTTTTTTTCTTATATAGAAAGTATTCAAATAACTATGTTTGCAGAAGTAGTAATATCACTACTCCTAGTTTGGCTTGTTTGGTTCTGTATAACCACCTATCTGGAAAGAAGAACACTCCCACCTGGACCATTCCCATTTCCATGGATTGGGAACCTACCAGTCTTACTAACAAACCCAGTCAATCCAATGAGAATACTGAGGCAGAAGTATGGGGATATTTTTACATTAACATTTGTCACAGGAAATACTGTTTTTTTGAACAACGCCACTCTCATGCAAGAAGCTAGGCTTACAAGAAAAGACGACATATTAGGCATTTTGAGTGAATACTTTTATCCAATAAATATCATTGTGGGTTCAAATGACTTAGTGTATGCTGACTATGGTACAGTATATTTGTTTCGTAGGAAAGTATTCATGTCAGCTATGCATGTGTTCGGAACAGGAATTGAGAAAGCAGAAGAGAAAGTAGGGTTTGCTGTAAGATCTGCTCTTGAAAGAATTGAATCACTGAACGGCCAACCGTTCTCAGCAAAGGACCTTGCAGCATCCGCAATTCTCATTCAGCTTTGGGAATGGATCACGTCCAAAAAAGTATCCTTTGATGATCCAACTATTACATCCTTATTCGAGTTTCGTGATATACTTGTAAAACAAAGCTGGCAAAGTGCCCTGTACGAACTATTGCCATTTCAGTCTTACCTTCCCACAGAGTTTAATCGAAACATAAAACGAGCTCAAAGGATTAAGGACATGATATTTCCTCCGGAGTTTAAAACCCACATGGAGTCATACGTCCCAGGTGTTATACGTGACATGACGGATAGTTTTATTAGTGCGTATGAAAAAGAGATCGCGAAGGAGAATGCCAAGGATATTGGATCTATAAATGATATCCCCGGTTTAATGTTGGACGTTGCTTTGGGTGGTTCGGATACAACATCTGCAACTATTGCATGGTTCATTTTGTACATGGTCTTATATCCAGACATTCAGGCAAAACTCCATGCCGAACTTGATCAAGTGGTGGGTAATGAGCGCTTGCCGTGCTGGGAGGATGCTAAGGACATGCATTATCTCCAGGCGACTTTATGCGAAGTTCTTCGAAGGTCGACCCCGATCCCAGCAGCACGTGCAAATGCTATCCGTGATGTAACACTTGGCGGTTACCGAATTCCCAAGGGAACGTTGGTGGTGTTTAATTTAAGTGAAATTCATCTGGACAAGCGTGAATGGCCTCAGCCTGACGAATTTATTCCAGAACGATTTCTCAATGGTGATGGTAATTTTGTTGGTTGGACCTCATTTCATGCTTTTATGCCATTCAGTCTTGGCCGCAGAAAATGTGCCGGCATGAGATTTGCGAAGATCATGATGTTTACATTTACAGCTGCAATGTTACACCATTTCAAGTTCGAGCTACCCTACGGTGTAGAGAAACCAAGCAGCGAGCCTCCAGGGTTGCAAATAATTACATCCCCAAATGACTTTGAAGTTGTTGCAAAGAAACGGTGTTAATTAGTTACATATAAGTATAAGAGGAATTTTTCAAATATGTATGCTTACATGAGAAATTAAAATTGAATTCTTGCAAAATAATTATAGTGAGTTTGGTGACTATGTTGAGGGGAGTCAAGTGGATATTCAGAATTATTACCCAAGATTATTATAGGCAACCACCAATCTCATAAATGATGTCAAATGCAGAATGCAAATGTCTCATGACATTTGATTGGCTGTGCAAAAATGCAAGTGTACAGTCTATATAGCGTTTTGATGAAGCACATAGTATACAATACAAACACAGGAACTTGCTGGGAAAAATGCAGTGGAAGTTGGTATTATCATGTATACCACTGACTCTGCCAAGCAAGAACAGGTCATATGTCTGTATTTATTAAATTTGCACCATTTCAATTAAGCTGCAAAATATCCAAATTTGCAGTGAGGTTTTGTGAACTTGAAACATGGATATTTCAAATAGGTCCCCAATAGGCCACTATGGATTTGCATCTGAGTAATACAGTATGTTTGCAATCTATTTTTTTCCATCTATTATTAATTTTCTAGAATTGAGCCCTACCATTGTACAATGATGCTATCTTCAACGAGTTCAAACAGTGCCTCCTTTCCCGATCTCTTTGCAAGATCCAAAGCAGTCTCATTCTGACAGTTAACAATTTTAGGATCAAGCTTTTTGTCCGTTAAAAGGACTTGCAATAGCGAGTTATCTCTTGTGTATGTTGCAGCAAGGTGTAGTGGTGTTTGACCTCCTGATGTTTGAGCATTAATATCTGCATGATTTTGTAAAAGGACAGATGCAACTTCAGTTTGATCTAAACAATTTCCAAATTTTTTTATCAGTCTGTTTCTGAATTTGGAAACAAAAATAGAAAATCTTATCAAAATTCAGTCAATATCTCAAATGCTGAAATGTTTTGTGCTAAATGTATGAGAAGGTAAAGAATCTGCATGTAAGACCTGCCTATTCAGTTTGTATGTAATACTCTCATTTTTCAGACTGTTCCAGGATACAGTCCACTGCTATATTCAGATCTAGCTGAGACTAGCTCGAGCACAAAGTCCCTGTCTGGGTGGGGAAAAAGGGAGAGTCATTGAAAATATGGAACAAATCTCATACCAATAGTGCTCCCTAAATTCACTTACCCCAACGACAAGCACAGTGTAATGGTTGCCACATATTTTCAGTCAAACTACAAATATCTGCACCATGGTTTAACAAAACTTTTACCATATCAACATGTCCATTATATGACGCTCTATGCAGTGCAGAATACCCATCAAAATCTTTACAGTTAATCAAACTTTCGTTTTTTTCTAACATCTTTAAAACAGAATCAACTCTGCCTTTTTCTGCTGCTTTCAAGAACACTTTTGAAGTGCATTGATCTTCAGTCAATTCCTCAGTGTCTGAGTTTGTGTCGTTTTCTAAATCCTCCCGTATATATTGATATAAAGATTCACTCCCTTCAGGAAGAAAGCAAGCTGGATCATTGATCTGATCATTATATAAGGCATTGATGTTACCTGCGCTTGCCATGACAGGCGTTTGTTGCAGGTTCAACAAAAATGAGACTATATTTCATTTATTTTGACCGCCATCTTGGAGCCAAATTTTCCGCGAATTATTTCCCGCCAATTTTTTTTGTTTAAATTTTTCGCGGCAAATGTTTCAGACGATGACTTCAAGGGTAAAAAACTGCTATGGTCAGTCTGGGATTAGATTAATTTGGAGCTTTATAAGCGTTTTTCGCTCACTTTTATCGCCACTTTTAACTGCTTTAACTCAAAACTGACTTAATTTGCTTTACACGCTTATTTTTGTAGGGTCTTCTTTTTCCGTGGCAATGTTTAGGACAAGTAAACTCAACTGTTTTATGGTAAGTTGTCAAAGTTGACCATAGCGGTCAACATGGTAACGCAGCCCAAACCAAAATGCAGGGCGAAACATCCGAAACTGATCACACCAAAAAACGGCACTTTTTCTATAGTGCTATCTGCCAAGTAGAAAATACCTGGCACTCATACTTCACAAAAAAATGAGTTAAATCACTATGCAATACTCATGGACAAGTGTCAATCTGTGGCTTACAAATAAACAGCTGAGCAGTGGGCTCAATGCGTCAATTTGCAGGAAGTACATTTCAAATAAATCTTTCAGTTTCGGATGTTTCGCTCTGTTTCCAGCCTCAAGGTCTGTAAAGACTGTATAGCAGGCCGAACACGACAAGCACACGTTTAGAACATGCGAGAGATTCACCTTGCAGACAAGTTTTTCTCGCGTGCCAATTGGTAGCTCATTCCTGCTCACAGGAATTTTATTTACATAGTCTTAGCAGGTGTAAAATATCACAGGGTCAGCGAAATAAAAATGCAATTAATTAAACAATTCACTTCCGCCTACTGAAGTCTTGAACAGCAATGAGTTTTAAACAGTTGGGTGGCTTTCTTTTGCTCGTTGTTCTTTCGCAATCTGAAGCTGTGTGTAATAACTCACTAGATTGCTCTTTGAACGGGGACTGTGTGAAGGGAGTATGCGCATGTGACTATGCATGGACTGGGGAAGAGTGCAATAAAATGGACATTCTTCCGATGAATAAAAATGCTGGTTATCACAATCACACTGCTGGTGCATCTTGGGGTGGACTACCTATTCACGTTGATGGTAAATGGCACTTGTTCGTGTCTCAAATGGTCAATAACTGTTCTTTGGAATATTATGGTACAAACAGCGAAATAATACGCGCAGAGTCCAAATTTCCAGGAGGTCCTTTTGTTTACGCAGAGACCGCGGTGCCCGTGTTTGCTCATAACCCAACAATACGTACCACAAGTGATGCAACATTTCTGCTTTATATGATAGGAAATGGCTTAAGCATAGACGAGCCAGTTAATTGTAGCATGAGAGAGAAAGCTAACACGAGGAAACTTTTTACAAAATACAAGAGAAACTCAGGTGCTGGATCAAGTGACATTCACATTGCATACTCCAGCAGCGTTTACGGACCGTGGAGTATAATCCCTGTGACTTTCACAAACCCGCACGAGTCCGCCGTACTTGATTGTGCTTGGACAAATCCTTCTCCAGTTATCTTCAGAAATAACAGTGTTTTATTGGCATTTACCGCAGGGTATTGCCACGATCGAATCGAGGCCATAGGTATCGCATATGCGTCTCACTGGAAAGGCCCGTATACAATCAAAACGCTTGAACCTATTTTTCCCCAACCTAGTTTCTGTCTCAGTCATCAACAATACGAGGACCCATTCCTCTGGCGGACGTCGCGCGGTTTCCATATCTTGTTGCATGGCATGTGTCCTACAGGTGTATTTAACTCCAAGTACGCATATTCGCCTGATGGCATTCACTGGACTGTTTCGCCGATAGACCCTTATATCTATTTTGTACAATACGAAGACGGATCTGAAGCAGTGTTCCTGCGATGCGAAAGACCACAGCTGTTGTTTAACGACGAAGGTCAAGCGATCTATCTATTCACTGGAGTAAAACCTCTGTTAGGGCACGAGTATACGATTGCGCGACCATTAGTATAAAGTAACTTCTGATGACCCATAGCATGCAGATGATTAATAGGGAATATCTTATCTATCGAACACCTACTCGTAATAATGGCTGTTCTAAACGGTTTAATAATTAGCTACTATGGTTTAATAAACTTTTTGACAAATTGTGGTTACCACGTAGATTGTAAATAAAATTACGGACGTCGACGATTTCAATAGATTCAACCTCTATAGCCCAAAAATTAACAAGGGTTTTCATCTCGTTTTGACGACTTGCGTAACAAATAAAACGGTCGTTTTCTAATTTTAAAATTTCATGCAAAGCCTTTATAGGTATCAGTGCTAACACATCCTTTGGAATACTTATAAATGGTCGGTAATTTGGTCGGGGAAATAAATAATGATCTAAATATTCTACACTGATTAGTTCGTTTCTACGGTTGCTTCGTTAATATCTTGGCTAAGATTAACTTCAGCTTGCTCGTTAACTTCGTTAATTGTCGGCTGTGCATTTGAAGGATTGTCTAGTAAACGAATCCTTTCATTCTGGTTCTGTGTTTTACGCGGCATAGTACGCAATACGGTGTCTTTAACGCTTCTCCCAACAACACGAACATGGTTGGTCATGTCTTGTCTGACATCAGACATGTCAAACATCGAACGAAACGAAGCCCAGCATGGGTATGATGGTGCGTTTGGATCCACGAATGGTGTGTGAGAGAACACGTAATAATGAGCGACGGCAGCAATGAACATTTCCACACAGATGCAAAAATTCTGCAACAACAAAAAACAACCACCAAACTTATCGCTCTTGCGATATGCCGTATAACAATAAAAGTAGTCCGCCATACTGGGTGGCAAAAGATTTTTCAAGCGATTGCTACAGAGCCTGGGAACTTTATGACCGGTCTGAAGTAGCTGACATGCATACAACATGCATACAGCATGTATCCCAGTGCTACGATCTCAGTTGAATTCTACATATTCGTTTGCCCCTAAATAACTGTACATTGCAAGGCTTGCTGTTTTATAGAACTAGGGATAGATTATGCTGTTGAATTCGACAAACAGGTAACTACCGTTCGCACTTTATGCACTTAAATAGAAAAATGGTTAGAAGTTTATTAAATTGCAATATAGCTGAAGAAAGAGCTTGGTAGTCACACATTTGACTTATTTTCACCCTCAGGAGCAAGCCCTACTAAACGAGTTGTGAATGAGATGCCATTACCTGAATGCCTGTTGAAACATCTTCAACATCTTTAAATTCCCAAGTTTTTTCTCCAGAAATTACACCAGCCTATATACGAAGAAAATTCCATGTAAATGGCTCATCATTATTCTCTCCTTATTTTATACATGCAAGTATCTTTATTTACACTTTCACTGAGTAATGAAGACTATAAAGTGAGGGGCGGGGGTAATGATATGTAATCATAGCGATGGAATTGCCGGGAGGAATGTAGTAAAGATGCCAATTTCATTTTGCGTCTCGCTATGTTAGCGCTGATATTTATATATAGAGGTCATCATCGCTGAATCATGTCTCGTGTCGCAGAAATATTAAAAAGTTGTTTATACCACGCATGTCTACCGTGCAGACCGTATTGGATTGAAAAACGTTCCAGAGACAAAAAAATGATCTCATGCAGGACACAAATCCGGTGTTTATTTATCCGAATTTAGCATACCCACCTTAACTAAGATTCCAATAAGGGCCGCCTGCCTGTAATTAAAAAAAGCGCATCAATTACAAACCAAAAATGACGGAAAGGAAAAAGACAATATTTTGACATACCAAAAAGTGGCAAACACAACCATTTTTATACACAAGAACTTTCCAAATGGTTTTATTGGTTGAAGTTCTTTGTGAGTCGCTTTGTAAAATAATACTAGACAATAAAGGGCCCACTATAGAAAAAATAAAACAGGACATAAATTGCAGAGAATACGATAGGGAAATGGCTTTGTGATTAGTGGTTCTAAGGGTCCATTTAGGCATTAAAATCGGCATTTTACGATATAAACAAGATTGTGGCGTCAGCACTCGTTTTCATTTGTCAGAATGATAATCGCATACGCCTTGTTTTCATTTGTCAGAATGATAATCGCATACAACTAATCGTATAGTGTAAATAGGCCTTAACAGTAAGGCAATAAAAAACATGTAAAAATGTGTTCCTGAAGAATGAAACTACACTAATCTCTTTGTACAGCCTAGACATCCTCCAATAGGAAAGTTGTCAAATTACCACTATACTGTACAATGACGAAAATTCTTAAAGTGGAGAAAGTGGGAAAGGGGGGTTGTCGGGATTCTTTTGAACGACTCTAATCGAGAAGTGTATATACGATTATTTATATGAAATTGTTAGCTACATCTGATCTTTAAGACTACGTATACTACAGTATACCCTTGCTGGCCTAGAAAGAATGGATTACTGTTTTTTCTGACTACGGTGTTATATCTATGAAACGTTCAACATACCATTTGTGAGAAATTTGTTATAACAACTATATATGACCAAGCAGACTTAAAGTCAAAATTTCCCTCATTGTAATGACCTGATAGTTCAGTAACGCTGGGAAACGTAAATTATAGAGCAATTAGAGCAACAACGCACAACGAAAAGACGTTTAAATTCAGGTAAATTCTTTCAAGGGTGTACTTACAAGGCAACAAATGTTGAGAGGAGTCTAACTACAGTATACGAGATTACACCATGCTTACAATTCTCGATAAACTCTCTATGAAGGAAAATATATCGAACATATAATAAAATATTTTATAAGAGAAACCAACGGCGTCCGGGGAGTCTGTCTAATCTGGTCTGTCAAAACCAGGTTTGTATGAATTTTTGGGAGTCATATAAGAAGTACAGTAATCCCGAAAGACACTAGATTCTAATGAATAGGTCAATTCGGTCACTTTCTAAGCTACACACGCGACTCTCCTCTTAATAAAAAAACATTTGTAACCTACTTTCCCATTTGCCAATCGGGCAGGCAACAAACGGGAAACAGATGATGAACTTGTGGCTTTGCTTCCATAACACGGTCAAAGTCCGCGTACTCAGCATAGAGATAACTGAGCAAATATGCCAGAAATGACAAAATAACGAACGCCTCGTAACATTCACGAATACTGTCCAAGTAAATAGCTCCTGAAGGAAATCTGAGGGCTAACCACTAAATAAAAATATGAAAAAATATGAAGAGAACTCCGGAATGTATAAAAAAGAAATTTAGTAATGTAACACTTTTTTAATATTTATATTTTGCAAACTTAATTTTTTGCACTAAAAGGTTCATGCATAATACAAGATTCCGGCTGCAATAAAAAAGTCTATTTGTCACACTTTAAACTAGGAGAGCATAACTGAGCACTGGACTAGAAAAGTATTATTGGACCAGAGCAATTAAGTCTTGAACAATGCCATTGGGCCGAACAAATTGAGATTTCCCTCGAGTGTTCATGCAGCCACTCGTAAGTGCGTATCAATTCCAAATAACAAAACTAACATCTGGTACTTTTTGTGGTTTTGTGAACATAATCGATCTTAACAATTACGGCTGCTATAAATGTAAAAACAAACACGAATCTGTCCAATGACGTTCAGACAATGTAATTTCAGCATGCCAACAGATGTAACTAATTTTGTGGCGGGAGTCAACCCGTTGAAAATTTATTTTATCACACTGTTAGCTGTATGTGAATAGATATTGCTCATGATGTAGAATGATATATAATAAACATATTGTAACCTAATTAACATACAGATGCAAATAAACTTGTGAGTTAAATCATATTGATTGTAGGCAAAACATTGTTGTATTTGTGAATGAGTCCTTTTTGGGAGATTTCTGTAATACAGTAAATTGTAACAATGCATCTTCCAGCAGAAACGCTAGGTTGTCATGAAAAATGTGGTAACTCCCTATAGGAGTTAATACTAGAAGATTTATATTATATCTTGCTGTGTCAGATTTTAATCTGAACTTTATTTTTCATATCTTTGAGAATGTTTCTGTCGATCTCTATATATGTATTCTTTTCTATAGGTAATATGCCTATGGCATTGAGACGGTTAGTGGAGTTTCCATGCATATACATGTACTAGTATTGGTACTACTAAATTGCAAATCCACCCTCCCCCAAATCAACACTATCAAAACATTTATTCAGAACAACATGTTTGCCTCACATGACTATCAGCAAACAGAAAACCAAAAAATCACACTCCATGCCCACAAAAGTCACATCTTCAAAATTTAGATGTTTCAAAATTTAGTAGAAATTTAGAGGTATTAAATATAAATATTTAGGGTGTGATGTGCATCCCCCAGAAAAAATTCTAGCAGAGAAACTCATTTCCTCCATTTATTATACAAACAACGTACTATAATATAAACAATAATCATGCTAACTTAACCTTAACTGATGTTGCTAGTTTATTTTTATTGGTTTGGGCCGTTGAAATTCATCTGAAATGAAAATCAAATACTTACACTGGAAATAGAATATATTGGTACCATCCAAAGGATTCTAATGAAATCAACAAAGAATTAGAATGTTAAAAGCATATTTGTAAGAAAATCTTATCAATTAGCACATTACAAATTACTTAAAAAGTAATGAACCTTGTACGGCCAAGATAGTAAGTACAAAACTACAAATTGACAAATTCAGTGGGATACTAAAAGTACTGAGCATTAAAACTCAAAGATTTAGGTGTGGCATATATTAAGCTATTTTGTGCGATCTTAAGGGAGGTGCGCACCAATTTCAAACAGAGGGACTTTCAAACAGAGGGAGGAGGATCCCCTTACATAATTTCCAAAATTTCAATACTTGAACTTCCACCCTTCCAGTAACCCCTCTGTAAATCATTAAAAATGTTATTACATACCTGAAAAGCTTTTATTTTGGGGGATGGCAAGGTAAACATTAGTAATGTGAGAGGTTTTTAGATAAGGAAGTATAAATTGACCCAAAATATACATCATCAGATATCTACTTGGAAAATTCATACAAGAAAAAAAATTGCACAGATGGGTGCAAATAAGCCTTTTAGGGCTTTTTTGTATTGGCCTTTGGATCTCATATCCTGCACTGCTTACGACTAAAAGTAGGGAGTGCACATCTGCAACCTTTAGTCAATAATTTATGGGGAGTTAATCTGAACATCAAATTTACACTCATAATAATTAGTAACAAAATAATTTCACAGATTTTTCAGCCACTGCCAAGATATATATTGTAGGCCAATTTCCATGACACGCAAAAACGTTTTTGACCTGTACCCATGCTCATAATATAAATTGACCTTGCCAGTCAGTATAAGCGTTTCAGGAGTGTCATAATAATCCTCGGATGTATATTTTATATAAAGTGCGTCAATAAAATTCGAAACTGCTCAGCAAAAGTGTTGAACCAGACGGAATCTAACCATTTATTCATTCCAAAAACGTTTGAGATATATCGAAGCAAGTTGATGTACTTAAAATTATTCAAGGAAACGTTTTATATAGATCACGGGCTGGGCGGAGAGGGTTTTGTACAGACTGTATTTATGTTTTAATATCACTTTCAAAATTAAATACGTAATAATAAAAACAAAACTTGAATACGTATTGACAGAGCAATTCACATCACAAGGGCTTGATAAGCATGATCTTTGATCTAGTCTAGCTCTAAAATCGAGATTACAGTATTATATTTTTATATTGTATTTTTATACAAAAAAACACAGTCAACTTTTAACATTCGACAACATAAATGTAGTTGTTTTCACATTACCTAAGAATATATCTTTGCAGATGAGGTTTTGTGTAGTTGAGCAGATGTTGTATTATACCGGCGAATGCAAACCCGATTGTGAAGAACACAAATATAGCGCCAATAAACCAAGCTTGTGTATGAGTTTGTGCTCTTCTGTTGTGCAGCTCCCAAATACATAGCGGAACTGAAATACACAACAATAAAATGTAAACAACGACGGCCAGTGGCTTCAGCCAAACTCGCCAGTTACTACAGCAAGGGGGTAACGCCATATCATCTTCCCAATCTGACAATCTTGCCAAACAACTTTAAAAGCTGGTTAAAAATTTATTTATTTTTATCTCAAGACCGCCATATTTAATTGGAATAGATCAGTGAATCAGAGATCACTTAAGGTGGCTCCCTGCAATTTTGGAAATATGGAAAATTCGCATTGGCGCTAGGTGAGCTAGGTGAATCATTTAAAGTTTTCCGACGTACACGCGCCAGCACGTGAATCCTAAAAGCTTAAAACCTTCTAAGTTGTTGTAGAATTGATACAAAAATAAAACCTCAATTTTGTGCACTAAATGACAACAACAAATCGACTGCAAAAATTGCAGAGGTCTATAAGTCCCAACGTATGTATTCCAATACTCTGCATGGGACCTATATTGCAGGAAGAAATTTTACATGCCATGCTGGCCCATGCATGTCAGAGAACGAATCATAAGTCCAAATGCATATGCCCATATTCCGGTACATTCGACCATGGACAATTTCAGACTGCTAGAATGTTGGTTAATAATTATATTGTTCTATATTATATGCTGTTCCTTTTCTATTTAGCAAGAAATCCTCTGCCTAAAACGTATAAACTTACAATTTTCCATATTTCACAAATTCAAATTGTAGGGAGCCACCTTAATGATCCGCCGAAAATCACAGATCGCGGGCACGCAAAAATTTCGTTGTGTTGTTCATAGAGATTATAAATATGGTGTACATGTTATTGATGTCGATTTCAGTACTTCATGGAAAAACAGCTTAAAAATTGAAAAAAATCATCGAATTTGAACTCTGCCATGTTAAGAAGAAATTTTATAAAAGGTGCGTGGATAGCGTGTCCTATATGACTTCATTTTTTAATGTTATATTTGAGAAATTTTTGTCATTTTGTATCGTAGTTTGTCGCTGGCATCGAAAGAAATGTGCATCGGTCAAAGGTCATCCAAAAATTACAACTCATTACACTATTGTTCCACGAGAATCAGATCCCAGATGGAAAGGTATATTTAATTATCTAATGTTCTTCTTAGTCTTTGGAAAAGGCCAAGTCGAAGCCTGTGCAGTTCATGAGTCGCATTATAATTTTGATGTATCTGATGTAATTTTCCACGTAAGTGACATAACTGACATATTATGTAATACAGTATAGTACATACTGTTATCTTACATAACAATATAGACATAGCATGTTAATCTACAACAATTAGGCTATGAGGCAGAGTACAAGCAAATACCAAATAGACACTATTGACAAACTGTTCTCACATTTCATATGTACATTCCTTCAATGGTACACATTACCATAACTGTGATATTGCATATACCGATAACTCAATTTCCATGTACATAATATTAATTGGAGAGTTTTTTATGATTTTCTAAAGATGTGGATATGGAAAGGTTTGCGGATCAGACAGATGTTGTGATTGTTGGTGGAGGGCCAGCAGGTTTATCTGCAGCAATCAAGTTAAAACAATTGGCAAATGATAGTGGCAAGGAAATTAGAGTCTGTCTGCTAGAGAAAGCACCTGAAATTGGTATTAAAAATATGTTTTATTACTATAGACATTTACTATAGATATCTATAGATTACTCTGTTCAAAAAATTGTCAGAATTTCCTTCCTATGTATGTATGTAAATATGAAGTAAATAGAATCTTGATTTTGTGTGGGAGTGGTTTTTTTGAAATCATATACATTCTCTTAATATTCCACTCACTCACTCACACATTTGTTTATTCTGTAGGTGCTCACACCCTTTCTGGGGCATGTATAGAACCAAGAGCTTTGAATGAACTCATTCCTGATTGGGAAGAGAAAGGAGTAAGTTAGTTATGTTTAAAACAATTTGTTCTGCTGTCATGCATGTTAAAATATGACTTCCACTAGAATTGAAGGAAAAATTAGTAAACAGTAGTATGTGTCTGTGTTTTAAGTTAGTTCGGTGTCAACTAGTTTAATTTAATGTCTTGTCGTATAGTATATGGAATTTGATTTCCCCCTAGGCTCCATTAAAGACTAAAGTCACCAAAGACAAATTTTCATTTCTCACAAAAAATAACAGAATACCATTGCCAATTCTACCAGGTAAAATGTGGTAAAAAAGTGTAAGTGATTCAGTGAAGTTGTTCTATGTAGAATTTAGTTGCAGACTCTAGAGATTTTTATGGACTGTAGTAGACCAGTTTTTTTTAAATGTAGGAATGCCAATGAACAATCATGGCAATTATGTTGTTCGCCTTGGGCATTTGGTAAGCTGGTTAGGTGAACAAGCTGAAGAATTAGGTGTTGAAGTTTATCCAGGCTTTGCTGCAAGTGAGGTGTGTTCAAGTTACAATGACAAGGTTTGCAACAGTGGTGTGTTATTTATGCCTGATATTCTACAATCTCTAGGTTTTGTATCATGAAGATGGAAGTGTAAAAGGTGTTGCCACAAATGATGTTGGAATTCATAAAGATGGGGCCCCAAAGGTGTAGTTGAGTAACATTTTCTCAATCACAACAGACAACTTTTAACTCTTTCCCAGTTTCCCTTAATATACTGTAGGTTATATCCTATTAATCCTAGTTACATGCCTTGTACCAAGGCACTAAAGATATCCTAAAACTAGTCACCCTACAGTTGGTCAAAGAACAGTGGCTACATGCTGAATGACTGTGCAGGAGTCCACTTATAAATGTTCTATTTACTGTAGCTTACAACTCCCTAGTAAATACAGCCAAAATGACTTTACAGAATTACAGCCTTGTTAAATTCGCTGAGCTTAATGTACTCATGCCTAATGAGCTAATTTTACTATTTAAGGGCAATTTCGAGCGTGGAATGGAGTTTCATGCGAAATTGACGTTATTTGGCGAAGGTTGTCATGGCCATCTCGCTAAGACATTGTTCTCAAAATTTGATCTGCGTAAAAACTGCCAACATCAGACGTACGGAATTGGATTGAAAGAGGTATATTTTTACCGTATCATACTGCTTCTCACACAGGCTGTCCGCGAAATTCAAATTATGGTGATGGTACATAATGTATCTCGTGCTTCCTCATAGTTACTTTGTTACAAGTTACTTTGTTTTTAGCTTTGGGAAATTGATCCCGCAAATCACCAACCAGGTTTGGTAGAGCACACTTGTGGCTGGCCTGCGGTATGTCATCCACGTTCATCCTCTTTCGACCACCAGTTTTTTATTACAATTCTGGTAGGGTGGATACTAAATATAGCAAAGGAAAAGCAACATGTTTCGATTTTACTTTTAGGATAAAAACACATACGCTGGTTCGTTTATTTACCATTTGGATGAAGGACCGCTCGTCTCCATTGGATATGTTGTAAGGCCTCTTTGAAAACTTTCGTATGCTGATACATAAATAATCATTTAAGCGTCTCAGTTTGCATACGTTTGGACTTTGGACTGATTAGCCCTAGTAAATAAAAGAAATGATTTTGTGATTTATGATCTATGTATGGTGGAAATGGACTTGTGAAATTTAGCTGAGAAAGATTTTTGAAACTGAATAGTTTTTATCACATTTCACATACACACGTGTAGTGTTACTGGGTCAGATCTAAAAACATGCTAAGTAATGCAAAACTTACCCCGTTTCACTCCTTTTGTTCTAGGTCGGCTTGGACTACTCCAATCCATACATTAGCCCATTTAAAGAATTTCAGGTTTACCAAAAATGTTACAATTTTGTTTTCTTTCGAGTAATACTTTGACTCGGTAATTTCTGTAAAATTGGAGACAATCCAATTTGGCGTAATGGCGGAACCATTTGTTGAAAGAAGATTCATCATAGTCTGTGTTTTGTCTATTTCAGCGCCTAAAAACACACCCGTATGTTCAAAAGACCTTCGAAGGCGGGAAAAGGATAGGTTACGGAGCACGTGCTTTGAACGAAGGTGGACTGCAGGTTTGTAGAAATGTCGCTGATGCGTAAAAAATCATTGAAAGTAACATGCTTTTACACCCCACCATTATTTACCACCCGTCAGGGGCCGATGGTATGAAAGCCGGATAGAGCTATCTACCGGATAGTGGCTCAATCGCTTAAAAATTGCTAAACTTTTAATAAATCTTATTCTATCCTAAATGGAAGAAACCCCTTTAATCGCTTTTCGAGCATTTTTAGAACGGTTGTAAAAACGCTATCCGGTGGATTAGCGCTGACCAGCTTTCATACAACTGGCCCCAGAATAAAAATAACTTAGCCGGTCACCTCGAGGACCAAGCACGGAATTGATGCTGGCTGCTGTTGCACATAGCCGTAATGCGATATGACATGCATACAACATACATGTTGTGGTTTTCTTCATTGTAGAGTATCCCTGAACTGGCATTCCCAGGTGGGGCTTTGATTGGTTGTAGTCCTGGTTTTATGAACGTGCCTAAAGTCAAAGGTACTCACAATGCAATGAAAAGTGGAATTATTGCTGCGGAGAGTGCTTTTGAGGCGCTTACAGATGATAATTATCAATGTGATACTGAAGGTACAAGTGCATGTTACTTACGGTTCAAATCTCTTCATTTTCGCATCAGTGAGTAGTGCATAGTGGGCCACATCCACGCAATTCATCTCAATTCATTAATTTCTTCTTTGAGACCAGTGGAGGTAACTATATGTAGCCAGTGCACCAACTACCCGCGTTTGACCAACGACGTTGGTCGCTAACTAAATTCACTACTTTCATTTACACAGGATTGTACTTGAAGAACTACGAAGAGGCGTTACGCGATAGCTGGGTATACCAGGAGTTGCATGCAATCCGCAACGTACGGCCCTCGTTTAGCACCGCACTTGGAATATACGGTGGCATTCTGTACACAGGAGTTGTGAACTATCTGTTACGTGGTAAAGAACCATGGACATTGAAACACAAACATACCGATCATAACTCATTGAAGCCGGCGAAAGATTGCAATGTCATTGAGTACCCCAAGCCTGATGACAAACTGACATTCGACCTGTTATCATCGGTAGCATTGACAGGAACGAACCACGAGGGCGATCAGCCAGCTCATCTCACCTTACGCGACGACAGCGTGCCCGTTGACCGTAACCTGGCTATTTTTGATGGCCCAGAGCAACGATTCTGCCCCGCTGGTGTGTATGAATATGTACCGGAGGAAGAAGGGGATGGCATGAGGTTGCAGATCAATGCTCAAAACTGCATACATTGTAAAACATGTGACATTAAAGATCCTAGTCAGAATATTAACTGGGTTGTACCCGAGGGTGGAGAGGGACCTGCATATAATGGAATGTAGAGAACATTTCTTCAGTGGTTCGGTAGTTTGCGAAGATTTTTCATATCTTTAGCGAGAACAGCAATTTATTAATATATCTTATAAAATTTTCTGTTTTCCCAAATATTTCCTTGTGTATTGTCCACTGTAGTTTATGTGTTGCTTGAGATAGCAGCATAAATACATTTTGTTAGAATTTAGAAATATGTGTTTATATAGGACTACGGCGGGTGTTATACATTATGTAACAAAAGATTTTCCTTTCCTTTACAAATTACGTGACTGAATATTATTTTTTGCTAAACGTAATTCCATTCACATTTTTTGTCACCAAATGTTCATCGTGTGGGTCATTTTCGGTGCATCATTGTATGGCTCAATTCAAGCGGAATGGTCCCAAACTAAATTCTTGCATATGCACACATATGCAAGAATTGAATTGAATGCACACATATGCAAGAAGAACATATGCACATCATTTTCGCAGACAAATATAAAATAAGAGGGCTTCTTCCAGTAATAAGCACGAGTCCGTTTCGTGATGCACAACAAGGGTAGTAGCTCGCACACTATCCTACACCTCCTGTAGGAGTGTTTTTCTTACACCGCGGAAAAATCGTTCAAACGCGATCTTCTATATCAGACTACAACAAGAGTTGCGAAACTGGTAAATGGAATTAGGCCAAATGAAAGAACATTCTTCAGACTCTACCTTGTATCCTTCAACTCGCATCAATGAGCTCGAAGTTCGAGTTCTCAGTTGTGGGTTGTTATTTCCCAGCTTTATTTGAAATCAACTTGGAATCCCAAAGCTAACTTTACTTTTTCTGTATTTTTTGTGTCCAGTCAAATGGTTTCCACCACTCAGCAAACTGTAAAACCTTCTTCTTTTGAGTTTGAAAATTCTCTTTTCTTGGTTTCTTCCAAATGAACGGTTCTAATTCCAACATACCACCAACAATTTCCTAAAATGTCAAGTTGCTGATTTACGAAGTTGAAAACATCAAATATAGTAAGTAAGACTTAAATGCATGTCTTCAAAAATACACAAGCATATCTCATACGGTACAGTACCTTGCCAAAATAAGGAGGTATCAATTCTTCATTTTCTATCACGTGCGCAAACCCTCCGTCCAGTCCAAATTCAACAGCAAAATACGGCAGGCCTTTTGGAATCTGAGTACGACAAGAAATACAGAACTGAAAAAAAACCTACAAATGGCTAAAATAGATCACTGTGGATCGATAAGCTTACCGACGAACGGAAACTCTTCTTTCTTGTATCAATCAGTTTTTTGTTTTGCGCCCACTCCGAATCTGATTCCTGTATCGCTTTCTAAATAAAAATTTTCGAATCTTTTAGCTATGAATGCTAGTGAAGATCATGCAGTTAGATTCCTTTTTCCAGTGGTTAAAACAAAAATTGAAGCCGCTAAAATATGGCTCTGGTCGGATCCGCGAACTCGGGCCTCACGTTAGCAGACAGAATCAGACTTTATAACTAGGAGTTCATGTGCTGTGTGGCAGCAGGAAAATCATGTGATGTATTTCACCGTACTTTGAAATAAATCGGTGCCATATCACCAACTTCTTTATCAACTGGAACACACTCAATCATCATGTGACGTTTTCTGTGCAAACTTCTGTTCATCTCCATAAATACTACATCTTTTCCCTAAACGTAAAAGCAGCTCAACTTAGAGCTATAGGTATGGGTCATTCTAAATCAAATCGACTGTAAAAAACAGCACTCGACAGCAAAACTGTCCAAATGCCTGAATAGATCACGAAATTTTCGGCGTTTCGGTTCAAGTAAAGCCGGTTTTCCACTAGGCGATATTTTTCGCTCGATTTTCTTTTCAGTTGTGACCGGTCAAGGGCATCTGCCACGGTCGATTTCTCACAATTGAAAAGAAGATCGAGCGAAAAATTTCGTTCGATCGAAAACTTTTCGCCTAGTGGAAAACCGCGGCATTAGTATTATATACCAGTCTAACTCTCCAGACGAAAGGCTCTTAGACTCGGAGAGTTCATACTTACCATTTCTTCAAACATTTTTGTCAAGCCTTTCTTAAAAATCTATAAAACAGAAAAGTTAAATTACTCAGCGGATCATGGAATACTAAAATCCATTTGCTGATGATAATATTTTGTTTACTCATAATTTAATTAATTAGTTCCCAAGTTCCACATATAGATACATAATATGGTATAAATTCTGTAAACCAAATATGAGCATAACTTCGAACCTGAATTTCACTCCAGATATCTTCATCCACCATCGTACCAGCGGTATGGTGCATGATGGGAGCTATTAAACAGTGACCGTCGGTCAATGATTGATTCACAGGTAGAGTAAGGTACACCTAGGGTGGAGATAAGTTGGTTTGTATATATTTAATGCTGTATTACAGTATTACATCTACTAGAGAATATATATATAGAGAATATTAGAACATACTTTCAATCCAATAGCGATGATAAGATGTTTCGCCAACTCTCGACTATCCAGGCAAAACTTGCAATTCTCCATTTGGGCAGCGAGTCGCTGATGCTCTGTTTTAATAATAAAATAGTCAGATGTTAATGATTCTGGGTAATCTAGACATGCCCTGCAGTAGGTTACTACGTCGTCGGACGTTGGTGCACGAGTATAAATAGGTTACCTAACGTGGTTACAGATTAACAAACACGATTTAACTGGTAAAACGGTGAGCTCTGCACTTCATGAGTAAAAAGAAAGAAAAGCAAAGAAAGACAAAAAATAGAGATCCAGTGCAAATTCCTTGGTTATCCATCGCACGATTTTATCAACTTGTAAGCTCATTCTTACGATTCTGTGATATTACAGTACAAAACCTCACCATCAATAAAGGTTCACTGTGACTGACACTGAGGTCTCATTTGACAAGATTGTCATGACTAACTTCTATTGCAAATGCACACTTTCCGAACAAACCTCTTATAGCCTTCTGTTTAGACTTCTCTTCAAGCTCCTCAGAAGTGTACTTGCTCGCAGCGGCTGATTCAAACTTGTCATCCAAATCAAACTGTCCTCCCAACTATTATGTGCAAATAATTCAGCAAAAGGGAAGGGGGCATTAGATTGAAAAGGCAATCGCTTGGAAAATACGTACGCTTCATCCTGCATGGTCGGGATTTCATGAACTCTGAGAGGTCGATAATAAGAGTGCTGTAGCCAAAGACAACAAATGAAAACGACAATATTTACCTTATGGGCAAGTCTAGCATACGTAGCATTCTGGTCTTCGGCGGTACTCGTCCTTTCTTTGGCAACCTAATATTCCAACAGGAAAGAACTATTACACACACGGAAATTACAAGCACCTCATCCGACCATACTTCACTCCCCCCCCCCTTCACCCCCGGCGGTATGTGGCTATAAAAACGTTCAATTCAACAGAAAAATTACCCACCAGAGATTTGAGATCATGATCATCATCGTCACAAAAGTAGCGACTGCGCTTTCCTTCCTCGTCATGAGTAGACACCTGAAAACATGTCACGAAGTCTTATGAACTAAATGATTTGACTACTGAATGGTATGGTGGCATTACACATAGCTCAGGCCTTCCTAAGAGAGACCAAGCAAGCAATAACTCACTCAAAGGAATGTTTGTCGGAATTTTTGTGAGTGTTACTGTCGAGCGGAGACCTGGGCCTAATATTAAGAAAATACTCTTTTCTGCCATTTAACCTCGGCAAGCTGTATATGTTGGAACACAAAATAACAGATTTACCATCTTGTGGCGCTTTCTTCGTTTTCCTTTTCCCTCTGTTCTCGAACGAGATTCATGTAACGGAACAACGTTTCCACCACGATCTGTTCTTGTCAAAACAACAACATTATCACCCTCGTCATTTTTCTCGATTTTCGAACTTGATTGTTCTTGTTTTTCCTTTACTTTTCTTAACCTCTCTAATTTCTCATCAAGCTCTTTTGCAAGTTCCTATAGATGTTAGCAAAGAAATGTCGTTAATAGTGATTCAATCAAGCTATTTCTGGCAACAATGCGTTAACATATATATACCCCGTATGCACGCAGGCATGTGCATAATGTCAGACTGGGCGCCGGCCCATATATAATTTCAAAATAGCGTTGACCTTCAATTTGATGGTTTATCTGGTAAAAACCACATTATTTCCACTCTATTGCCAGTTTTAGCCATAGTTGGTTTTCGTATATTTGCAAGTTTTGACCACAGACTGCGATTATTCACGTTTTCGCTTGGTTGTCATGCATCTCGAGTAATTACCTATCATACAGATTAGAGATTTCTACCATACCTCGTTTCCCATGAGTTCAGCTTTTAAACGTTTCGCTCCGAGAGCATTGAGATCAGCCTCAGTTACACGTTTCGACATCGCCTCTTTTTCTTCGTTCTCTACTTCTTTCTCTTCTTTTTTGTCTTCTTTGCCATCGTTTTCGTCTGAGGACGATTCTGAACTCGGACTGCTTCGTTTAGAACTTGTTTTCATGTCTCTTTCTTCCCTCAAATGTTCCCTGTGACTTGTTTCCTTCTCTTTATCATCTCCCAGGTTTTTCCTCCATTTTCCTATCAACACAATACCAGCTTTATTTTACAGGTAAACAATATTCGACTAATTTGGGTTAACCAAACAGATTAATTTGGACCAAACAGATTAATAAGATACATAACCTTGTCTAAATATTTTTCTATTTTCTGTATTTAAATGGCCCGTTGGTGACTGCACACTTCCGATAATCTAACACATTAACACCCAAGACACAGGGCCGTCGCTAGAAGCTTAACTGAAGGGGGGGGGGTGTTTATTCATATATTCATGTTCGTACAACCGTAGAAACAATAGCTAACAAAAGAAATTAGTCAGGCATAAGACGAATATACAAATGAATCATGCCCCTACACTTACAATTAAGCTTCTAGCGACAACTACGACTAAATGCAACTGCGGTAGGAAATGAAATCAGAAAAAGGAAAATGTTATGATTGAATCAATAACCTGATGGCTTGGTAGTTCTCTCCTCTCTGTACGCTTCATATTTCCGGTCACGTGATCTCGAAGTATGGCTGTCATCATCCGCGGGTGCTCGCATTAACTTCATCAAGGACGATCTGAACAAAAGAGTATTAAGAAGAAAACTACGATTAAATGAAGATTTTAGGATAAGGGAATGAAGAAAAAATTAAAGACGTGTTTGACATAAAAAAATCTGTTCACCTCTGTTCATCCATCGGTTTCCTGAACATATCCTTACTGTTATCACGTGAACTGGAACTTCTTGAATCCTTTTTAACGTCTTCACGTAATTCATCTCTGTTATCTTTCCGATGTCTTTGTGCCTGTCGTTCATGATTTTCATTCGACTTGCGTTCTCGGCTAAATAACCCCCCAAACATGGTTAAACTTTTGAAACTGTGTTTTGCAGTGGTGCAAAATTTAGTTTGTAAGGTCATATCTTAACGTTGAGGAGTCTGTTTATACACGAACTACAAATGTAAAGGGTAAGTGTTATGACGTTATCAAAAATTGTAAGATATGAGAATATATGTCACCTGTTTACAACTTCGCCATTCGCCAGGGATTTCAACTTCTCCAAAGACTGTGGACAAATACATACAAAATATATTTTTTATGGTCATTATGATCGAAAACAGAATTTGACGTCGTACATCATACTAATATATTAGAGACGGATTATCCGTTTGGACCAGTGGCGTACGAGAGACAATAATTAGGGGGGGGATTGATTTCTTTCCAAATATATTGTTTTTACAGGTTTGTTAACATGAATATATGAATATGTGCCCCCCCTCTTCAACTATCGTGTCTCGTACGCCACTGGTTTGGATGAATGATACGTAATCCGGCGTATAGAAAGTGCACGGGAATTGGGAAATTATTTAGACGAATTTATGAGAGTTTTGATTATATATACAGTAATAAACTTGTAAAATTGAAAAGCTCAAATTCTGTGAATTCGGTTGTTGTGTTTCCAGTTTTCTTGTAATAATAATTCAATATGTACCCCCCATCTTTCTGCAGCAACATCCTCCAATGATCTACCTTCGTCTTCAGCCTGTTGTTTGGCTCGCTCGTACGCTCTTTTGAACCAAGCTCTGTTACCACCAGTGGAAACCACTATATTTCAAATAAATTAGTCTAATACTTCAATAATAAAACGCACGGCGAATTTTCTCAACTTATATCCAGCAACAATATAAGTATTGCGGATATACGTTACATATAAAAATACAAAAAATCACCTACGAAATACCGATCCTTATTTTGTACAGTATCGCATTATTTTGTAAGCTCCAAAAGGATTAAGGGCAAATTCACCAACGTGATTGGTTGGTGAATAATAACTAGCAAGCAATCACAAACCCGAAATGAAATAGGCAATAGGCACAACTGTGCGCTTTGCATTGAAGACTAATTATCAAAAATATTTTGCCTTCCCTTCACGTATGTACATTCTACCTTTTTCAGTATTTTTTTCTGATGGCAAGCCTCCTCCTCCTTTCTTCCAGTATGGATTTAGCTCTTTTGGATGTTGCCCGAGCTAAAAAATAAATTCCAGTGAAAAATGAATATCAGTGCAATATCTCGTAATTCCCCAAATTAAACTTAATCAAGTGTTGTACCTCCGAATTGTTGGACGAAAGTTTCAATGATGAATCATTATCTTCAGTCTTCTCTTTTCTTTCTACTGTGTTTACTCTCATGTTTGTTTCTGATGGAATAGGAAACATCATCCAAGAATCACGCTAGAAATATTGAAATCAATTTTCAACATACAACCCTAAGTAGCCCGGACTTGCAGACCATATTGCAGTCTGTGTCGCACATATGATACTAGTACTACAGTTTGGGGTGATATTTTCTACTGGGCAGAATTTTGAAAGTGCTGTGCGAAGCGGAATTTAATTCCTTTTTGTTTTTGAAAAATTAGTTATGCACAAAAGATCACAATTTAACTAAAACAATTCTGTTCCAAGCAAAGCATTTCAGCATGTATAAATTTGGATGTCACAGACTATAATTATGTGTAACTTGACACAAACACTTCCAATGACATAACTGACAAACTTACAACTGGAAATGTTGTATACCATACCTGAGGAGTATTTTTTGCATTTTTCTCTAATGTTGCATCATCTGAGGAATTATTTCTCTCCACCCATTCATCCTCCTCTGAACTACTCTAAAATATAACAGTTACTTCAGAACAAATACCCCAGATCAGCCACATTATGAAGTAGGACACAAATCTACAGCAATTTAACAAAAATTTATTACTTACACCCATTTTTGTCATCCTTTTTTATTCTTAGGTAAAACCTGCTATAAATTTGTGTCATAATTCTTACCTATCCACCCTAAAGTGCTGTACTCTACTAACCCTTTTGTGCCCATATCGTATTATAGGCTTTTATTCACATTGTAACTGTAATTATTATATGCATTTTTATTGGCCAATAATAGAAAATAGACAGTAGAAAACTCATATATACATAGTATTTGATAATACTTTTTGTCGTTTTTTCTTTTTCTTTTTCTTCTTATCTTGCTTGTGTTTCTTCTTTTTTACATGCTAGTTAGGAATTCATAATGATATATTGTGATATGAATTGATTGATAACTACAATAGCTACAACTTTCTCATTAACTCATAAGGATGTTAAATTGTTAAATCTGTAAATCCTGATGCTACAAAAAGTCTAATCAAACTTTGTGTAATATCAGACTTTTCATGTTTGTCATCATTATGAGAAAGATCTATTCTACCGTATTCTCTCAATTTTGCTCCAGAAAGCTTATTTGTTTAAGACTCCATTGAGTCGAAGGCTGTTTATTGGAGAGAGGTATATATGATGTGCATGAAATGAAAAAATGTCAATGACATTTAATACATGAGCTTTTTCATGTAGAAGAAGAAGAAAATATACAGTAGTTCCATCATTCTTTGCAGTTGGTAGTTATGGGTAGTTATTTGGTAGTTATGTTAATGCCTGCACTACCTCATCCTCGTCACTGTTTTTGGGAGAAAGTCGACTATCAACTGATGGTAACATCCAGACATCTTCACCCTTCTTCTTTCTTTCCTCCAAATCTCGTTCTCTTCTTTCATACTGCTCCTTTGCCTTTATAAAGGTGATACAACCTAAGTATGCAGAGCCTAAGTAGTAAATCGCAAATTATAGGGTCCTGTAAAGCAAAGTAACTTACTTTAAGAAGCACTGCTTTTCTTTCTTCGCGACGCTGCGCTTTTCTTGCGTCCAAGTCCGACTTAGAAACAAAATTTACCAAATCCGCCATATTTGTTTTGATGTTTCCACTTTCATCAAAGTAAATTTTATTTCAAACACTTGAAATTAATGCAAATACTTTGATTACTCTTGTCAGTCTTGTGCTGAATGCTAATGTCAGTAATGCTGATCGGATCATATGGTAAATCATCATTATTTCATAATAGAACCAACCTAGGTTGTCACTTGTTTCGAATTCTGTCTCAACTCTCTTGAAAACTTGTCACACATTCTCACGAGCTAAACAAGTGCATTGCATTCTCACGAGCTAAACAAAAATTAATGCATTGCATTCTCACGAGCTAAACAAATCCGATAGTAATCTGGTATAAACGGGTAAACACGACCTAAATGTTTGCCATTCACAAAGAATGCTTCTTATTGCTTTTGATTGGATGGAAATTAGAACTATTTGCATGCTTAAAACAAAAAGTTCAAAAGAAAGAATTTAAGGCTAGTTCCTAGTTGTTGCGTAAGTTAACGAGTTATATGCATACGCTTTATAAATGTGTCAAATTCAAAACAAGTAAAATTGCTTTTGAATTAGACTTTCATATGTCATACAGACAGTCGGCGACGGCGATGCATTCATCGCTGACCGTCATGAGAACCAGGCTTTAACTAACTTCAAATCTAGGTGTGTAAACTTTTTTATCTGTCTATGAGAAATATAAGGTGCTGTCGATCCCTGATCCGTAATCAAAATTAAGTAACTACGCTATCTTAGGATGTGCAATAATTTCTTTCAATTATAGATTTAGAATGTACCATTGTTATGCCCACATTCCAACTCTGGGGTGTTCATAATGATAAAAATCTGGAATTTTTATTCGTTCGAATTCCAATCCGACATTATATGCTCGTTCTACAAGATCCCAGTCTTCTCCACCCCACCGTGTGGTAAACTTCACCTCATCAAATCCATCAAAGGTCTTCCAATCTGTCTTGTATGCACCAAACATTCCGTATCCCCAGGGATCCCAAGCTCCATGCAAGTATCGTGGTGAAGCACCACATGACAGCCTTGCTAGGATGGGGGTGAAAACCATTTTACCTTTAATGCAATGCTGAAATAAATTAGTTGTGTCAGATTGCGTGAACACTGAACATTAAACATTGATTAATAGGTGGCTATCACAAACTATTTCTAGCATGATACAAAGGCTCGTACGGATAAACCAACAGTTTCTAGAAGCGTTGGTATGAACAGAAAGTCATCGTTGCAACGGTAGCATAGCTAATTTTAAGATGACTGCAGATATCATCATAATAGTATAGTGGAGAGGGGCATGACTAAAATGGTCCTAACTGAAAATTGGTAATTTAAAGATAGGGGAACTGTAGGGGGTCCACAGGACCTCTTGCAGAAAATTTTCTGTATTTTTGAGTTCCTATGACTTGATTTCCAGCATTTTGGGGAACAACTACTTATGAATCAACCTCGGCAGAGTGAGATCTGTTGAGAAAATACCATTTCTCACTGCACATTTCTCATTTTGTCACTGCACATTCTACTTTTATCACTGCACAAATTGGTTATCACTGCATGCACACTAAAATTAGGTATGCACCGTAGCGGGGATGGTATTGAAGGGGGTTAATCTCCAAACTTCTAAGAAATTACCTTATACGTTCAAAAATTAAAAAAAAATGAAAAAAAAATCTGCAGAGCAATTGATGTATTTGGGCTCGATTTTACTTAACGTGTCTATAGGCCAGCTACATAGAGGTGCAGTATAAATAAAAAGAGAGATTATTGAGACTTCTTTTTGGGTGAAGTTGTATCAATTGTCTTAACAGCTTTCGCGGTTCACCTAACGACTCCTAACGTTCTCCTAACGACTGTACTTGTCGATTTAATTTGAAAGGGTCGAGGTTCAATCTGGGCACTATGTTGAGAATGTCTGAGGCACTCTTGGAGAGGTAAAGACACCACGGTTCCGGTCAAAGGATAGACCTGCATGCTCAATTAGATAATCTTTGCTCATTTGAATGAAAAATTTTGTTCGCTCGCAAAGACTACTTGTAGTCTGCTTGAAAAGAATTTTCAGCTAAAATAAAAAAATTAGGCACACGTCGAAGCTTTCTCTGGCGTTCATGCATGATAAATGATTGACATTCGATGATAAATAACTGGATACTTACTTTGCGGATACTGTTTGCAAATGACGGTGGAATTTCCAGATGTAGATCCACTGTGAAAACAATTGCATTCGGATCTGTCACTGCATCTGCTGCTCTATTCAAGGCATATGTCTTATGAAACCTGCTGTTCGAACACTTTAAAACCTTATAGTTTTTGAATGAGCTCTTTTGAAATAGAGTTTCACTGTCAATACTTGTACTGTTGAAATCAAATACAATTACGTGTAGGTTTTCATCGGCAGTACTCTGATAAAGACGCTCCATATTCTTTATAAAATGCCACACCCACGGTGCCTGTTTTCGGACAGAAATCAATAAATACACTGGCACAGTTTTGTTCCATTGCATGCCTTCAGGGTAACACAGTGTTTTGTTATTCTTAAATTCGTACACATACTCTGATAAGATAACCTCTTTATCATTTGTGTTATCCCACAACAATAGTTCTAGAAAAAATCTATCTCCATGTCTTAATGTTCCTTTGTAAAACTCTCGGTTCTCTTTATGCCAATCTGGTTTCTTCTCCACACTCAAAATCTTTTTCAACTTGTATTTTCTACAAAGTATTCGTTGCACAGTATGATGAATTAATTTGTTAATCTCCCTTACCATGGTTTCGTCTTTGATCGAGTTGTTTATTGAGAAACCCGTCTGATTTATCCGTCTTGATTTAAATTTAGAATGAGTTTCTCATCCAGGGGCCAGTTGTATAAAAGATTAGTAAACATGTAACTGTCAAGATCGGCCAATCAGGGTCGTGTATGTATGAGTTAACTAGGAATTAACTGTATGCAAAATGTAGTTAAAGAGTTTTATACAACGGCCTCAGAAGGGATTTCCGAGTTCCAACCGGTCTGCATATATAGTTAGACGGGAAAGTTAGACAATAAAGTTCGGACGAAAACCTATCTGTGATCGGATTCACATCAGACGAGTTTCCCATCTTGACCGAGTTTCCGTCTCTATACTCTCTAATATGAACTTACCCGGGATATGAATCTCCAAGTTTCTTCAGATATTTTGCAACAATACCAAATGCGTCTTTTTTCTCAAGTGGAAACCATGGGTCCCACTTTCCTTCCTTCAGCATGGCATGTTTAATTTCTGGATACATGTATGATGGGTTAACAAAATGCATTAAAATATCGTACTGATTCACGACTTTTTTACCAACATAACCTGGGCGATAGGGACAAACCGGTAGAGCTGAGCTAACATCATTCCACTCAAGATATTTAATGCCTGAATGAAATTTTTCAGTCGTGGATAAAATTGATTGTTTGGGATGACCAGTTATGTAATTTTGTGTTGCTCGAGTGAATGGCACATGCTCTATTAATTCCTCAAATCCGTGAGATTCTGCTAAGAAAGAATAGAGATATTTGTGAGATATTACTTCAAAGTTCTTAGAATTTGGAATTTTCCACCTGAGATGAAAAGAACTTTGAGGAATATGTGTAATTAAAACTTCTATGAAGTAGAAGTTGCTCTGTCTCAAATGTATTTCTGATGAGTAAACCTCACTCGAATTTCTTTTCACAGAAACCAAGTTTTGGTCTGTATTAGAATCTTCACTTTTGCATAAAAGTTGGCTATTTCGCCAATGATGATCGCGGCTCAACCATAGTTCAGCGCCGCAATTTGATGACATCGAGAACTGAAAATTACCCGTGTATGGCACGAGTAAATAACCTAATATTCTTCGTCCAAATTTCTTCACATTGTTTCTGCTGCCTTTAATCCATTTTATTTCCAAATTATCCACAAAAAATTGTGTATTGGGATAGATTGGAAACCGTGGGCTCTGTACAAGGTTCTGCAATCCGAGTTCACAAGAAAATTCCCATGTGTGGACATTTAGAAAGCCACGATTGCCCAATTTTCCAAACCGTTTACTAAAAACATCTTGATTATACTCAGGTTCCGATATGCTATTCCATACGACGGCATTTGATTTTGAGGTCTGCTTGAAAGGTAATATGTTTGCTCTTTTGGTATAATTCACTGGCACCTGACTGGAAACTTTCCTGTTTAGTATAAAATATATAATAAGTACATACAATCCGACCAAAAATAAAGGTAGTGAGTAGATGATATGTTTGATTGCACACCGAGAAATACGCCATTTTAACGACCACATGCATGCTCGAAACATCTTTAGGTTTAGCATTGCTTGTCGTTATCGACATATCGTTAGACGTTACATTATTATTATAACTTATAAGTGATTGGAAATTGAAGAAAAATGGAATAAAATTTGTTTCTCGTGGTCTTGGAAACAGTAAATACCTTAAAAATATCTTTTTTTTGTTCGGAAATGTTTCTACGCAACTATATATAGTTAGTGTTGACAATAGGGAATTTAGGATGACAACTTCAACAAGCCGCGCTCGATCATTCTTACTGAATTGTTTTAACCGAACCATTAAAAGTTTGCCGCATATTCCGAAGAGTATAATGCTTTTCGCCACGTGTATGGAGGAGGGGAACTTGACAACGGTGTTATTTTCTATGTGGCGAAAAATTTGTTAAAAGCGATGCCTTGTATATTCGATCTTATGTGATTTTGTTGCGTTGTTTGTACAGGATGGCGCTTGATCGCCAAATCAAATTAGCCATGTCAAAGCGCGTTTTACTCCATGCATGTTTCCGCGCATCCGGCATGTATTATCCTCTATAAAAAATTATGTACATCATAACAAGTACCTTTTAAAAAAATATTAATCCTGCAAAAACAGCATGCATTTATAAGTCGGATTTGTTAAATCATCGAAATATTATCAGTTTTATTATATATACCATAAGCCCTATATGAGCTAACTGATAGGGCCCTGGAGCAAATTTCTCTCAAAGGGGCGCCACTGGTATCCATATAAAAATTGATATATGATAAAAAAAATCGAGTTTAGTGTGTTTAGAACTACAACACAATGAGAGTTAATTGATTAATAATTATATACCTTCCACAATCAGGGGCAAATACTGCAATTTCATTGGTTAAGAGGATCGAGTGCGATTAATCATTAATCGCGCCCTTTCGTGAGCTTAAATTGTGTTTTAGTACTTTTCCTTAAAACAAGTTGATTACAAAGGGAAATATAATGAATAAGTATAATAGAACGAATTAAGTCGTGCAATTAATCGCAAAATATTTTGTAATCACTCGTATGATTTTGCCATTAATTGTTAGCAGTCAAGAAAATGGGTTCGTAATTATTTGACATCAGATGTTCACTCCGACATTGTGTGGCCGGGAGTTCTTCGTAAATACTAGTTATACCACAACGTTTTTTGCAACTTCCTACAGTTGAAGCAAAGCTGCTCCTTTTTTACAAACCAAAGCAACCGCACCATTACGATGAGAAACTAGCTGAACATATCCAATCCATACGCTATGACCAAAACACAAGCTGTTTATAAGTTCTCCAGTTTCAGAGTAGCTAAAAAGATTGTAGCGGTCTGCGACGCGCGACGTTAAGATTATTACACGTTTGTTTTTGTGATTAATCGCAACCGAAGCAATGAATCCGTGTCCTTCCGGAATAACAATTTTGCGCTGTAACACCCCGTTTTCTGTATAAATATAAGCAGCCGTTCTGTCTGCTGAGATTATTCTGTTTGTTCCATCGGATTCCATGAAGCGAATATTCCCAAGGCCTTCGTGAGACAGCTCGTTGTCGACTTTAAATGAATTAAATTGAGTGGATATTTTACCAACATACAGGCTTTTCGGCTCGTCGTAATTTAAGATTGCTATCTTTCCATCATTTCTAACTGCCATGCGTACTTTTTTCCAAGAGGTGTTTTGAAGAAAAGGTAACAGACACTCGACATTTTTCTTCCCGTTTTGATCAAAGATAAAAATCGTGAAACTGCTCGATTCATCGTCACCGCCTACTTGAAATGCCGCGATCACATATACATTGTCCTCGGCATCGATGTCGATCGCAATGATGCGGTTCTCTGACGTCGGCCTGTCCCTGAAAACTTTACACAGTGTACGGCTCTCTTTGGAGCTTGGTTTGAAAGCTTTGATGGTATTATTTCCAAACATCTTTGCAACAATCTCTGTGCTACTGTTAACAGTACATAATCCAGGGGAAATATTATCGTCAAATGAATAATTTGGGAACAAGGGCATAACTTTCACACCAAACACCTCAAGCTTTTCAATAAGGTTATACTCTCCAAAGACGGGCTGGTAAATCCCCTTGGTAAGCTGGATTTCGGGCCAGTCAAAAATTGCTAGTTGCAAATTTGTGAACTTCATGGCGAAATCAAACAGTACTTGATTCAGTATGTGAACAGACGCAGCGTTGGCAAGTCGCTTTTTCTGATTAAACCGAGACTTCATTCCACCGTCAACCAGAACGGAAAAAGTCTCTTGAATTGCTCCGACGCCATGCAGCTGTTTAAGGTACAAGAGACAGTTGCTTACGCTTGCTTCTGGGTCTTCCATTTTTTCTAAAATCCGGGCAAGTATACGAACCTGCGAGGCTTGAATTCGATCCTCCGTCAATAACGCTTCGTTGCAGAATGCCTCGGTGGCTTTTTCTCGCGCGAGTTTAAATGACTCGATGGCCGATTTGAATCGTTGATTAGAATGTATGTTCACCGAATTGATTGCATTCAGCAAAGCAATGGCCTGGTTGATGGAAGGATTTCTGACTTCTGTTACGTTATCATGTTTGGTCAGCTCTGCAATTTCCTCACTTGATTTCAACGAGAGTAGAGACTGGTATAAACCGTCGACCCCTTCTTGTAGAAAGCAAAGGCTACTCAATAAATCCTTTCTAGCCAAACCATCCAGCTTGCTTTTTATGTCATCGAGTTCTTTCACAATCAAGCGACGACATTCCTCGTCTGTAACGTCGCCATCCTGCAAACGTTCGATAACTTCCTCGCGAATCCTGTCGGCCAAAAGTCCAATCGTGAACTTTAAAACACCGCACACAACGTCAACCATGTTGCATTTGATTCTGAAGTTTTTTTTAACCAAATAATCCGCTGTTTAGGCACAGATCAAACAACAATAATACGTACGTGACACATGTATGCAACGCCTTACAGTGACGCAGCCTTGCTTCTGAATTTAAATAATTCGCTGCGCATGAATGTTAATGCATGCACCCCCAATTGCTATCTTAATTGTAATTGTGCGATAGGAAATATAGTTCAAACCAACTCTTGGCCGCAATGAGATAATTCTGATACACAGTTGAACTGCTCTTGTTCTGTCGCCTTCAAAAACTTTACCAGGTGAACGTACTTTCCTAAAATAATTTTATTTGCCTCGTTTCTACAATTCAACATATCAGGTATGCATGTCTGGTATGCAAGTTCACCATTATCTATTATACGGCTTATCAGAAATATTTTCCTTGGTTCTTTGTTCTTCGCTTTTAAATTTGTATGTTGTGTGGGTGCAAAAACAATAATGATTTATTTTTAGATCGCTTCACCAAATTTAGGCTTTTTAGCTATAATTTGGTAACAATTTCACAATTTTTTTCAAAAAAAATTTTTCCCACCCAGTATTCTCGGCGACGTTGTGGTGATTACTAATATGCCCTCTCAAAAAATATAAACGCTGAACCACACAACTGCTTGATCTTTCCTGAGAAGCACAAATTTTGTGAAAACATTTAAAACTATATATAAACGGAATCTATAGTCGGTTTGGTGGCCCGCCGACTAATAAATTGTACTTCTATACGACCCTGGCATTCTGTAACCCCACCGCACCAGAAACGTTTGTGCCCAATTTTTTCTAATCCAATTTTTTCCCGTTACACTTGTTCAAGACGCCACGAAAAAGATCAATTTTCATGCTATACTTCGCTATGATCATAAGGTCCAAATTTACAAAAAAATATTATAATTTATAGAAAGTATTTAGCAATAAAACTTTTCAAACAGCTTTCCATCTTCCGCGAAAAAATCTCTAAGCAACGCGTTCGTACGTTTGAAATAGAAAGAGCCCCTTCTACATTCCACGCTGTCCGATATTCTTCAAGCTTGTGGATATTCTTGATGCAGGATACACTACCGGTACCTCTGTCTTCTACTTCATTGCCATTTCCATTCTTTGCTTGATTACGCGTTGTTCGTAATCATTGGAACTTTTACTGGAAGAGAGTCAGATGAATTAATAAACCCCCGTCTTTATAAGACCACTCATAATCATACGCTTTTTGCATGACAAGTGTCGACTTGGCTTTATTGACCTAGGCGACGACATTTTCACCAATTAAAGCCATTCCAATTTCCAAATTGTTTTCTGTGGGTGTTATCGGGATAAAATATCCCCCACGTACTTTATCATATTAATAATATATCGTTTCATAATTAAAAAAATACGGATACGTACAAGTACACAGCAGGCGCCTCAGCCTGCGCAGGTTTGTCAAAATTTGGATCACTTAGAAGTAGTTGAATTCCAACAAGAACCTATGTAAAATAAAATAAGATATGGCAAGATGTTTTCTTCAGCAAGCCGTAAAGACTAAATTATGGTACGAAACGACCAGGGGTATGGGTACGAAATGACGAGAGTACGAAAAGACTTGACACCTAAGTTTTTCATGACTCGGAATTCTTGAAATATACCCGCAAACAATCGCTTCACCTCTTTAAATGTTGTCTGTGGTTTCCAACCGTGATTTCTGTCAATGAGGGACAAACTGACCGTTCCGGAAGGAAATACGTTTGGATGAAATATTGGCGGGGTAAACTGACCTGAAAATGAATAAACAAGTAATCAATAAATGACTTGCATATTCTAATACTAGTCATAATGACTTTTTGTATAAAAACTAATGAAGCAGCTACCTATACTTGCTATACTTGCACAGGATTTGTGCCCTTTTCCAAAAAAAGTTCTACAAAAGATCTTATTCACATTTTTCACTGAATCCCTCAATTGATCTACCCACTCTGTGTTGCAAACATAGATGATTTCTCAAATGTACTAAATAAAATCATTTCCTTGTTTTTTCAACTAATTTGGAAAAAAATGCAACCTGTTGCAAAAATTTGGCTAAAAAAACTGATTGTCCTGTCATTGTCATTTCACTGAACCAGCCTCCTTTTTTGCAGCTCCTTTTTTGACAAGATATTACCCTTACATTTCGGTGGTGAATAAGGATAATCTTCAGGAAACTCTACACTCAAGTTGTATGATGCTCCAGCCCAATGTGTCTATAACAAATACAGTAAATGTAAAAATTTTAAAAACATGCCATTCATGAAAACTAAATTGAAACAAATTGCTGCAATTTTGCTGTACCATAATGATTGATTACACACCTTCGGCATTCCAGGAATAGCTGAAAAATTTTGAAAAATCATCAAGCTATACATTCAAATTACATCATAATTTCACTTTTCTAAACTCCCAAGTTATTCAGGATGAAAATATTGATGTTTTAGAGGCACACTTCCTTACATACTGAATGCAGTATATGCAAGTTGTTCCCAGTGGAGTAAAACAGGATTGATCAATTGTTGTGTGGCACTTCTGAAAAATTGTTATTATGTATTCACTCCTACCAATGCCTTCTTATGCAACTGTAAAACTTGATTTGAAATCTCTTGCTTGAGATGGCACACAGATTATTATAATAAAAATTCGATAACATTTTGCATAAAACTACAATATATTGGGAGAAATACAAATATATTAGTTTGATTGAACAATACTATTCCTGCTTACCACATTTCCAGTTTAACATATCCAGTGTTCCATCTTCAGTTTTGCATGGCTCGGCAATGAAGTCCTTTATATTTACAAAACAAATTACCATAGATATCAATGGGTAGTGCATTTTTAAACTGATCAACTACAGGGGTATTTAACCTAATAGACCCTGTGTGGTTGGTAGGAAGCTCAAGCTATATATTCCCAAGAGATTAGGGAGAGGGGGTGGTGCCCATGGTGGTCCTCTTTATATTTCCCATTGATATAGGAAATACCCTATACGGCTACACCATATGCAGTATCTACTATCTAGAGAAATGATTGAAATTCCCGCCTCATATGCTCTAAAGAATCATCACTCACTTTAGGATGGTTTGCTTTCCATGCTTTAAATTCCTCTTTCAGTCTTTCTGTAGCATCAACTCTGAATTCTTTTGACGCCATTTTTATAAAAAAAAACAAACACTAAACCAACAAATTAGATTGATTCGAAAATCTTTTGCGTGCACCGCAATGACCGCATGCAGTTCCAAGAACTTCCAATCTTACAATCTTCAATCTTGTTCTTGTCTTGTTCATGGTCTTGTTCGTTTTAGACAGTACTTAGAGTAACAAAAATAAAATGTAGCGGCGCCAATGCGCGGCGCTGACCCAGGCATGCGAGCGAGGTGTTTATATAACCCACTGATATAAGTCATATAACCCTGTCTGTGAACTTTTGACCTGTGATATTGAACTTTTAGAATTAAAAATGTCAACTTTTCTATCCGCATACGGGGATTACATTTTTGGCGAAAATTTTAATACAGCTTTACTTCCACCTCGATTTTCATTTATTTAGATAATAACCTGATGTCCTGATCAATATAAATAATAAGGCTCTAGTGACATTCAAATAACCACACTACACGTTGGATAACATTGGACGAGGCTTATATTGAAAGAATTTGCAAATTTCAAATCTCCAGAAACAGCCATTTACTGACTGTGATGAGTTATATATATTGAGGAGTAATGCTTTTTTTACTGAATTGTGTCTGTTAAATCACTTAAATGTCTTAAATCCCACTCTGCTATGAATAGTGACCTGGATATCAATTATTTCGTTCAAACAAACCACTTAGACTGCTTTCTCTATAGAGGCTCTACTTAAAAGTTAAAACTCATAGCAGCCACAAATGAACAAGTTAAAAGTGTGAAGCCTATGAATATAGTTGAATGTTATAATTGACACCCTGTTTTTAAGTGTCAGTATGATGAATGCGCCACCTTTTATAAAAAATTTACGATTTGCATTTGACGAGACAATCCCTTCATGGTGCATGCAGGCGGAGATCTTCATTGTACGTGGCAAACAAGAAAAATTGCAATAACCGACCCGTCGATACCGAGACGAAAACCGAATTTCCCGCAAATTTAAGGCGTATATGATTCGAGGTTAACCCAGCGCTGGACAAAAGCTCCATCAACTCGAAACAAACAAGAATTATGTACAAACGTTTTATTCCATGGCATGATTTTTTTACATGCCGTTCGGCTATATTTCATGAGTTTTAATGGTATTACAAATAATCATAGGGCGAGGAACTGAGCTAGCGCTTGTATGAAATCAGAGATATATGCATGGTAGTAGTATGTTCCTTCTTCAGTAATATAGTAGGGATCTTGCTCGTTGTCAACCGCAACGGCGACGGCTGGTACACTATATACATCACAAAAATTCATCACAAAAGAAATGAATACTTAAAGAGCACACCGCTGAAAAGAGTGACTTTGCTACGCTCTGTCTACGTGCTGACACACAAACTGAACCCTTTAAATTTGAGGTCTCTCGAAACGCCAACGTGTGATTGTTTTACAGCAACGCTAACTCAGAAAAGTCCATTGCTACTGAATAATAATTTAGTATGACCTTATGAATTCAAAATCTTCATTCTTCTCAAAATAAGTGTAACTTGAACAGGGTTAGAATATGTCTTCAAAATATGAACGGGAGGGAGGTGTCGGGGATGTGACACCTGCCTCCCACAAATAGTTCACAATGATAAGAGTTTGGTTGGCAGACGAGTGTTTCAGAAGAAAATGCCGGACACTGAATATAAATTTCCCGATTTATCAAGTTGTCCAAGTTTTCAACCGAGTCGCGCAAAAATATGGGAAAGAGAAAAAAGTTAGCTTAAAACTTATAGACATAACTCAAGATCAAATTAAGATTTGAGTTTGATAAAAGTATTCTACTATATATAAATATAGTACATTTGTGTTTATTATGATGTGCATGTATATGTATATATATAATCCTTTATTCGTTTACAGACATGCAGGTCAGTGATTTTGTAATACACGCCGGCGTTTGATCATGCGAGTTGCCTCGAATTCCTAATTTATTCTGCATCAGCTAACTTTTTTAACTTCCCTAATCTCTACCCCACATTTTTGCCCGACTTGATTGTGAATTTGCACAATTTGTCGCCGTTGTTGATTTTTCTCTCATCCGTCAGTGATAGCCGGCAGGTACAAAAATCCACTGCGATACTTTGGGCAATTTGTACCCCAGAGTCAGGCTATTTTTCAAACCCACTACATGTTTTTTGACAAACAAATATATATAAACATACACACCAATCACTACAATATATATATATATATATATACATATATATATACTGATGATCGCTTCATAGCGTGAAACTCCGAGTAGCTAAGCCAGTCTTACAATAAATAAATATATTTTCGCTCTGCCGGTAATGATATTGACCGCTCTTCAACAATTGTCAAGTTCTGTGAAGTCTTTGTTACAGTCAATTCTTTGGCGCAAAGGTGACTCATTCATATAATTTTAGACACGGGGTGTCAATTTTAACAGACTTCCCACTATATATATTTACAGGCTTCATGCACTTAACCTTTTGTTATTTCGTCCTAGCTTTGCACGCAGAAGAGCCTCTATAGAAAACAGCTTAAGGTATTTTCTAACGAACGAAAGAATTGATTCATAGGTAAGAGACTGACTGCATGCATGGTCATGATCATTGATATCTTATAGCGCAGATTGGGGCATGCATGATAGCTGCGATGAATACAAAATCATAAAAAAAAACATAAAGCGTATATAGGGGCCTAAGAATTTTTTTGACGGGGGGCAGACGAATAACTCAACAAGGAGCGTGGGGAAATTAAAAAGTTAATACATATATAAATGTAGCTAAGTTATGTTATTAAATTCATTTTGAAAATATTGAAGATGAAATTTATTATACGAGGAATAAAAAAGGAAATAAAAATGTTCATGCATGGTATTAATAACTTTATAATAGAGCTCTTTGGACCAATAGCGTGTCGAGATGGGGTAAATAATTGTAACTGCATGTACTTATAACTATATATTAACTGGCAGGCTGTAGCTACTAGAAAAAGTTTACTGGGAAGGGAGGGTTGAAAGTGTGTCCACACCTTCTGTTGTTAATTTCTGTAAATTAGAATGGATTCCAATTCATAATCTCATAAAATTTCGTAAGATTTTACTTGTTGTTGAAAGTTTGCGTGGCGAAGGTCCCATCGAACTTATTACATTTGGCCTACCTTTATTACCCTGATATAGTGTGTGAGGGCCATTAGGAAGAATACCGTTTCGGTAATAATGCTGGGTTTTTTTCAACCCTCTGTAAATATTGATTTAATAATAATAATGATAATAATAATAATAATAATAATATTCGTAACGGACTGATTGCTATTGAAGTCAAACCCGTGTAAAATTTCAGTTTCAAACAGTCATATCATGTACATTATTTGAAACCATAATCAGTATGTTCGTTTGGCACTTGGCCTAAAATGTTACATTTGCGTCTTTTTGGACCATGAACTGGTCCCTAACCGCTGCTAATCTTGTTGTTGTTGTTGTTGTTGTTGTTGTTGTTAGGGGGCGACGCTCTTTAAAAAAACCCTAAGGCTCTATCATTACTTGTTTGATCGGAATGAAACTTGGCACAATTATTCTAAGCATTATTCCGCATCGATTGACGGAGTTCGAATTTTTACTTTTTACCTTTGAAGCAAGTTACAAGCAATTCTTGATATATTTGCAGCAAATAATATATACATATCATTAATATTCAGCCTATATATAAGTAAACGGAAACGATTAGAAATACATTGTCCTCTCCATTGTTATAAATACAATGCAGTTCAGAAATTAAACTCGGTTACGCAGTTCCTGGTCCCTATAGTACGATCGTACTTGTTTTAACAAGTTGTATTATAATATAACATTTAATTTATAGTACGGGCGTGTTGCTTGTTAAGAAGCGTGTTGCTATAACTGTATAGAAACACGGGAATTTTCCCGCCGAACTTGACAAGCGATGTAATGAGAATTTGTAATGATCGAATTATAATATAGTTTACATATTATAAAAGAGATAGAAAACATTTTCTGCTGTGTTTCTATACAGTTATATAAACACTTGTGGGAGTTTGGGAGAACTCGAAATAACGTGGAAAAACTCGCCCTACGGGCTCCAACTGATTGTTTCTCGTCAGTCTCCCAAACTCTCAGGTGTGTTTCTATAACTGTATAGAAACACCTAATATGTTTTCTATTTCTTATTTTTTTTGCAGCAAAGGTGTTTTAGCCAGAAACATGACATCCCTAAACTGCTTGTTGGCACTCACAATATGTCTCTTCATGTTATGTGAAGCTTATGGAGGTCAGTGAATAGACACAGTTTATATATATAGAAAAGACGTATTGTCAAATTCAAAACATATAGTTATATCATGAATTCATACATCAGAGAGGCGCGACTTTCTCGTGCACCGTTTGTAAATTGATGAACTCCTTATATGCCTTTCTAAATAATTTATTTACAATAAGGCCTGTTTTAAACGTCGTATTGTATGAATGTGCTGACTGCACATAGTTACAAAAAACCACCCAATGATGGAAAATGGACGATTTTTGTAAACACGATAACTAACCAAGTTTTAACGCTTAGTCGATTACCAGGGCCAACTCGGCTTGCTGAAAATATCATACTGAAATCACTCATGGGCTAGCTTTTCCCAGAGCTTTTCCTAAGAGGGAAAACCCTGGGTACGTGGTTGCAGGGCTAGCTCAGCAAACTGGGCTAGCCCAGTCGATCACGATGTAATCGGCCTCTAAACAATTCAATTACACAATTAAGCTAATGAAGGCCTGTCATTACTCCAGCAGCGAATACTGTGATTTAACTTTTCATGCATGTACATACATTTACGAAATTTCCACGCCACTTTAATTTGCGCTCTCCCCTATCCTTGAAATCCGTACAATGATCGCGCACATGCAGGTCTGAAAATGCATGTCTTTTTAAATCCGATAAGCTTTGTACAGGTCAGGACAATACTATAATATATGACATTATTCTTAGTTGATAAAAAAGGCTTAGAAGCATTCTGCATTCTTAGAAGCAAGCTAGTTGCACTGCAACGCCGCGTACTAAGAAAATACTTGCATTTCAGCTAAATCGAAATACAGCGCCAGCGTGAATATTAAACAAAAGAGGCCAATGAAACGGTACGAAAAAAACCCCAAGAAACATGATGGTAAAAATAGGGTAAAAATCAACAAAAGAGACGACGTTACATTGTTGAAAGGTAAATATATATATATACCTTGTGTGTCTTTGGTGTACCATAAAACTGCGCTGCATGCATGAGTGCATGAAGTAGTCTCAAGTACTTAAATATATAGTCAAGTACTCAAGTACTTAACTAGTACTTAACTTCTCAGTACTTAAATTCAGTAATGTTGTCCGATTTTCATAATCTTAACAGCATTTTTTGTACCTCCATGCAATTCCACCTTTTGGTTGGAATTTTCTTGTAGATTTCCTGATCTTGTAACAATGTCGTTACGACCTTTAAATCCTTCATTGCCTTTCTCTCCCATGTATATATATAAGTTCTGAGTAGTTGGCGGAATCACGCGTTATAATGTACCGTGGGTTTCTCCTCTGATTTCAATCATTTAATCTTTGTCCTTCTCAGCTAGATTGCTCAGTAATACCTACTTGAACCGAGGCAATAATTTCTTTTACCGGAACGTTCCTGGTGCATGTAATTGCAAAATTTAAACCCTAGCTTTCGAAGTAAAAATTTAGGCATATTTTATGTAATCGTATATATAAAACTATACTCCTTCAGATCATACTACGACAGGATCAAAACGCACTCCAGCAGCTGTTGCTGCAGTTCTTGGTAATGAAAAGGTCCAAGAGGCCGTCATCGAAAAAGGTGTTGAAGTTGTTGGAGACGCGATCGATCAGCAATTAGCAAATATCCAGGGAGCGCATAATAAATCGGAAGCATTTTTAAATAAAAGGGTAATTAAATGGCTCTGCATGTTTCTTTCTTATATACAGTGCAGCGGATTGGCCTCACACATGATAAAATCGAGGCATTTTTAAATGAAAGGGTAATAAAATGGCTGTGTTTTGTGCGTATACAACGGAGTGCATTGGCATACTTTCTTTCTTTAGGTAGCAAACACTCGCTGTCTCACATGCAGGATAGTCAACTTTCAAAATTGTCTAATCGTAGTGTAAATTGTATTGTAGGCTATATAATTATATATATTCCTTAATTTTTTAAGATAAAATTGAATGTCTTCCCTGAGAAAGGCTGGAGAAATGAGGATATGTTTTTACCACCTGGATATCATATGGACGCAGAAATAGAAAGCGATAGTTCCCCAGCGAGCAGCAAGGAAGTTGGTGATCCTGTGTACACATATCCTGCAGGAATAGGAACTATGATAATGAATGGATGCTGGGGGACTGGATACCAACCTGGTGATCCTTGCTATCAATCTCTAGAAGTCCTAACTGCTTGTCAGGTGTGTTTGTGATTACCTTTTACTGTTTCTGGAGATATTTTGAAACACTAGGATGTTATTGCATAAAATTAATATACATGCATGCAAAAATGAAATTTATTTTATGATATTCGATATGCCGCAGAATATGATTGATGGAGCGGCATTTATTGGTGTTGGCTTTGATGGTCGTGGTAAATACAGTCCAGAGTCGAGAAAAATGAGTATCATACAACGTTCTTGTGGTGGACGTCTTTAGTAAGTAATCTATATATATTTTGCAAATTATTTTTATATGAATTGGCAGTGAAAATTTGCTGAAGAACTGTTTTTAGAATCTTGGGACACAATTTCTTAAATCCCCTTTACTCAGATTTTGTTTGATTTATAGTGGACTAAGCGCTAAAGAGCATCACAAATAGTTCAGTTTTTTGTTTAATTTTTGTAGCTATGACGACTTCCAAGTGCCTGACACAATGAGCGTTCATGGCATATACGAAACAAGCTCACACATGAAAATCTTCTCTTCGCGAAAAGAATACCAAACGTATCTGCAAACAGAAGCTGGCATCTCAGGGTCGTTTTTTGGGTTATACGCTGGAGCTAAAGCTGCTTATGGTGCATCATCCAGTTCGAATAGTCAAAATAATCTTGCAATTTTTGACATTGATGTGGACAGGTAATGGTATATGCTGCATGTAATCCGCACAAAATGTCAATTGCATGCGGCTTTTGCAAAATAATAGTTTTTCATTGTTTTAAATAATTTATGACTTTCTTCCATGTTATACAATTTTAAGTATCATTCAAAATTAACAACTAGAAATACATGCATGCAGCAACCCCTCGCCATTTCAAACGAAGCAAAATATTTCCTGAGCTAGCCAGACCTAACCTTCAATATTATGAAATGTCCTAAATGTAAAGCCGATAGCTGATGTTTCAAATTTTTTGGAAACAAATACATTCGTAAAGGTGAAGTGAAATCACCCGTTTTCCTGCTGCTTTCCGTTGCATTAAGTTATAGACTTTCACAGTTTAAGTGAGAGTTAATACTTTATATTAATAGAGAGTTAATACATTATAGCTAAACCTTCAAAACATCAAAACAGCACAAATAATCCCCGAGCCGGCGCGAAGCGCCGTGCGAGGGTACTAATTCCGCTGGGAGATTTATTACACCCGGGTATTGTGACAGAACATAGCGGAATCCAAAGTTGCTCAAATTCTATGTCGTGGACCGTGGACCGTGGACGTTCAATGGTCATGGTACTTATGCGCATGCGTGAAATGCGAACGAGTGTAGACTGCACTGGTAATCAACGAACGTTCTGATTGGCTAAGACAGAAAGTTTGTAATTCAATGAGAACGTCAGCAATTTAACTGTCATTTCGTAAACATTTTTGTAAAAGCGTTTCATAAACTTTGTGCAAAGAAAGTAAAACGAGAAGAAACAAGATATATGAAGCATGACAGATAGCAAAGATGAACGTGGATACAGTCAAAACAAAGCCGTGTAAGAGGAATAATTCATAATCTGCAAGCTTATAAATGTTTTCAAAGACAAAGGGTACGTGTTTACTTTGTTTATCTCGTACTTGTTTCGCGGTAAGAATGAGCCGTATTTGTATACTTTTCAGCTTTGTATGCCGTTCAATCGTTCATTTGTTAAATTTTCAGCTTTTTCTGCAAACGCATAAACCTGTGAAGGGCTATTACACCTTTGCTTTAACTTCAAAAAGTGTTTTTGAAAGTGTAATTTGAATTTTGGTATCAAAAATACACACTATATTTATAAAGTATACTGAAACTTTTAGCCGCCGGCGTTGACTGCAATTACAGAATAAAATAACATTTGAAGTTTTTTCTTTGTCTGTGAAGATTTTGTACTGTTTTAATCGTTTGAAACTTCGATTTTAAACCGTTACTTAATTGCTGGCATGGTATAATGCAGCAAAATTGAACGGGCAATGTTTACACTAGCTTTGTGATTATTTTTGTATTGAATGATGGAAACTTTAAGACTGATTTGAGTTTTGTGTCATTTCATAATATAAGTTTAGGTCAGGTTAACTCAGGAAATTGTGTACTTGGTTTGAAATAGCGAGGGGTTGCTGCATGCATGTATTTCTAGTATAAATCACCAAACAGTGAACTTCGAATGTTGTTTTTTGATTATTAAATTCATGCAGTGATTACAGTCGACTCTATAAACCTTTAAAGTGATATTTGTTGTATTAAAACTCCAAAATACACTTTTAAGAACTCTTTTTGAAGTTAATACGATGATGTAAAGCCTTAAATAGTCGGTCACGTCTTCGCAAAACCGAGCAAAACGACACACTGTACAAGCTCATAAAATGTATTCGTACAGCAAACACGAAAGAAACCTCGAAATAAACAAAATAGACTCCTACCATTTCAAGGATTATAAACCAGTTGTTCCTTTTCGCCGCTAATTCTTCCAGTTCTGATAATATTTTAAACTCTTCCCAGTGTTTTATCTGTTATTTGATTCCACATTTCATATTGTGTTTTCGAAACATTTTTTAAAAAAAATATTTTGCAAAATGACAGTTAAATTGCTGACGTTTTTCACTGAAACACGAACGTTTCGTCCTAGCCAATTAGCAAGTTGCTAATTGCCAGTCGTCACTCGTTCAAATTTTGCGCGTGCGCACAAGTACCATGACCATTGAACGTCCATGACATTTGGGCGACTTTGGATTCCGCTATGTTCTCCCGGGTTCCGGGTGTAATTCCTAATCTTCGGGCGGAATTAGTACCCTCGCACGGTGCTCCGCACCGGCTCGGGGATTAATATTTATTAATAACATTTAAGATATGAAATATTCAAAGATGAAGTGAAACCTCAAGATCTCTCGCGTGCATTTCTTCACGAGTTCATGAATCTACCACCATCCTTCATTCAACCTGGTGCGCCAGCTAAATTCAGTAAGTATCAACGAAATATTGATTGACATTAATAAAAAAATCGAAGATGTACAAAAAGACTGTTTGTAAGCATCTTTTAATTTAATTTGAACTAAGAAGAATATACCGCAACAGAAACTTCCGCTCCTACATTTACATTACTAATTTTATGTAATCTCCTAGAGATTATTTAGAAAAAACTAGAAGCTTCTCTCAAATTGACATAATACTTGTGGCCAGGGCGGGGACTTAGCTTTACCCCTAGATGCACAACCGGCATTTACTAAAGTGTCGCATTCTACAGGTGACTTCATATCTCGATGGGGGACTCATTATATAAAATCGGCAAAATTCGGCGGACAGTTGGAAATACGAAAGCTGCAAAGTGGCCTGTCGAGATCATCCAAACAGGAGTTTGCTGTTGAAGCTGAAGTAGAATATAAAGGTCTTTTTGCCAGTGCTGGTGCGTATAGCAGCACTCGTATTGGGGCCGAAGCAAAAACAGAAGAAAAATTCATGTCAACTTCAGTCCAAGCGCTTGGGGGATCTCAAAAGATAGCAGCAGCAGTCGCAGACGTGTACTCTCCAACATTCAAAAATACACTTGTTGTAAGTATTTTCCTATTGTTTTCACGTTTAGACAGTTGAAAATAAGAAACTGAGAAGAAGCGATGGAAGTTTTTCGTAGTAGCAAACTATCATCATTATTCACTGATTATCAATAAATAATTCACTTGTATATATAACTGTTCCCTGAAGTGATTATACGCCCTATAATGGACACATTTTGGAAATGCTTTCACATGCAGGGAGAGCAGCTGCATGTTGGGATGTTGGAGTAAGGTCCAGAGGATCTCCTTGTTTCTGAGCTCCCGTTGATTGAAGGAAAATTATGGGCGGAGAGGGAAAATAGATGTAGTTGTGGCAGAGATTTGCCTCAGCTTCCATCTCTAATTATGATTTTAGGAATGGCTTGACAGCATTAATAGTTACCCCAAGGCATTCAAGTTCATTATGGGATCAATCACTGACCTTGTTGACTTTCGCGCAGCTGATCTATTTCCAGATGCAACAGTCAATTGGGGTTGTGAAGCAAATAGCGCAGCACTTGGAAGAGAAAGAAACACAGGAAGATATTACTATAACAGAACGGTTGACAATGCTATCATCAAGGCTTATTGCGAGTACGAAAGCAGAGAAGATCTGGAAAATAAATTGAAACAACGTCGAACAAGTTTAAAAGCTGCTATAGAATCGTACATGGAAGAGGTGTGATAAGCAAGCTCATTATTCAGCGAGAGTTGGCGATGTAATTTTGGTGGTCGCTGAAGAAAATATTTATACGAAAAACAACTAAACAAAACACTTTATTCTTCAGTGATCATCACCATCGCTGACAGGCGGTGCATGACTTAAGCGAAGCGATATCTAAAATCCGGTTTGCGAAAACTTGACTCACCGTGAAAAAGTAGAATCTACTTGGAATCCAAATCTTTTTCAGTTCGCGAATAAACTGGCCTAGCGGAAAACCTGGCTGGCTTTATGCCAAGCTGTTGCAGGCAAGCTAATTACAAGGCCCAACATGCATGCGTGCAAAATTTGTCCGCACCTGTTTGATAGTGTTATCCGCACTTTTTGATGGATTGTGGTCAGTTATTTGAAGAAATCGATTGACTATTAAGAATGCCGGGTTCGCTCACCTAAAAATTATTTAAATTTCGCATATTTCTTGACACGAAGCCATATTCTTTATTTCAGACCCATACCGAACTAAAATTGTGATATAGTGTTGCAAAGATTATACACATGCAGCAGCTCAAAATGTAAACAAACTCAAAGCGTTTGTTCGCATTACGGCTAAACATCGATCACCTTTAAATCAGAAGTTTTTTATCTTGTATTTTTTTGGTTGTGATTGGCTAAAAGGGTGCTTATATGTTGCTATGTATTTAGGTACTTACAGGAGCGCCTAGGTTTATTGCTTGGGCTTTAATTTAGGAATAGAATTACACCTTTTTTGGACGTATATACAGTCCGTTTTTCGTCAAAAATAGAATTACACTTTCTCGTTTTTTCATACTGAATTGAGGTAATGCACATAAATACACATTAGTAATTTAATTCGGTAAATCAATAGCTTCGTCCGTAGCTTAATATTCTCACGTACTGCTTTCGACTCCGCAGTAAGACCATGTATTTATGAATAATGTATTTTTCCTCTTAGGGACCAGTTTCAGCAACTGAAAGAAATCTTCCAGCCGGTGATGGAGGATGTGAAACACTGAATCTCGAAGATTCACTGGCCATTCCAACTTGGGACGAAATCTCCAATGATAGTCATGTATTTCGCGTTATTTTTGACATGGATGTTGATCTCTGGGGAAATTCAAGCAACATTCCTAAGACCATGTCAAGATTGATGAAACGAATGTAAGAATTAAAACAAGATGTCGTTACTAATTTCCGTACCAATCAAGATTATTATTGCTTACTTTACAGTTTACTACTCATAATTCGTATACCACTCATACAACAATTTATTAAAAAAACTTTAAAAGAGTCTACTCATAGTTCTCCGATAGCTTACTGCATGGCGACGATGGGAGGGCCCTCGAAATTCGAGTCGGGAATTTTCCGAGACGAAAGATAAATTTACATATTTAAATTCACGTTATCTTCAATTAGTCGCAATAGATGGATTACAGGAGATGAGAATGGCGAATTTCATTTGTTCAATGCATTCTCCAATGGTGGAAGTGGTACTTTATCCAACAGTAAAATCTCCATATTTGGACTCGTTCTAACATACTCGGACGGAGTTCTTACTTTGGCAGAGGAAGACTACAGTGAATCAGGGGAGTATTTTTCAAATCTCGACGAGCGTTTGCAAGGTAAAATATAGCCTTTATACGACGCTATACCAGGAAAACACGCAGCATGTTATAAAGTTTATCATTTTGTTGCCACTGGGAATTCTAATCGCGGTACTAATCTTGCAAGAGATCACTTATTACTGTAGTTAACTGCATCGTGTTGTGGATAGTCGATTTTACACCTTCGGAAATGGGGAAGACGATGTAGCAATCGTGGATATAAAAGTTACCCCACGTTCTGGTTTTGTGCAAGAATGCAAGGGAGGTACTGAGTTAGACGCCGAGGGATTACTGTGTGTCAAAAAGCCATGCCACGAAGCTTGCGATGCAATTGAAGGTAAAATCTTTGTTTTTACTGTACGATTTGGTGATTCAGTACAAGACAAATAAGTAGTAGAATGTTAAACAACAGTCTACAGATCGAAAAATGTCCCCCTATATATAGCTAAACAATTTTTTCATCTCTAAAATGCGATTTTATATGCCTCTGACAGGGTTGTAATAACGTAGTCGTTATTTCAACGAAGAACGATTCCTTCCTTTGGAGTTGGGAACCCTAAAACGAGGTCATTCAACCTTTAGTGTCTGAAAATGTCACATTCACGGATCTTATTCTTCACTCTCCTGGCATTGTAACAAAATTATTTGCAAAGAATGCATGCGGCCCATGGTGCCTACCTATATTGGTACTACATTATTTTTTGCAGGATGGGAGTTCCACCCCTAGTGCTGCCGTAATTTCTCTGAGCATGTATTATCCATGCAATGGGCCCCCGATTCCTAGGAGCTAGTGTGAATCAGGCCAAAAATCGGCCGACTAAAATCGAACGACAAAAATCGCGTCGTATGCGCCGGCTTCACTCGCTTTCCCCTTTAGGTTGTCGTCAATCAACAGGGGATACACCACTTCCGTCGGAGTGTTTTTCTTGCAAATATGCACAAGATGGCGATAATTGTATCCTGACTTGCCCGTCTGGTATGTCACCAAATAAGAACAAAAGATGCACGGGTTTGTAAATTTATATTTTTATATTTATATTTATATTTATATATTTATGTTTATTTTTATATTTATTTATATTTTATATTTTTATATTTTTTATTATATATTTATAATTTCCAATGGCCAATCTTTTTAGAAATGCTTTCCACATGTCGCACCTATACGAGATTTCCCATGCGAGATAATGTCACAAAAGTCTAGAAAACCGTACTTCAATTTAAATGAAAGTGGGTTTTTTTCTCCGTTTACACACTAAACATGGGCGAACGCAAAAACCTGTATCTGATATGTACGACCAAACTCGTGTGCAACCGTACTCGGCATCAAATTAGATTAGCGTAACAATTTAACCGTGCCAGAAAAACCAATTGAGTGTCAACGTATCAACAGTCAACGTTGCAGTTTTTTCCGCGATAATAATAAAACTACTGGTCATCCCATAGTCTTCGTTCATTAAACCCTTACGGGTTCACCTTTAATTAAACTATAGTTATAGTCTACGTTAACTATACCAATCACAGTTAATAGAATATACATGGTTTGGAAACAAAAAACTCCAACTACAATACAACTCATTAACTATGTTGAGGTAGATTTATGCAAAAAATTGTTTCTTTTACATCACATGTCATATTGTATTTTGCACAGATAAACCATTAGTAAGCTTTTAATTAACATATTTTTCAAGTCAAGGTTGAGGAGCTTAGCAAGACGAATGCCATTGGTAGGTTTGGCTTTTAGAATACAATTAACAAGTCAAGAGCTAAAAGGAACCTGCATAAACCAGGGCAAGAACATCGTTAATGAGTTGTATTGTACTTCTATTAAGTCTCCAAACTATGTATATTCTATTAACTGTGTACAAATCAATTTAGAAAGTCTAAATTTAGCAGTTGCGTCTTCTCATATATATGTGTCATTTTTGTTTATCTTTAATGGTACGATAATATGCTTGTCTTTAGATTCTTATGACTTGACGTACAAAGGATCCTCCTTCGATGATTTGGATAGGTCATTTCCTTTGCCATATACATTCCCCTCCTTCACAATTAGTGTTTGGCTAAAATTACCTGTTTACCAAGAAAAGTATTTGAACCACCTATTTAAAGTCTTCGGATATACCTACCTGACATCGCAACTTGACGCTTACTACGTGTTAGAATTATCTGTACGTTACAAAACAGCAGAACAACCTTCGATAATGGCTGACTTTTATGACTGGTAAGTTGAGCTAAATAACGGTCCAATTAAGCACAGTTAATAGAATATATGTACATGGTTTCGAGACTAAATAAAAGTACAATACAACTCATTAACTATGTTATTGTCCACGTTTATGCAAAAAATGGTTCCTTTCTCGTCACATGTCTATTGTATTTTAGCCAAACGTACCAATGGCATTCGTCTTGCTAAGCTCATCAACCTTGACTTGAAAAATATGTTAATTATAAGATTGTTATTAGTTTATCTGTGCAAAATACAATAGACATGTAATGAGAAAGGAACAATTTTTTGCATAAATGTACCTCAACATAGTTAATGAGTTGTATTGTAGTATTATATGGTCTCCAAACCATGTATATTCTATTAACTGTGAATTAAGGAACAGCCTACTTAGCCGGTGGACGTCAGCCTGCTCTGAACTGTGAGAAAGCCGCTATTATTGCAACGTTCTCGGGTAGAGCTTGATCTGACAATTTTTTCACTGATACTAAAACCTGAATCGGCGTTAGTACGATTTGATTATTCAAACGATTTTCTTATACATGGTCGCAGAGTTTCAGTGCGCATGCGTCATATTAATGCGCATGCGTCATATTAAGAAAATATCTATAGTGATGTCTCTATAGTTTTTAAGATTTGATTCCGAAACGTTGAAATCTTCATACAAGAGTGCAATATCCATTTTCTCTACATATAAAGGCACAAATATTCATATATTCACGTTCAGCATTATTAGTTTCTTTTGAAATTAATAGTTTTTTCGGTTTGCTAACATGAATATATGAATACTCCACGCCTCCTCACTTAACGATCTCCCCCAACCCTGCATAAAATTGACTCGTGTAACCGTTGCGGTTGTCACAAATCGCACTTTCTTATGATTTTCAGGGTCTTGGGATCAATATCTCCAAGTAATCGCATTGAGTTACAACCTTTGGAAGCGCCCGAAAATACCGGCTGGATTTACTTAAGTATTGCGCGTGATAGCAGTTCTGGAAACATGCAGCTTTTAAAGTATGGAAGAACGCTCGTTTCAGCCAGCAAGATCATTCTTCCAGGTCAGACAATGATGAAAACTGGACTGTTCATTCTAGGAGGTATTTCTTCGCAAGTGAGTTGGAGTGGTGGGGCACCTAACTATAACCTACCTATGACTGTTAGTCAGCTGAATATTTGGAATCACGTACTCACAAATGAAAAGATGGTCGCTATGGCTAGGCGAAACCTGTGTGATGGTCCTGCTGGGAATTCGATTGATTGGCAAGATTTCAAAGCCGCTCTGAATCTCACTAGGTTCACCATGAATGAACCTTCTGAATGTTCAACCATTTCTGGGTAATTCATAAAGATATTAGTAAAGACCTTTTCCATGTAAAGTTATTATAATTTGCAGAGTTAATTTGTGCAATCATATACGTCTCAGTTATGACTGACTTTATTTAATCACCCTGAATAAATACATCAGAAATTGTCGAATGATTTAATTGTTTGTGTCATTTACAATTACAGAGACAGAGTTAATGAAAAATCACGTCAGATGACTAAAACCATTTTTGCAAGTCTTTAAAATCATAAAAACGACTTATTGATAATTTGATATATCATGTTGCACAAAAACATATACAAAGCGATCTGCTATTTATTCCCACATAAAAAGGTAATCAGAGACCACAATTACACACGCACGTACATTAGCATTTAACTTTAGTCATCACGCCTTTCAAGTTTATTCTTTTGGCTGCAATACAATACCAATGCGATACAAATTCGAAATCTTATGACATTTGTGCACACTTGAGAATCGTGTAAGACACGGCCACGTCTCGACATCCCCTGGTCCTTCATCACACAGGTATGTTCTTGAATTGAACGTAAAGTTGGATCTCACATGAGGTTGAAGAATGGAACGTAAAGTTGGATGTCACAAAAGCTTGGATGGAACATAAGGTAATTAGGTTGGAAGTATAACATATGACTGGATGTCATACGAAGTTGGAAGGGACATAAGATTGAATGTCACACGAGCTAGGTTGGAAGGGACATAAGGTGGATGTCATAGAATGTTGGATGTCACGTAAGGTTGGATGTCACATATAAATGTTGGATGCCAGTCATGCCACAAAAAGTCGGTTGTCAAAAGCGTAAACGCCACAAAAGGATGGGTGTAAAAAATACGGCTGGCAGCATGGGAAAACACGTCACTTTGATTAACATACCATAGTAAAGCATTACCATCCTGTTGCTCTCGATACGAACTTTACGTTCGTACGGTTCGATGTCACGCAGGTTATATTGACCTCGATGTCACGTAGGTTATATTGACCTCGAGGGCTGTCAGTCAGTGATGACATGCAGATATTCCAGTGGAGTATTTTTATGCAGATTTATTGCACTTTTTGCCATACTGAATAATAATCGGTCTTCCATATAGCTCGTATCCATTAACCAGATTGAATGCTTGAATTGCAACGTCTTTATCTTAAAATATAGAGAAAAACTACAGTTCTTTTGAATAAAATTCATCACTGATTTTACGGACAAGGAAAGGAATAAGCACGTTCTTTGTGTTCGGACATACGGTAGTATAGCAGTTTTCCCAATTGAAAGTTAAATGTATTTATCGATATGACTTATAGAACACGAGTGGGTTTCCAATCATGTATTTTAGAACTATTTCACGAACTTCAAACTTCTATGAAGAATGAGCATGCATTTGATAAAAGGGAAACCTGCATGTAAATAATATACTGCTGTCATTCTAAAAAGAAAATAGAATTAAAATCTTTCTTTTCGGTGAGATTTTCGTCTCTGGATATGGTTGTAAACGAGTGACTAAATTATGGATGGATATTCAGATTTCAGATAGATGAAATTCTAGGATAGAAATAACACTTTATAATATTAATTAGTACTTTATAATATTAATGTTTCCATGTTTATAAAAGCACAATTCAGAGCAGAAAACGGTTACAGCTAGAATGTATAATGCATATGATTCTAACCTCCAAATGTGACAAAAGCTTGGCCTTTCATGCGTCCTGTCATGAACCGAATATGAAACTTTTGGACACCATCTTCATATCTGTTGAACAGCGCATGGAGGTCAGCTTCTGATACCTTTTTGCTCAGGTTCTTTATGTATAAAACCTATAAAAGTTAAAGGATACATTTAATTTAGATAGGACAGACAAAGGTTGCGTGGGATAATTGGGAAGAATTCGAGAAGTCTTCTATTACACTGACCCAAGTGACTATTGTCTTTATCAGTAAGACCGCGGTTCTATTCACGAGGGATTTCTTTATTGGTAAAAAAATATTGCTTTGCTTGTTGTATGACATACTCACAGATTACTGTAGTACAATTATTGTATCATATATTAGTATGTTCTATTTCGAGATCAATACCAATGAATCTTTGTTGTTTTCCTTCGTACTATACCCTCATTAGTGGGCTCGGTGTGGTATATACAGAACACATTTATTTTAGGTCCACATAGTGAAGAATATAGACCACTGAAATACATGCAATGTGATTGGCCGTGTGCATACATGGATTAACCATGATTTAATAACTACGTTGATTTACTTCTGTTTGTAAAACGTTTTCAATAACGGAACTGGATATACCTTGCAAGGTGTAGCCAACAAAATTCTAAACCAAGATATTAAGTCGAAAATTCCTTCACAGCGTTACATCACAGTGTTATAAACCGAAAAGATGCATGAAATATCAACTTCCTGCCGCGTCGCACGTGCGCAAGAATGGTTCATACTTTGGTTGCCAAGCTTTACCTCATTTGGAGAACCGGGCTGATAATCCTTAAAACGTGGAATCGCGCGAATATCATCCAACGTCAGCCGATGTCTCTTTATAACTTCCTCGTCTAAAGGAAGAATACGTTCACTGCAGGAATCGGTTGTACATTCATCATCTGGTTCGTCATCGGGTTGGTCAGAAAGACAAATAACGTTCTCCTGGACACCGAGAGTTTTTCTTTCAACATTGGAATTCATGGAATTGTTTTTTTCATTATATTCCTTTAAAACTTCGTCAAGGGCAGGATCAACTAAAATTCAGAAAAAAAATGCATAAACATCTTATTAATATTGCTCAATGTTTTATAGTTGCATAATTGTTTATTAATAAATCGACTAAAATATTTTATTCATCAGTATTGTCTCAGTATTAATTGTCTTAGCGTCCCAACGCAATCGTCCCAACGTTGCGCACCCATTTTTTTGCGCATCAATTCAACCCGAAAAAATGGGAGAATTTACATTACATATTGTATATTAGGGATGATTTTTGCATTTTCCATATGAAAATGGGATGCTTTAATGTGTAAAAAAACAAAACAATAATATGGACGAACGACTTACACTTTTGCTCGGAATGAAGAAGATGCGAAAATGCATTCGACTTTTCTGTTCCTCTGTTCAAGGATTTCTCTACTTCCATAGCATGCCGACTCATTTTTCGTACATTTGAGAATGAGATCTCTTGAGAAAGTTTTTGTTCTTTGCTTTTTATCTTGTCCTGAATGGCTTTGCGTCTGTCGTGCTCTACTTCAGGATTAACCCCATAATTACTTCGTGTGGAATCCTATACAAAGGGGATAAAGGGGAGTGTTTAGATACATGAATGTACTCTCTTTAAAGGATATGTTTCAATTTTTGGGTAATATAATAAATTTATTTTTGGATAAAAGTATGTTTTAGGAACAATATTAACCTGCTTTTGACAATACCTTTCTCAACAGACCATAGTCTGCCATCTTTAATTTAACTTCATCACCTGTCAAACCTAGTTGAGTGAATTCTGCTTCTTTCTGTTGATATGTATCAAACTTGTTGTAGTCACTCAATGTCATCACACCACTTGCTTTCTCTTGAGAGGTATCGTGTATGATAGGCTCTGTGAATGCCTTTCTTTTTCTTGAAGCTCTTAAAAATAAGCAATTCGAGTTTGTTATCATTACAAAGTCTGTTTTAATTGAGACATCATCTTATATAGGCCAGTGGATGCAATCTAGCACCAATAAGTTATTTATGACTTCTTTTTTTAAATCTGTGAATTTAGGTGTATTTAAACAATGCACTTAATATAAACACACTGTCACACACTACAGTATGTTCGTACACTATGTTTGTGATTTAAAAAGAAATAACCATATACCACCAAAGAAGAAAGGAACACATAACATACAATAATATATACATAGGTAATTGTGTGATTAAAAGGATTATGAGTGAATTAAATACCTTGTTTACTGAACTAAATGGTTTGTACAAAATGCATTATATATTTAGAAAAAAAAGTTGCATCTTGCACATCTCACCCGTGAAATGTAACATTTGTATCGAGCTGTGTCTTTAACATTTCTTGTAAATGATCCTCAGCCTCTGACTTTGTTCCCTTCCCTGGTAAACCAAGTTGTTGGTTTTCACATGGAACCTCTTTATTTGGTACCATTCGCATAACTGACCGATTCTTATACCGCTGTGGATTTCCACTTTAGAAAGAAATGTGCAAATTAGCAAAATAAACATGTCTCACTTTACAAAAAATTCCAATTGCCATAGAGAACACACAGTTTATACATTGCAATTTATAAAACAAAATTTCATCAAAGAACTCAAATATCATTTTCTCATGTACTAGCTGATTGGAATCTTACCATGGGATACCTGTGGCTTCATATGAAGAAGGATCTGGCTTGAATGTTTTTCCACTGACTAAAGAGAACATTAAACAGTTTCCAGCTCATAGTTTGAGCAGTTGTAAAATGAAGGTTATTCAAATTTAAAGGTGTCAGGTCGTTTCGTACTCTTGTCATTTCGTACCCATATCCCTGGTCGTTTCGTACTCTAATTGATGGTCGTTTCGTACCCCGATTTTAGTCGTTTCGTACTCAAACGCTATATGACTGCTTTTATTGCAATCAGTTCAGTTTTTATTAAAAGCGTTGATAAAAACCACTTTCTTTGTTGACTTGAAACTCTGTATTGCAACATTTAAGTTCTTCATTCGGCAGTTCAAATTTATCGTTTTGAAAATGGTCCGAAAGTCTACACGCACACTTAAGCACAAATGGCCATGTGGTACTTGCAGTCTGCAATGCAATGACAATTCGACTGATCTTTTGCGAAGGATGCCGAATGCATGTGGTACCATTCTTGTTGTGAGAACCTGTCTCCGAGAGATTTAAAAATTTTACAAGACCTAACCGAAGATTATCTGTGTTCGTCTTGTACGCGTGTTGGACTGTTGGCGATGTCTTTGATTTCCAAAACGCGCTCCAAAGTGCGACACGTGTTGGGAGGCTAGAAAGTGCTGCTAAAGTTGAATGTTATTATTATTATTATTATTATTATTATTATTATTATTATTATTATTGTTAGTTAGTGTTCAGTTGTATAAGTAAAAAATAAACGGACAGATCACGGATATATTTTTCGGCAGTTGAAATGAGCTTAAATAAAATATATTCGTCTTCTTGTTTTTGCAAAGCTAGCTCATTAAGTCCCTCATGTGTAAAGTTCGAAACGACCTTGTCTGGGTACGAAACGACCATGTCTGGGTACGAAACGACCATGTCTAAGTACAAAACGACCATGTCTGGGTACGAAACGACCAGGCCTGGGTACGAAACGGCAGAAGTACGAAATGACAAGAGTACGAAACGACCATAAACCAATTTGAATATTCTTCAGGCAATAAAGCTTAACAAGAATGAAGATATTTATTTAGAGTTTTCATATTGTAAAGTTTTATATTCTGAAAATGATTCAGTTTGAATCAAAATATGGTTTAAATTTGATGGTGTGTTTGTTAATATTTTTATCTAGACAATGAATCTATTCGGAATAAACTTTAATATTTTATAGCTATACATATTACATAAAGTATTACATATATATAAAGCAGAACATCGATAGTAAAAATATTATTCTTTCTTCCATGCAAATCCTTAATTACTTTTAACTGTAATTTCCATACCTGAACCTCCAACCATGTCTTCGTATAAAAATTGCTTTTCTTTCGTAGTAAATTCGGAACGTTTCTCTTCCAGCAATTTTAAAATTCAACGACACTTTTAAACTTTTATATTTTTTTGGTAAAATTTAGTTTGATTACCGCTAGTAAATAACACTGCATGCTCAATTGATCGTTTTAAAATTCAAGTTTCAAAATGGCGGCTTGGAAGGTTCGATTTTCATTAAAATGTACAGTATTTCGTGGTCTAAAATTCCTTACCCGCCCGACATACATCTATAATTCAGTTTCACCTAAGATTACAGCTAGCCAGTTGTTTTTAAACAAATATAGGTATATATCAACCAGGTTGTATTTGAGCAAAGACCAGGTCGATTCGATCAGCGGAAATGGAAGCAAGGAAGAAGTTGACAAAAGAACTGACATAGAAAGGTTGAAAGAATTGTTGTTTCGGGATAAAACATCGCCTAAAAAGAGTAATATAGGTGAAGAAGAGCTGGTGAAACAGAATACTAAAACAGGGAAATCTATTAAAGTGACCCAAATAGCAGATGTACTTTCTACTATGAGAACTTCCAAAGATCACCCCACAGAAGTTCCTGTTCATGAGGAAAAAGTCATTGAAACAACTGAACAGAATATTGATCATGATGGAAACTTGATGCAATCAGTTGATGTAAACAAGTTGAAAGATGCACTGTCTATTCTTGAACAAGACAGATCTGCTGCAAATGAAGTAATGGTAGGCCAACAGATCTCACCTGAAAGCAGGTCTGCCATCCAAGGAGCATACAACATAGAGCAGCAACAGTTTCGTGATAGAGACAAACGCAAGAAAATACCTCGAAGTTCACTTAAAAGTGGGCCTCGATTTCACATGTTTGCAAAGGTACAAGGAAACTGGCCACATGAAGATGTTACTCTGTACAAGACCATTTTCCAAGAAATGGCTGAGAAGGAAGTCAAAGACCTAGGCATGTCTGTAACAGTTCAAAGTGGTTTCCATGACTTGATGGATAACATTAATAGACAATGGTCATTTCCTATTGATAATGAAGTTTGTAAAACAGAGGAAGAAGGCATTAGTTTTGATAAACATGTATTTCTTGAACATCTCTTGCGTGACTTCCCAAAGACTGGCCACATTCGGCAGTTTATGGAACTGGTTGTAACCGGTCTTCAGCAGAATCCTCATTTGGGTGTTCAGGAAAAGTATGAACATATTGAATGGTTTAGAGACTATTTTGAGAACATGCCTGATGAACAGGGCCAACTATAATTGCACAGAGTAAATGTTGTCTGTAGTATGTATCCAGTAACTATTTTTCTCTGAACATAGTGGTTCAATTGAATTTTGCACAAATATTATTAAACTGAAACAAAAGTATAATCCGACTTAGTTAACAAAGAAGAATTTTATAATTTGTTATATACATTACGTATTTTAAGCCCAATAAGTAACAAAAAGAGAAATGTATGAGAAAACTAATTTGAAGATTCTATAAAAAATTTACATTTCGTTACATATGTTATATTTTAAGATTAAAAAGAAAACACAAAAGCAACTTTACAACAAAACGTTTTCGCTGATTTTTTCGAGCTAAAATTTATAGCACCTAATAATACTCGAACACATAGAAAACGTTTTTAAACTTGTTTAGCTTGTAAACATCGAATAGCCGTAGTTTGAAAACAAACATGGCATTGAAAAAGTAACAAAAAATTTACAACAAAAAATAAAACAAAACTATACGGAACTCCTTCTGTCCAGGTTCCTTGTAAAAAAGTAAGTTTACGCAACGTTGACACTGTTCAGCGAAGGTAGGTACGTAAAAACAAGCGAACAATCCTACTTTGCCTCAGGATTCCATCGTTTCTTCTCCTGATGAAGTTGTTGTCTTCCCTGGCTCGAGTACGTGTGCCAAGTTCGTAAGCACACATACACTCTTGCCGTCTGGGCGTAAAAAGCGCTCTATTTCAAACACTATGCGATATTCTTTCAAAATCAAGAATTTCAAAATGCGCGATACAATCGTTTGAACGTTTTCGTCTGTAAGTAACTTCGGCGGGTCGACCACATCGGGAAACATCTTTCTGACGACCAATGGCGACGATATCGCGTCCACGAAACTTGTTTCGTCGCGCAAGATGAGCGAGAACTCTATAATAAGACTCAAAGAAGCGGTGCAATTGGGATTGATACATTTCACGGTTGCACTAAAATCTGGATTATCGACAATATTTACGACATCACGTACTTCGTATCGCTTTTGACACGACACGCAAACATATTTTACGAATCGCTTAGGTTCGTCTGGCATGACAAAACTCACTGTGGCAGAGCAACAAAATTTCACAGGCACGCTTCCATCCTTTATATCTCGAATTTTGAACAAGCGATTCGCAAAGGTTATCTCTGTACGCAGTGAGTCTTCTATACGCAGTCTTTTCGTCTGGTTGGTACCTTCAGGGGATTCTACTCTGAATTTTCGTTTTAAAACCGCCTGGTTTGCAACTGATAAACAGGTTTGATCGACTATATGCGGTGAAACATCAGCATGCGATTGCGTTGTCTGTTTTGAAACACCAGATGGAACATCGACACTCTGTGCTTCCGGCGTTATCAGAAAAGTTTTAATTACTGTACATGATTTCGTTGTCGGGTTGGTACAAGCATTACCTAAAATATCGGCGAGTCGAACTTTCAAACCAAGAACAGTGCCTTTAACGGAAGAATCGGCACTTGCATCGTTCGAAATTTGTTCTCTCGTTTCATTGGGAACTGTTTCATTTATCTTTCCTTGATATGGCCCATCAGACTTATCAGCACGTGATTCCAATGCCTGGTTGCCACCTAAATCACGTGAGACACCAGCCAGCGGTGATCGCGACTTGTTGTTACTACATTTGATCTTTGCAGAGTTTGAAATATTAGATCCATTAGCACATGACACCTTTGTCTGTTCAACATGTGGAATACTTGCAGGCAGTGGTGTAGTTTCTATCACAATATTTTTTACTATCACCCGTTTCGATGCGCCAGGCCTAACAACACGCGATTTCCCATTAGCTGTAGTTTCAATTTTCTGAACGGTTGCTTTCGCCTCACGATCGTCAATTTCAGTTTTCTTTGAATTACCCCCTTCTGCTTTTCCTCGATCAGGCAAGTGTCTTCCCTAAATGCAAAATATATTTGTACAAAACAAGCTGACATCTTTATCAGTTATTGAATATTTTAGCCAGCTCAAAATAACGGCGGAGGTATAACTTCGTTAAAGGGACTGGTCAATTTCATTATTGCTCGGCTTTTGACCACTAATATACAAGAATACCCAGGATCAAATCGTATGTTTTCCGATACATTGTGTGCCGCTACAATTGTTCTAGCGTTTGCGTGTATCATTTCGAAATTGTCGTATGTTATCAGTGATGTTTTCAAATAGAAATGAAAATAGAAAATAGAAAAAAAAATTTAGGTATCATTTTGAGTCCTGTGAACCTAATTTGATTTAACAAAGTCGTAATGAGCATGACTCGTCATTTCCACATTTCGCATGCAATAGTACGGCGCATATATTATCAACATTATACAGGGTGTGGTGTCCCAAAAACCCAAAACTATTGAAATGACCCAAAACAATGCAATAGTTTTGGGACACCCTGTATATTACAACACACAAACCAAAACTGATTTGAAATATGTACAAACATTGCTAACACGGCTTACCAGTACCTTCGGTGGGGCAGTCCCTGCGTCAGGATGCTTTTGGTTAGTAACAGCGACATTAGGAGAGTCATTAGACTCTGGGGTGGGTGATGCAGGCAATGCTTTCATTCGCCGTTCTAGGATCTTGACGACATCTTCTTCATCGTCATTTAGTATCTTTACTCCCCCCTTGGATAACATTCTATCATGAAGCGCAAGGAAAGGAACCTACAATGAAGAGAATATGGGTTTGGAAACTCGATCACTCATTTCATCAAAAAGTGCCCATATTTTTTTGTAGATTTCAAAAAATATTTCCCTAAATGTCCCTAATTGACACCTCTGTACTCTAAGCCAGTTTCTACTGAATTTACCCAGAGTGTTTTTAGGCGTGTTAGAGAGTGTTAGAGAGAAGGTAATAACCAAATATTTAATTTATACCTTTTCAACAACGTCATCTTGCCTGTAGTCTTTAAGAAAAAAATGTAAGCCATGTATCAATATGTACTGTCCATTTTTACAAGTAGATTCCAGATCACAGCCAAATATATGGATCTTCACACATCGTCCTATGATTTTCCTACCCCATTTCGTTGTTTCGACAAACGCGTTGCAGCGATCGCTTAATAGACCTGCAATTAATAGTATAATATACGGTGTTGGGGTTGATACACCCAAATTCCGATGGCAAATGTACTACGGGTAAATAACCCACGAATGCGAACTGCTAATGCGGGTAAACAATGCTACAATGCAGGAAAGCGGGTAAGAATGTGGGCAATGAGTTGTACCGGGAGTGTGATTTCACCTTTGGGATCCTACTCCACACGGAGACAGTCAACTTTCTTTTTTTATCTATTTTACCCGGGGTAACCACTGCCCCACTGAGAGGTCCGGCAGGGGTTGATAAACAACAAAAAATCGAAAAAAATTAGCATAATGACAACAGCTATACCAGTAAATGTGGTTTCTCAAACCATGCGGGACCATGCATCTCCTACGCTTTATTCGCAATGAAAGAGATGGTGCAGATAAAGACCTACCATTAAAAGAAGGTTCAGTTCCGTCCCAAACGTGCAACACATTATCTGTACTATCAACGTGAATGACTTGACAGATGTAATCAAAGTATAAATCTTCAGTTAGACTAGAAACGGTAACATATTTTTTTGAATCAGCAATGCCAACTGATACAGCCCACGATCTAAGTTCTTCGACTTTTTTCTTGTCTGCCCTTGTGAATATGGGTTTAGATGAAGGTGAATATCGTGGGACAACGGGCTGGTCAGGTTGACCATCAAAAGTCATCCTGTAATAAATAATACAATCATCAGAAGATGTTTGCGAAGTTATCTATTAACAAAGACGGGCAATAAAACATCAAAATTTTACTACAGACTATATCAAGAGTGAAAAAGTAATGATAAGTTCTTGTTCCCATGTCAGGAAGATATTCGATTTTAAGTTCCCATTTGGATGCTTTATGCCTGTCGTCCAACCACCCTCGACTCCCCCCTAGGGGAGCCTAGGAACAGTCCAGTCAGCAATGTTGTGTACACTATTTCTACTGTATGTTAGAATGAAAATGTACTCACCAAGGAGAATGGTCATCATACGTTTGTCCTTGAATACAGCCTTTATACAACTTTATTCTGATTGGTAACTTGATAATATCGCCAACTTCTAAAATCAGCGGTATATGGCGTGCAGATTGTTGAAAACACATGCATCGTAGGTAGCTATCGTTACCATACAGTGTTTGGTCAACCAACTCAAAACGACAATACCAGTCAGTGCCCCTTGATTGCTTCGGTGGCGTGAAATTTTTCACAACGGCGAACACGGTGACACGACGATCAGATTTCGTGATACTCCCTAATTGTCGAGGAACTTGTCTTTCCCAATTCTCCGGCGTTAGAAAAAGTTTCTTAGAGTATGTTTTTTTACGAATGGGTTGCCTTTGTACTGGAGGTAATGCTACGGCAGCTTGACGTGATAAATGATTGGACTGTAAAGCTCCAGGAAGTGTTGTAGTTTTACTGTTTGTCTTTTCTAATTCGACTTGAGATGTTTTGGACGGTTGTGGTCTTTCTTGCGCAAATACCTCAACAGTTTTGTGGCCATCTGGCTTAGGTGTTGACTGTAATTGAGGTTCAACTTGTGAATTCGCCCTGAAGAAATTAGAATTTAACTCTTTTTAATAACTACTTTTGTTGAGAAAAATACGTGTTGCGGAATTTAGGTTAACGTATGGTTGAGTACACCAACCGTAAGTAAACAGTCATTTACATAGTATGCGCAAATATATAGTGTTATGGTCGTAAATTTTAAAGGAATTGTTATGTAAATGTTAATAGTACGTGTAGTATCATATAGCATAAGAAATGGAGGTTTTGAGGTAGCACGTAGTAGCAAAACCTATAATGTCTAACACAATAACGTAAACGGGCGCAAATGTGATTTGTAGCGGAGCGAAAACTACAGAAAAACAAGAAATGCTAAATTCTGTGAATATGATCGACTACATGTTAGGATCCCAAGAATTGTTGCCAAAATTCATCGATGCCTTAAAGGAAAAATGGAGCATGGGGCAATCCGGTCAAATCGCGTACATCACAAGCATTTCCGATTTACTTGCCTATTGCAAATTCAATCGTCCTCTTAGTGTTCTTCAAAACTTCGCAGTTACTGAAGTCTATGTAAAAAGAGCAAGGAAGTGCTTAGCGAAAGATATGAGAGCTAACTGGAAGACCTCGTTAGACGTGGAAACCCAGGAATCGCGTAGAAGCTGGGCTACCCTTTCTGAGGTTCAATGCGTTATTCCATTCCACCAACAGCGTTACGAGTCCGTTTTAGAGAAGTGTATATGTCGTGTTTTGCCTCGGTCAAACCTGCTGAGTTAACCTTCGCCACCCGACTCGTTGCATCCTACTTATTTCTAAAAGTAAAAGGTTGCTGCCCAATGACATACCAGCATCTAACTGGCTTGCTTGTTTGGAAGTGCTAGAAGCCTAGAAGAAAGGAGACTGCGAAGAGGTATGGATTTGATAGTGTCAATTTGGATGGCAAAAGTATTGAGCTTTTAGACTGAAAGTACATAACTTACGTCAGACCACTTTTTCAACCATCTTGCGATTATGTTCTTGTCAAAAGAAATGGGAAACAATTTCAACAGCTGACGAAGCTTTTGAGCGTTTCAGTTTTCGAAGTAATTGGAAAGTACATTCATCCGACGCGATACAGACAAATTATCGAGACCCACAGTTGCAAGACTCTCCTTCCCAACGAACAGAAATGGATATCAGAAGACCAAAAGCACAGCTCAAACGTTGCACGCGTGTATTATCAGAAGAAACGGTCGCGAGAAATAGCGATTAGAGGACGTGGCTGCATGCAAAAGTTGATGGAAGCAGAATGCGAAGATGACGGCAGCAAGAAGCGTGCTGACACTGTTAGTAATGGCAAGGAACTAACTGGCAGGTATCACCTCAAGTAAGCGATCTACGGCAATCTACCTCGGTAAAGTGTAATGAGAAGTTAACGAAACGACGGTTTGTTATATGTCTAGTTCATAAAATTGATAAAACTTTGCAACAGCCTTCACATAAAAATTTCTCGAGTGTCAACTTGAATTGTCTTGAAGGGCCCAGTTGACTCACGGTCTGCAGAAAATCACGGGCTACGCATACTTCTTGTACGGCCACGCCTTAACACGTTTTTGCTGTAAAATGATGTGTCATGTTCTATGCTAGGCACTTAGAGGTCATCGTAAAAACAAGTGACAAATATTTGACCGATTACGTTGTCTGGACTGAAGCTACATAAATAGCCATAAGCGCATAGCACACGTGTTTGCATTTTACTCGAAGCCAACGATTTTCGGGGTCTTGCAGTCATGTTTGTAAAACGATGTAACGTAACCACAGGCTGATAGCAAATGCGCTAACTAAGGCGAAAGGCGTTTTCCAATCGTTTCAATAATTAATGCATGAAAGGGACAATATTTTCGATTATAATCATCCTCATCCATTTTTATTATTATTATTAATAGAAGCTAGTGCATAATTAACATTTGGGTTTTCATAAAACTGCAATAAATTAAGACAAAGTTTTTTTGGACCAGCTTTGTATGACATGCTATTTGCAATTGCTCCAAGTCTTAAATTGAATTTTAATAGATCTATCCACCTTGTATAGGACAATGGATCTATTGACCAGTCACAAGATTAAGTATGAACAGCCAGAACAGGTCTATTACTACCTGGCTAAACTAATCAAAATTCAAGCAAGACTTTACTCATCAAGCTCTTAACCCCAGCCTCAACAGTTAATCAATGCTACTTAAAGGGCATACTAAGGGCTGTTAACATGATCCCAATTAACGGGGATTCAACAAAGTGCAAGATGACTTTGAGGTAATTGGAATGAGCATATATCATGATCCTGGAAATCATGTAATCACCCCAACAATAGCATGTGCATGTCATAAAGACTTATTTGTACTTCAAAGTCATCTCAAGCTTCATTGAATCTCAGCTAACCAGGATCATGTAAACAGTCTTTAAAAGTGAATAATGCTTAGGTAGGCAACTTTAGCTAAAGGTTATAAAGTAGCTACATAAACAAATGCAAAAATGACCTGGAAATCCGAAAAACATGGTTACTTAATTTGCTAGCAGAATTTGCCTACCTTAGCATTATTTATATGCCCAGGATGATAAACGGTGATGGCACCACAGTCACTGGTAACTCGTTTTTTTAGCCAGTAAATGACATTTTCACCATTGCATATATCAGCATAGCAAAATGATTTCTAGCAGCCAGTGTGGAAAGTTTGTGTTGTACAACTTAGATATCAGGCATGCAATTTTCATGTCTGCTATATATTTACTAGTAGCTATTTTAAATCTGGGTTGCGTCAGTCAGGTTTCCAGGGGGGCCCGTTGTTGACACTATTTAATTTCTGGAGATCAAGAAGTTAGAAACTAAGCATATGCAATATTGAAACATAATGAAATATGCTTTGGCATTAGCAATAAATATAAAATAAACTCCAAGCACACTTTTTAAACAAACTGTATAAATTATAAAGTGATAAAGTCAGAATACCTCCGCAGCAAATCCAGGTCGAAGTCGTCAAATGAACACTGCGCACAGTCAGCCATTAATACACCATAAAGCCGGATTAGAATCCCAATTTTTTAAAACACGAAAATAATATGATTGTCAACGATTTCTTACACTTAAACATACATATATATGATATGATATATACTACCAATCATGCTGCCATTTCGTCGGCCATATTGGAATGTAAAAAATGACTGCTCGGGAACACTGAGCTTTAAAATTCTGGACAAACATAATTATCTTGACCTCTGGCATAAATATATAAATATTCACTCTCTGAGTCTCCTACAGCGGTCTAGCTAGCTAAGGTCTACCGGGCTCATGTGAACATCCCCTAATTTTCCATTATTCGCCCTGAGCAGTGGCGTAGCCCTAGGAAGCACAATAATTGGAGGAGGGGCATATATGAAATTCAGGTTTACACCATTGGGGACAGATACAGCTGGCAGACATCCATGTGTCTACATTCAATAAGATTACCTTCAATAGCCAATGGGGCATCTATGTTTAGAAGCAACTAGTCAATTTTGGTCAAATACACAATAAAACAGTACTTTAGGGATAACTAGTGTCCCCAGTTGAGATTTTCTGTCAAAGAATCACGAAAACGAACCACGATCAAAAACATATTTGGAAAACGAATAAAATTTTAAATATTTCACTATTCAATTAGCCAGATAGTTGTATTGATTGTATTGATTTCGTATATTGCAAACTCAAGCAACATCAGGCCAAAAATTATTATTACGAACACGCTTGCGTTCTTCTGAGGCATTATTCCCCCAATAGACCTCTCTTTACTTTGCAATACTTTGTACCACTTTTTTCCTGGAAACCTCTGTTTTTGAAAATCGTTGTGTACAAATATGTACACTGAATAACTTTTATTAAATATAGTTCATCATCAGTTTCGGCTTTTTGAGGACCTATAAAGACAATAGCAAAAAAAACTTTAGAGCTATCCTCTTCTCTACATGTCAATTTTGCATGTGTTTTACCTATCGATCATATAACCTTCCATCATCACTAACATTCCCCACCTTACAACCCCTTATTTGCATAGCAAGATGCCTTTTGAATGTGTATATTGGAATAAAATAAACTGTCCATTAATTGGATGCTACCATTAAAGTAATGAATGTTAATAAAATAGTAGGAACATGGGCTTATTTTATAGCACTTTGAACACAAATATTTATTTGTATTATTTGGATTATTTATTTGTGGGTGTTCTCTCTCTAGCAAGTGTTGATAAAGTGCCAGGAAGGGTAAAGTAGAGGGGGGGGGGGGTTGTGATATGATCCAAGTGTTTTGGGTCATTATTGGTGCAAATGTTTTATTAATATGCCCAGAATTGGAGTGCTGTATCATTAGCTCAAAATAGTCTTCCATAAGTAAACCACTTCATTGATTGGATAGAGGGTGGATTGGATTAAGGCAATCTATATACTGTTTTACCTATAAAAAATGATGTAACTGTATTCAATAAGTCACATACCAAAATGAATATATTCGACCAGGCAATCTAATACAGTATTTTGCCATGTTTTGTCTTCTCTGGATTATTTGCTTGTTGTCAGTAACTCTTTTATTAAATTCACAAAATCTTCTGTACACTCTTGGAAACCCGTAATACTAGAAATAAAATTGGAAGTCCCTAATTTTTATGGACTAGTACTATGTTGGCATTGTGGCAAGTTGTTACCTCAAACTAAACCTTTAAAGCTTGGCATTCACTTTTCGACTCGACATGATTACAAAAAGACATGACATACAACAAGACACAAACACTTAACAACAATTGGAAAGAAAAACATTGCCAATATCCCCTTACTTTCAGTGCTGATCTACATTAGCACGTATTGCACTTAAACAATATCAAACCATTTTGGACCTATGTAACTGGTTGCAATGCTTTTCTTCACTCTCACTCTTACCAACACCAACATAGGCCACTTGTTAACATGCAGAAAGCCGACAATTTGTAATAAATGTGAGACTGTGAGTTCATTCAAATTTTTGAATAGGCATCAAATCATCAAACGTTTTTAAGCTCTACTAGGGTCCACGTTTCTGTAGAATATTACCTGTGATTGCATAACCACTTGACGATACAAAAATTTAGCAAGTGAGGCAATTTAGAAGAATGCATGCATGATTAATTAACTTGCGTAAAATAAACAATGAAAATAAAACAAAATAACATTGCCTGGCTTAATTTGGACATATTTAACTGTTGTGCTAACTCTTTAAATGCCATAAGGTAATATGACAACATAAAACTTTAAGCTGATATTGAAATACGGCATTTTAACATATCGAATCATTAGGTAAACGTGTTGTTCTTTATAGAACAAGATGTACTTCACTTACCCGAACTACGGCATATGCCGAAGCTTTCTTTGCTACCGCTAATGCAATGAGAGCAACGACCTTATCCATTACAAGCATTGTTACTGAACTGTCCTCGACTTAAACATGAATATTTGAGAAAATTTTACAAGAATTTAAATGAAAACAAGAGTTTATACAAAACTATCCACTCGGCGACTTCAAGCATGGTTTTAAATCAGTAAGTTGAGACCGCGATGTAAGTAGAAAATTTACCCGTGCAGTACTTCACGTAAGCATAAGTCAGAGTATGTAAATTAAGTGTACCAGGCACTGATCTGGTACCAGGAGATTTGATGCATTTTTTCCCTTTTAGCATTTTTTTCCGCCCTGCGTTTGCCGTTTTATTTATAACTCTCTTATAAACTATGATCGCCATCTACGGCTTTGTGACACGACGTAAGTCGTAACTTACCCACAAAACCGGTATGTTCGACCTTCACTACTTTTTTATCGAGTTAGTTTGACTGATCCATTCGTGCAAGTCGCATCAGTCTGGATACGCCCCTACTACAAAGCACACTGTCCTTCGAAAATCTAAAATCTGAAAAACAGCATTGAACACGACTTGCAGCTCTTTCCGTACCAAACACTCCTGACTCTCCAGTCTCCTGTTGCTGTTGATTTGCAAATGCGAAGAAACTATCGATGGTACTTGACTGGAAGTCAAATCGTCGAACCAACCGGTTTATTCGTTTTTAGCAAGTTTAAATGTTATAATCTCTATTTGGAAGGCTTTTTTATCAGACGCGTAACTCGAAATAGCACGTCTGCTACATCTTGAATTTCAGCAATGCTGATGGCAGAGGACCATTTAGGCATTATGTAAACTACTGGTACGCCAGTAGCCCAGAAATCAATGTTACTCTCTTAAAATAAAGCATGTAGATAGCAGACGTGCAAATTCGAGACATGCGACTGATTACGAAGACTGATTCGAGATATATGCGAAGTATCACCACATGATAGTACATTTCCGTTATCGGCGCTATGGAGCGTGACGTCTTTGGGAGGGGGGTGGGTGATGAGTAAGAGACTTTTTGGCAGAATTCCCAAACAAAAAATAACAATGGCTCTCACAGTTTTGGGTTTGATTTCCTGCTTCTTTGCTACAATTTTCGTCGGCTGTTTTGGATTGGTTTTTGCCTTTATGATATATTTGTATTATATTCACAAAATCAACGATCATTTACCTGGACCACCGCGTTCGAGTTTCATATGGGGTCATCTGCCTGATTTGTGGAAGTACAAACAAGAAACAGGTAGAACGAGGGGCGAATTTCTACTTCAAAAGCGTCTGGAATACGGCCCATTATTCGTTTTATTCTTTTTCATACGCCGATTGTATACCTGGGTGACTCAAACTATTTGCGACATGTTTTTATCAGCAACCATAAGAGCCTGTGTAAATCGTCGGCTTTCTATCATAAAATGGGTTTTATTTTTGGCGAGAGGGGTGCTGGTTATGGACTAGTAACCAATACGGACGAAGCTTCATGGCGAAAACGACGGCAAATTATGAACCCAGCTTTCCATCGGAGTTGCCTAAAAGATTTCATAAGCAAGTTTAATGATGTTTGTGATAGGTTTTTGTCGCACATGAACAAAATTGTTGATAGTGCTAAGCCAACCAGTATGGTTCAGGAATTTGCAAATGTTACATTGGAAGTTATCAGCCAAGTGTCATTTAATTTTAATACTCATGCTATTGAAGACCCAGAATCACCATTTGCAGAAGCAATTCGGCACTACCTTAGAGGAGTGCAGGCCAATGCAGAGATTCCCCTCAACCCTACCATGTTGGCAATATTTCAGTTCAAGCCATTTCAAAATGCTACCAAAAGAATGCAAATTAAAGTAGCACAGTTTCTTAGAAGATTTGCCTTAGATTGTGTCACAACTCGAATGAGAGACATTGCAAATAACAGCATAGTCCCTAATGATTTGTTAAGCATTTTGATTAAAGATGGTAGTTTGTCACTGGATGAAGTAATTGATGAATTCTTGACTGTATTTATTGCTGGACAGGAAACAACAGCAAACTCATTGTCATTCACCCTGTATGAAATCATTAGAAATCCACATGTTGAGGCAAAGCTTCTAAATGAGATTAACAAAGTGTTGGATGGGCGAGATAATGTTGAGTTTGATGATTTGGCCAAACTAAAGTATCTTGGTCAAGTTTTAAATGAAGGTTTAAGAAAGTATCCTGTAGCACCAGCACCTTCAAGAACTTTAGTAAAAGATATTACAGTTGGAGGGTATCATATTCCCAAAAGGAAATGGAATTCATAGTCATCAATATTTTTTCTCAATGAATCCTAAAATATGCAGAATCCAGAAGTTTTCGACCCAGAACGTTTTTCCAATGACAATATAGAAAGCATTCCAAATTTTAGCCTCACATTTTTCCCTTTTTCTT